TATACAAAGAAAAGGTGCCAACCTAGCAGTTCGAAAGCACATCAAAGTGCAAGTAGATAAATAGGTACCGCTCTGGTGGGAAGGTAAACGGTGTTTCCGTGCACTGCTCTGGTTCAACAGAAGCGGCTTAGTCATGCTGGCCACATGACCCGGAAGCTGTACGCCGGCTCCCTTGGCCAATAAAGCGAGATGAACGCCGCAACCTCAGAGTTGGTCAGGGCTGGACCTAATGGTCCTTTACCTTTTTTTTATATGAGAACACAGTACAAAAGAAAATGTAATAAAGAGAGAAGATGAAGCTGTTAAGAGGTAGGGGAAAGTCAATTATAATATAGAGTAGATTAATATGTATAGAAGAATAAGTAGATTATGTATGTAAATGTAAAAGGAAAAGATTATGTTTACCTGTTAATTTTAAATTGCAATAATAATCATTTTTAAAAATAAAAAAAATGTCCCCTGCACATTCAGTTCTCCCTTGAGAGGTCCCTTAGATAGAGCTGGAGAACCTGTAGTCCTCCTGATGTTGCTGGACTACAGTTTCCTCCATCCCTGATCATTGGCTGATGGTGGCTTTGTGTGCTACTCTCAGGTGAGCATTCATAGGATTCCCAGGTGTGTATAGGACTGTAAGCTGTAATCTTATCCACACTGCACCGGGGAGTAAATGTGGGACTTCGGTAAAGGTATTCACTGCACATGGTATGTGTAGGTGTGACTGGTCCCTTGTACAATACCTACTAATTAAGTGGTTTCTAGTGTTATACAATTAGCAGCATATGCTTTCATTTTAAAGTGCTTCCGATGTGTATGGATTTTTGGTGTCATTATCATACTATTGTTTGCTGCTTATAGTCTTCTGAAGCTCAAGGATTTGTATACCCATTCTGAACTTCCTTCCCACACCAGTCAGTTTTTAGCTTCTCTCAAGGATATTTACTTGCTTTGAAAAGCTCTGCAGCAGTCTTGGCTTTATTTTGCATTTTTAGCCCTTTTCTTTTTCAGTCTCTGCTGTGTGTGCTATAATTTGATGCTGAGTGGGATCTTATGACTCATAAAATCCAGGTTGGAGAACACAGACCTGGAGTCTTCCAGTTGCCATTTATTCTGCCCGCTAGCGTGGGCAAAAGTTTTACAAAAACAAAACCACCAAAAGTAGCTGTGGCCCAAATGACAAGTATCAATCAACAGGGGGAAGCAGTAAACAGCCTTACTAGAAAAATTAACCAATAAACTGAAACTGACACGGGGACAAATAGAAGAAGACGCCTTCACCCCTGTATGGCTCCCCTTTATCACACACACAGCCCAACAAGACAATGACAAAAATCCACCAACAGCATACAAATCAATATGGCTAACCTGATCCAAAACACCCACCCACCCCACTCACACATGAAAACAAAGACCACCACATCCAATCACAAACAAACAACCACACCCCAGGCCAACCCCAACCTCACCACCAAAGGAACACAAGTGAACAGCAGAGAACCTGCACAAGCAACGCTGACACAAAACCCCACATATATTAAGTAAAATAGAAACATCACCACCTGACCCCACCCCCACTCATCTTTCCTCCCACTCCACCTCTTTCCCCCTATTCTTCCTAATGTCTCAACAAATGAAGCCGATTTGTTAAAAAAAAAAAAATGTTACATGGAAAAAAAATACAAGAGAGAGACATTGCCCATACCTTTGTAAATCAAGAATATCTTTAATAAAAATACATTTAAAAACACACACAGGGGGAAGCTGTTTTACTACAGCAGGGATGGAGAATGTGTGACCCTCCAGATGTTTTTGGACTACAAGTCATCATCCCTGACCATCAGTTAGGCTGGCTGGGGCTGATGGGAATCCAACAACTTAGAGGGTCATAGGTTGGCCACTCCTATCCAGTCAGATAATTTATCCATCCAGCACAGCACTGTTCATTCTGATTGCCAGAGGGTCTAAAGGGTCTCTGGCAGAGGCTTTTCATTACACCTTTTAAATTAAGATGCCAGGGATTGAACCTGGGAATTTCTGCATGGAAAGTGAATACCCTTCTACTTTGCTAAAACAAATAGATTGGTTTACAGCAGCTGCAGCTCTTCCTCTTGTGATTTTTCATGGGGTGGGTCAAACAGTTCCTGATTCTCCCCATTCTAGCTCTCTTTTTTTGTCAACGTATTTAGAGGGACACAGGGGAGGTCCTCCCAAATCTACAGAGACATACTTGCCAGTTGTGTAGCATTTAGAGGACCCTAGAATGTTTGATGGGGTGGGTGGTGTTTCTGCAACCTTGGGCAGAACTATACCTTGCAAAAAACAGAAGGCCCGTGTCAAATTCCCTCCTGTATTACTGCAAGGTGGAATACAATTTGCGTCCTCATCACACTGAGCATTCTGCCAGTGGCACTCAGTGATGCGGGCAGGTAGAAACACACTTAGGAATGACATCAGAACATCAAGTAAATTGAACCACACTTTACGGAGGAGGAAAACTGCCTTTTTCCAACAGCAACCCTGTTTTTCTTTCACTGTTTTGTTCCTATCCTTAGAATGAGACCTTCCATTAAACGAGCACAACTATTTTTTTTACCTCCTGTGATAAATTCATCCCTTAAAACAGGGGTGGAGCGCCTCATTCCTCAACCCTGGGGCGATGGGGGAACAAAGCAGATGGAGCCATACACAAAAGTGTGTGGAACAATGAATGCAAATTTTATCTTTTAACTTGTGGGCAAATTTCTACACACCCCTCTATCCTCCCTTCAAGCAAGAGTCATTATCAGTGTTCAAGGATATTCCAGCCAAGCAAAAACATTCAAGGTGGGTGAGATGCAAGGTCAGCCAGCAAGTGGGCATGGCCCGGGAAGATGCCAAGGGCCAGGCAGAGAGGTCTGGGGGGAGACACCCCCCCTCCAGGCCTGAGGTTCCCCATCCCTGTCTTAAACCTTCAAAAACTATTTTTTCACTGCATTCAGCTTGCTTCTCCCTCTCTTGTTCATTTGGGTGGAAGGCCCAATTTTAACATACATGCTTATTGATGCTGTTGTGACCATTTATATCCTGAGTGCCTTAAGAAAGGCAGTAACAGCTCTCATATAGCTGTTCTGTTCTGCACGCGTGAGACTGGAACAAGCAAATAGGTTTTTATGTGCGTCACACAGTGGAAAGCGACAGCCTGTGTTTGCTCTCTAATTAAAACTCTTGAATGGCTTTATCTTGTAGAGTGTGAAAGGGAGAGGACGGGAAGCACCACAACATCCCTGTCTTGAATCCCTGTCTTAAAAGCAGCTCAATAAAGATTTTATAGAAAATCTGTTGCTAGACTATAAAAAATATATAGAGTAGGTAGAGATGTGAAAGTCCAGAATAAGCTAGGATAATGCGGGAGACAGTCCCCCCTCCAATTTTTAAGGAAAACAAAAACAAAAAAACCCCACCCTGCCTGGGCTTTCACACCCCCCACCTAGTAAAAATGAAGGTCAAAGCACATGGCTGTCTCTCAGTTATAGGCCAAGTATTTCTGTGCTGATCCCAGTTGCCCAGTGCTTGGAGGGAAGGGGGAACTGAAGAAAGAAAAATCCCCTCCCTCCCCATTCTTTACCAAACGGAGAAGAAATAAGGTTTGAAAATGAAGGTTAAAATAAGTTAAAATATGGGTGTGATCTTGTCATGCAACTTGAAGCTATTTACCACGCAAACATTTGCTCGCCTGCTTTTCACCAAGAAGGGTAGGCTACATGGGAGCGATGCTGTTTGTCCTGGTAGCAGCCATTTAAGGTAAGTGAGATAAACAGAGCAAGGGAATTCATGCTCGGATCCAACGCAAATGCAACCCTCTAGAAAACATCACTGGCTTTAGCACTGTGTCCCAGATCCTGTACAGAAGTAGCATAGCCCTTGCTACAGAGGTTTGCAATCTATTCCAGGAAAGATAAATCAGGCAATAACAGGGATTACAGGTTGATGAGTGAGCAGGTGGGTGATTTGTAGATATTTTTCAGCACAGTAACTTCTTATTTTTTTATTTACTGGTTTTAAGCAAAATCATAAGACCTGAAAAACTAGGAGGAAAAGTTATCTCATAGTAGTGGTAACTCTTTTTCCTTTAAAATGGCTGTGTGCCCTTGAGACCCAGTTATCACATGGTTGGGACTGTATTTTTGGGAAACAGGAGCCACTCAGGGATTTCAGCTCAGCATCAGTTTATTATCTATGCTCTGGCAAGGCAGGGCATTCTGGCCAGAGCAGCAGCCCTTGTGTAACAGAAAGGCACTCCAAGCAAGGCACATCTGCATACAGAAAACAAAGCTTTGTTTTACCTTTGTCTGACTCATGGTTACTGATTGACCCAGGTGAGTGTGGTTGTTCGAAGACGAGATGGCACAAGATATTATTGTGCCTGAAGGGGAAAATCCAAGCGGCTGCCTTTCCTAGAGGTAAAAAGAAGTTAATAATTATAATAAATATGGCAATTTATGTTTTTTACCGGTACCGCCAAAATCTGCCACCTGCAACATGTTCAAATGTGTTTGTTACTCCTGTAGAAGTAAGTGAGAAGGAATTGAATTGCAGGGGGATAGATAAGAGTGTTCAAGGAAGTGCCAAAGGTAGCATGGCAAGTTGAGATGCTTTGATTGTTTCCTGCTGGCAAGGGTCATTTTCAGATCAGATAGTGATTCTGAGTAGTTTAAACCAAATTGGAGAAGGGTCCTTGGTTATAAAAGGGACACGGGTGGCGCTGTGGGTTAAACCACAGAGCCTAGGACTTGCCGATCAGAAGGTTGGCGGTTTGAATCCCTGCGACGGGGTGAGCTCCCGTTGCTCGGTCCCTGCTCCTGCCAACCTAGCAGTTTGAAAGCACGTCAAAGTGCAAGTAGATAAATAGGCACCGCTCCGGCAGGAAGGTAAACGGCGTTTCCGTGTGCTGCTCTGGTTAGCCAGAAATGGCTTAGTCATGCTGGACACATGACCCGGAAGCTGTATGCTGGCTCCCTCAGCCAATAAAGCGAGATGAGCGCCGCAACCCCAGAGTCGTCCACGACTGGACCTAATGGTCAGGGGTCCCTTTACCTTTACTTTTACCTTGGTTATAGCATTTACAAGGTAGGCAGAAGGCCTCCTAAACTGGAGTACAGAGTTAAAAATGGAACCTGACAGATGTACCTAGCAGGGGTGGGGAACGGTTTGGAGACAGTGGGCGACCTTCCCTTCTGGACAACCTTCCGTGTGGGTCGAGGGGGGCGCACCTAATGTAAATTTCATCTTTATACAATAGGCTGGTTTTGCAAACTCTCAGATGCCTCTGTCTATCCTCCATTCAGGCAAGAAGCATAATTGAGAGTTCAAGAACACAGTCCAGGTGGGCAAAAAAAACTAAGGAGGCTGAAAAATAGTGGCAGTGAGAGGTGTGACTTGGTTCTGAGAGGTCACATTTCAACCCCTCGGCTTGAGGTTTTGCAGCGCTGGCCTAGCCTCCGAACAGAGGATAACACAGGGAACTGGCTCTAAGAAAAGCATCACAAGTTAGTAGAGAAACACTGCTAGAGATGAAGAGAACCCCAGAAATAGTGCTCAGTTTAGTATCATACCACACCGTATCTAAGTAAGGAAGATGCAGCTTGTCTATTAATGGTACACTTCCAGCTCCTCTGCCGTCTATTTCAGTAGCTCATGATGCATTTCCAAGTGAAAGGCTGTTACAGTACTGTGTTGCTTTTGCTGTGTGTGTTTTTATTCATGTTCGCTTCACCACTGTTGTGTTTCACTGGCAAACATAAATCCATAGCAGAATCTGTACAGGGAAGCAGAATGTCACAGTCCGTCTGCAGCAGAAACTCTCTTGCACTTGGAGGGGGAGGGGTGTGCCTTCGTGAGACAGGATGCAGGCAGAATGACCTCCATTCCTGAAGAGGGTGGTCCTGAAAGGTCAGGGCTCTACTTGACAGAGTGGTAATGTGAAAGGAAGCTAGCTCAAAGCACAGTATCATAACTCTTGGTCTTGGAATGAATTCAGTCAGCTCCCAAGCATTAGTCACTCGCTGATTTCTATGAAAACATTAAGGTTTGTTACAAAAACCCTCCAGCCAAATATTTACAACAGAATAATTATTTTTCTCCTGGGTTTCAGGAGAAATGGAAGCATGACTTCCAATGACTATTTTACAGGAATTAATATATGCACACATAGTCAGTGAATCTTATTATTGTGTTCTTCCTTTCCCCACGGAAATGTCACCATAAGGCAAGGAACTCCCACAATTCTTCTGTGTTCTATGCACGTGCGCCTCTTGTGATGAAATAAAACCACAGCTGTGGAAAGACGATATATATTTTTCAGTGGAAGGATTTCATGACTGCATCCTTATTCTCCCATGCAGAAGTTTGTGAAAGCATTAGACCAGGGGTTCCCAAATTGTGGTCCACAAGGTTCATTCAGGTGGTCGGGGGCACACTTGTGGATTTGTGGTTGAAAACAGGCGACGACACATCCCTCATTCTATAGTCGTACTCCTTTTTAATGGTATCTGTATGGCTTCTTTTATTTCTTATACTGTATTACAATTTGAATTCTATTTCTTTACAAAATACAGTATAGAAAAAAATAAAAGCATCAAAAAATAGAGTTTAAAATCATACAGCATATAGCACAGGGTATCACAATCACTGCAGTGGGCAGAAATACCCTAAGTGGTCTGCCAAGACCTTCAGCATTTTTCAATAGGACTGGGGTGTATGTGGGAGTTTGCAAACTACTGCATTAGACAGATTTCTAAGCTCAAAGCTATTGCTGGTGCCAGAGTTTAGCTTGGTTTGTTAGTTGTGGGGGCCCTCCTGACAAGAGCCAGAACTGCCACCTTAGTTCTCTTTTTAATTAATTATCAAAATTTACATACTGTTGATTGTAATAAAGCCTCAAATTGGTTTACAATAAATATTAAAATTATCAGTAAAAACTACTGAGAACAATTAAAATTAACAGTTAAAAATATTAAAATGTTTTTGTGTGGATCAATAAATTGAGCTCTGAGTGATTTATATGGAAGCTTAAGAGTAGAGTTGCTTCATTCAGGCTGCATTGCTAGGCACATTTACCTGGGCGTATGCCTCACTGAACACAGTGGGTCTTGTTTATGGGTAAACATACATAAGAAAGCATTGCTGTCAGTGACTTAAGGCATTTGCTGGCAGAAAGACATTAAAATAACAGTAAATACTTTAACCTCACACAGCAGCAACCCTTCTGGTTGATTACAAGTCCATTTTGGCTGTCTAAAATAAAGCAGGTCACCCAGTTAACTCAGAATGACCAGAAGACCTCACTGTGATGGCAGCAAGAAATAAAAAGCTTGACACTGGTGGGACACTGCCCCATATGCCCTAATGAACCAGCCTCCATGGATCAAACAGATTTAGGGCTGATTCTGTCCCACCCCTGGAATGCCCAGTTTCAGGGCTTAACACTAGTTAATGCCAGCAGTAGATCTATGCCCAAAGGATTTCACACAAGCATAGTGGGGGTCTCCATGGTGGACAAAGAGCTCTGGCAAAGCTTTTCTCCTCTACCCCTTCCCAACCTAGTTATACAGGAAAGAATTACTGTGTTATTCTATTCTAGAATTTTATAATTCCTCATTTAAATACATCCAATGCTGCTGAATTCCACAAGGCAGCCCCAGATACAACACATTACCAGAGTATAGACAATAGAAGTTAGGCTACCCCTGGCCAGATAGGGGAGTAGTGGGCCACTTATGCAAGGCACTCCAGCCACCGAGGCCACTTGACCGTCAAAGGACAGCAATGAATCCACAAGTACCCCCAAGCTACATACCTGCTCCTTTCTGTGGGAGTGTAACCTCATCAAGAGCAGGTCATCTCCCATCCATTCTAGTCCTTGACCACCCACAAAGAGTGCTTCGGTCTTCTCCTGTCTGAGCTTCATTTTGTTGGCTCTCATCCAGTCCATTACCAAGGAAAGACAAACGGTCCAGCACGTCCACTGCTACACCTGCAGATGTAAAGGAGATGCAGAGCTTTTATCATATCCTTTTTCAAAACGGGGGGAAATGAAACAGTACATGGAGCGACACCAAATCTATAAAAATATGCCTCGGATCCCAACTAGTCCTCTGTGTGCTCCCATTCAAGGATGGAATTTGGATCAAGCAGAGGGAACAGATTCTTTTGGCCAATCTCTTCTCCCCACCCACTGCCTCTCATGCTTCTCTGGAGGGTCCCCAAACCTTCCAGAGCAGATTTTCAAGGAGCAAAGGAGCTGGGGGGAAACCAGCAGAACATGCAATCCCTCCTTTCTGGAACAAAAAACACAGGAACATAAGAAGCTGCCTTATACTGAATCAGCCTATTTGTCCCTCAAACTCAGAATTGCTTGCAGTGACTGGCAGCATCTCTCCAGGGTTTGAGTCTCTTCCAGCTTTACCCGCAGATTGAATCTGCCCACAAGGCAGATCTTCTACCACTGTGCAATATCTTTTTCTTTCAACAGGAATGTCTCATTAGCAGAAGTCCAGGCATGGGAAGTTCCCACCACCAGAGCCTTACTAGCAGTTTTGTTTTCAAAACCTTTTAAAATCATCTGTGGTATGGAATTTGCTCCCCCCCCCCCCCGTCACCACACACCGAGATGGTATTTTCAATGAGCTGTACAACGCAACCCAATGCGCTCTTTTTGAGTTAGTCATGTGCAGTTCTCAGATCCCATCAGTGTTTATGGGAAGTAGGTATTTTAGCTCCGTTGTGCTTTATTTCTTACTCATTTGCTCAGTTTCTTGTTGCATTACTGATTGTTCACCAAGACAGGGGCTGCTACAGTCCCTCTGCTGGTCTTGACCAGCCCAAACAATTTAGAAACGCTTCATAATTTACCCTTTTAGATATATACATAAAACACGCTAAGTGTATACTTAAAAATGATGCATATATATATATAATATATATATATATATATATATATATATATATATATATATATATATATAGTATAGGTACTCTCGTCTGGAATTGGCTCAGCTGGAATTGACTCCAGTTTTGCCTCTTAGTAATGACCGCACAATTGCACTCATTTCATACGCTAGCAAGGTTAGGCTTAAAATTCTACAAGGAAGGCTCAAGCAGTATGTGGACCGAGAACTCCCAGAAGTGCAAGCTGGATTTAGAAGAGGCAGAGGAACCAGAGACCAAATTGCAAACATGCGCTGGATTATGGAGAAAGCTAGAGAGTTCCAGAAAGACATCTACTTCTGCTTCATTGACTATGCAAAAGCCTTTGACTGTGTCGACCACAGCAAACTATGGCAAGTTCTTAAAGAAATGGGAGTGCCTGATCACCTCATCTGTCTCCTGAGAAATCTCTATGTGGGACAAGAAGCTACAGTTAGAACTGCATATGGAACAACTGATTGGTTCAAAATTGGGAAAGGAGTACAGCAAGGCTGTATATTGTCTCCTTGCTTATTTAACTTATATGCAGAATTCATCATGCGAAAGGCTGGGCTGGATGAATCCCTAGCCGGAATTAAGATTGCCGGAAGAAATATCAACAACCTCAGATATGCAGATGACACAACCTTGATGGCAGAAAGTGAGGAGGAATTAAAGAACCTTTCAATGAGGGTGAAAGAGGAGAGCGCAAAATATGGTCTGAAGCTCAACATCAAAAAAACGAAGATCATGGCCACTGGTCCCATCACCTCCTGGCAAATAGAAGGGGAAGAAATGGAGGCAGTGAGAGATTTTACTTTCTTGGGCTCCATGATCACTGCAGATGGTGACAGCAGGCACGAAATTAAAAGACGCCTGCTTCTTGGGATAAAAGCAATAACAAACCTAGACAGCATCTTAAAAAGTAGAGACATCACCTTGCCAACAAAGGTCTGTATAGTTAAAGCTATGGTTTTCCCAGTAGTGATGTATGGAAGTGAGAGCTGGACCATAAAGAAGGCTGATTGCCGAAGAATTGAAGCTAGCAGCATGAGATTGACCAAACTGCGGAGGCAGTGGAAGACAGGAGTGCCTGGCATGCTCTGGTCCATGGGGTCACGAAGAGTCGGACACGACTAAATGACTAAACAACAACAACAATGGGCAAAATAATGCCTTTAAGCAGAATCATAATGGGCAACACATTCAAAATGTGAACTTGATTTTCAGCTCTCACTTCTTCTCCCATTTCTGCAATGCAAAAAAGCTTTAGGAGTATACCTTTTTGCTTTTTGCTCACCTGACCACTAGTTCAATAGTAAATTTGCAACATATTTTGAGCAAGAACATTTATTTACTACATTAACTGCTTCCTTGTCATTTGTTAAGCCTTCTACACAGATCCATGCATGTATCTTTTTTCTCCTGTTCTGTTCTCCCCAACCACTTTTGTGCTCTCAGCTTACAATATTTCGAAGGAAGTTGATCAAACTGAGCATTCTTGTAAACTTGAGCTTGGCTGCCAAGAATGTAAGTGATTCATGCTGTATGAGGAATTGATTTCCTGTGTTCCTACTCCACCCCCCTCTTTTAAAACACACATTTACTACTATAAACAATCAACCCCCTCTTTTTTTTAATTCTGAACAAAGCACATCCTTAATTGCATGAAAGATTCCTAAAATACTTCCGAAGAGCTATTATTAGAGGAAAGAAATATTGTCACTAAAGGCCTCAGCATTAATGAGATATATATTACAAGAACGTTGCGAAAGAACAAACTGGTGTCTCTTGATGACATTTCTCAAGGGAGGGTTACCTGCCAGAAGAAAGAGAACTGCCCTACATAAAAAATCTATTTAGTCTTCTAAGATGCCACAGAGCTTCAGAGAAAAGGATTGGGGGAAACGGCAGGCAGAGCCATAGAAGTCCCAACAGCTTTTGCCAAAGCAATATGGAGACTTCTACTACCTTCCAAGAAGATGAATAACACTTTTCAGGTGTAAACATGTTACACACACTCTCTCTCTCTTCAATTAGGAAAGAAACAGCAATAAAATAGGTTGTTTAATGCAGTGCCTTCTGAGTCTGCAACTTCCTTATGCAGCTAAGCATGGAAATATACTTCAGTGCCCTCTAGCTTATCCACAAAGTACTCCAGATCACCAACAATTGCTAGTATCAAGTAAAAGAAAATTTTCTGTAAAATGATTTGCATAGACAATGCCTCAAGGTTACCTTGCAGCTCCTGTGAAACTTAGCTAACAATGTCAAATTGAATTGCTCATAAAAGATGTACAGCTGAATTTCTGACTGCCAGTTAGCCATTTAAAGGCACAGGCCCACTATCCAATAACAAAAGGTGCCTACCCAGATTACCGTTAAGTCTTTTATAAGTTTCATTGTTGAAAAGTATGTCACACAAAGCTAAAGTCATCCCACCCATGCTGGGAACTCAAGGCAGACTTAGAGTCCGCATATTTTCCTGTATTTTTTCTTTTAGTAAACATTTCATTGAGATTCTATCTATTATGCAAAAAGAAAACAAGTCCCGGAGATGGTTTTGCTTGCTGAATTGTGATACTTGGGAGTTGCTTTCTTCCTACATGTGTATGAATTTTTTTATTGGAACAGTTTTACCAGTAGTAAAAATAATGTTTACTACTTGTAAATGCAAAGGGTTAGGGAGATATTGTGAGGGCACTGAAGTGCGATCAAAGCTGGTATTTTGACGCATGGAACTTTATACGCTCATAGGCTGACACTATCCTAAGACCGACACTCTAGAAAGCACTGCGCCTTATAAATCATGTACTTCTTTTGACACTCCAGATGCGTGTTTTTAGGACCCACTTCACTTCGGCAATTTTAAGTCGTTTTAAACTGTTTTTCATACCACGTTTTAACTGTTGTAACTTGCCCTGGGACTTTGGGGTGAAGACTGGGTAACAAAGAATAATTATAATGACGATGGTATATATTGGGCATGTGTACTCTTTACAGTGCATATAAAATTAAAGCTTTCAATTACTAAATGTTTTCGGTGTATAATGCACGTCCGAATAACAAAGGGGGGGTTGAACGTGTGAAATTGCACCTCCAGACACGCGTCCCCGCCAAGCCCGCGTTTCCCGCGGCAGAACGCCTCACAAACAGCCCCCAGCCTCTCTTTTCTGTTCCCCCAACCACAACTCTTGCCCCGCCCCCAGCCCCGCGCGCCCCAATCTCCGCCCAGGATCTCCGCGCCTCCATAGCGGAGCGAATCCTTATTGGCCACTTCGAAGAAGCTTTGCCTCTGAAGCCCAACGTTTTGTTTCTTAGACCTCGCGAGAACTTGGGCCGCCGCCGCCGTCGCCGCGGTTCCAAAAGCAAGCTTGACGCCCGTGGGCGCCGCCATCTTGCTTCAGCGGAGCCTGCAGAGGCGGGTAGAGAGGGCGCCCGGGCTCTTGGGGTGGGGGAGAACTTGCGGCGGGGAGGAAGGTGCGGCTTGTGGGTTGGAACCGGAGCCTTGGCTGCCGCTTCTCCCCTTTCGCTTCGCTGGGTCGCTTCCACGGAGGTCGGTCCGACCAGACAGCAAGATGGCGGTGGAGTCTCGCGTTACTCAGGAGGAGATTAAGAAGGAGCCCGAGAAGCCTATCGATCGTGAGAAGGTGTGGGGAGGAGCTGGGGGAAGAGGCGGGAGGGCGCTTTCACACGTTACACGCCCGCGTTTGCAGCAGCGTGTATGCTTCACAGGGAGGGCTGGTTCACCTGTTGGGAGACTCTTCGTGATGGCCTGCTCAGACGTTCAGTGTTTAGCATTGGTGAACTAAGAGGTTCTTTTCTCTCAACCATACCGTTTACTTGTGTGTGTGTGTCCTATTTTATGGCTGAAGAAACGCTCGTTTAGATAAGTTGTCTAAGTGGTGGTAGAAAAAGTGGGGAGGGGTGTGTCTACACAAGCGGTCTCTCCCCCCCCCCCCAAAGGCTTCCAATAGCAAACTTCAGTTTTTCCACTTTGGCTTGCTTTTATATCCATGGGATATTACGTCTAATGGGAAAGGGCTAAGATGCAATAGCTTTTTTTTTTTTTTTTTAATATGTAGATACAAAACAGTAATAAAAGTATACAGTGGTGCCCTGCAAGACGAATGCCTCGTAGGACGAAAAACTCGCTAGACGAAAGGGTTTTGCGTTTTTTGAGTCGTTCCGCAAGACGAATTTCCCTATGGGCTTGCTTTGCAAGACGAAACGTCTTGCGAGTTCTTGCGAGTTTGTTTCCTTTTTCTTAAAGCCGCTAAGCCGTTAATAGCCGCTAATAGCCGTGCTTCGCAAGACGAAAAAACCGCAAGACGAAGAGAATCGCGGAACGTTTTAATTTCGTCTTGCGAGGCACCACTGTATAAGGAATGAGAGTACAGAAGATATACACATGCAGAAGACAATCTAAATAAGAAATATCAAGACATAAAACAGCAGCACTGCCTATTACACTAGAAGAGAATTGACATAAAATAACGACTCACATATTATGCAGGTGAATTGATTGGAACATCTTTTGAGCAGTTAATTAAGTAAAGTCTCAACCTTTATTTAGCCACAGTTTTTGCTAAACTTTGTAATTATATCCTACAGTTTTGTAGCCCAAGCACAAGTCCGTTACATATGAAGAAAATTCCAAGTACCTCTAGATTTAAAAAAGGTTCCACTTAAGTGCCTTGAGGTTTCTTAGTCAAATGGTGTATAAAGTTTATGAAATAAATAACAACAAACGTTACAGAAAGTGCCACTTTTGTTATTATTTACTTCTTCATTGTAAAAAAAATCCCTCAGAATGGTTTATCATAGATTAAACAGATCCCTGTTCCACTTTAATGTATATAAGGGTTGGATTTTTGTTATGAAAATTAAAAGAAAAAATGCAATTAAATGTTAGAAAATATATTTTAAGAGTACTTAACAATCTCAAATTTAATCTTAGGTCTTGAATTTTTTCCCCCCTTTGATAATTTTAGCTGCCAAGTATTGATTAAAGGATAGTCTTTTCCCCATTACGGTACATTAAGGACTTGGTCATAAGAAATAATTTAAAAGTGTTGTATAAAAATGTAGGTTGAAAACAAAACCATTCTTGTATGTGATGTAGGTGATGTTTGTTGTCATTCGTTGCTTGCTTTGCAGCAAGTGAATGGTCTCTTCTTTGCCTTACAGACCTGCCCCCTCCTTCTGAGGGTCTTCACCACCAATAATGGACGCCATCACCGAATGGATGAGTTTGCCCGTGGAAACGTACCTTCCAGTGAACTGCAGATCTATACCTGGTGAGTGGCAGCAGTCTGAGCTGCACTTCTCCACTTGTAGCAATTTTGGTGTGGTAACTGAAGGTGGGTTTCCACACACCCCTCCACTGGACAGAGGCTGTTTTTTTCATTGCTAGATGAAAGGCCAAACATGAACTGGTGAAGCTTTGATATTTTTGCCTCAGATATTGAAGGCCCAGAATCTCTGCCACCTCTTCTTTTAGACAGTCTGGAGTAGAGCACTTGTGGAATGCATCCTGTTCTTACTCTGTTTTCTGCAGTCCTCGTCATTGACAAATACAGTCATACCTCGGGTTGAATGTGCTTCGGGTTGAGCGCGTTCGAGTTGCGCTCCGTGGCAACCTGGAAGTAACAGAGCGCATTACTTCTGGGTTTTGCCGCTCACACATGCGCAGATACTCAAAATGACGCCATGCGCGGAAGCGGCAAAACGCGGCACGCGCTGTTGCGTCTTACGTTCTGTTCAGGTTGCGAACGGGGCTCCGGAACGGATCCCGTTCGCATCCCGAGGTACCACTGTACCAGCCAGTTGGGAGATAAACTTCCCAGTACTGCTTTTTTCCTGTGGAACAATGACTAAGGTCTTTTGGTTGTCTTCCCATTTCTTATGGGCCATCTGTTGAATGAGAAGAGGAAGCTTGTATCTACAGCACCTTTGTGAATGCGGTGCAGCCTATTTTTTAGCCCAGAGTGTTTGCTGGGTCAGGAGGAGTGTCTCATACGGCACTTCTCACCCAGCAAATGCCCTGGTCCAAATTGGAATGTGACCGAGATGCAAAATTACAGTTATATTTCTTGCTCCTAATGCTGTTGATTTCTGCATGAGTGTTCTGCAAATCGACAAAGAGCAGTTGAACAATAAGACACTCATTCTGGATTTTAGGTTATGGCATAGCCATAGTCTAATAGTTCTTTGTCCTATATAAAATAAACTCAGACTAATCCTTTGTTCTAAAATCTCTAAAATGAGATGTAGTTCTTGATGCAGTTCACTGACCTCTTAAGAGTTTTGACTTAATATCACAATGTTAAAATCTAGGGATACTATATGACTTAAAATGCTGCTTTTCTTCCAGGATGGATGCAACTCTAAAAGAACTGACAAGTTTAGTGAAAGAAGTCTACCCGGAAGCAAGGAAAAAGGGCACACATTTTAACTTTGCAATAGTCTTCACAGATCTTAAAAGGCCTGGTTACAGGTAAAATAGTCACTGGAGTCAGTAGATGCAAATTGTAGCAAAATCTGAAAAGTTCTAATGAAATTCTTCATAGGAATTATAATACACCGTGGGAGCAGGGCCAGGGCGGGAGAGTGCTAGAGTTCTGTCTAGTCCTGTTATATGGGATCAATTCCAATCTGTTACCTCCGAGGATGTGGACAGGCTGCTTGGACAAGTGAAACCGACCACCTGTCTCCTTGATCCTTGCCCATCCTGGCTGATAAAAGCGAGCCGGGAAGGGCTGGGCGATGGGCTCTGCGGGGTGGTGAATGCTTCCTTCTGTGAGGGAGCCTTCCCAGACCCGCTGAAAGAGGCGGTCATTAAGCTGCTTCTTAAAAAAACATCTTTAGACCCAGCCAATGTGGCTAACTATCGCCCAGTCTCAAATTTACCATTCTTGGGCAAGGTGATTGAGCGGGTGGTTGCCGAACAACTCCAAGCACGCCTGGAGGATGCGGACCATTTGGAACCCTTCCAATCGGGATTCAGGCCTCATCATGGGACTGAAACTGCCTTGGTCGCGCTGGTTGATGGTCTCCGGCGGGCTAGGGACAAAGGTGAGAGCTGTTTCCTAGTTCTGCTGGATCTCTCAGTGGCCTTTGACACCATTGACCATAACATCCTTCTGGACCGTCTTGAGGAGCTGGGAGCACTGTTATACGGTGGTTCCGCTCCTTTCTCCTGGGCCGTGTCCAGAAAGTGGTGTTGGGGGATGAGTGTTCAGACCCCTGGGCTCTCACTTGTGGGGTGCCTCAGGGTTCCGTCCTCTCCCCCCATGCTTTTTAATATCTATATGAAGCCGCTGGGAGAGATCATCGGGGGTTTGGGCTGGGTGTTCATCAGTATGCAGATGACACCCAGCTCTACCTCTCCTTTAAATCAGAACCAGTGAAGGTCCTTTGTGAGTGCCTGGAGGCGGTTGGAGGATGGATGGCGGCTAACAGATTGAGGTTGAATCCTGACAAGACAGAAGTACTGTTTTTGGGGGACGGGGTGGGCGGGTGTGGGGGGATTCCCTGGTCCTGAATGGGGTAACTGTGCCCCTGAAGGACTAGGTGCGCAGCCTGGGAGTCATTTTGGACTCACAGTTGTCCATGGAGGCACAGGTTAATTCTGTGTCCAGGGCAGCTGTCTACCAGCTCCACCTGGTACGCAGGCTAAGACCCTACCTGCCCGCGGACTGTCTCACCAGAGTGGTGCATGCTCTGGTTATCTCCCGCTTGGACTACTGCAATGCTCTCTACGTGGGGATACCTTTGAAGGTGACCTGGAAACTGCAATTAATCCAGAATGCAGCAGCTAGACTGGTGACTGGGAGTGGCCGCCAGGACCACATAACACCAGATCTGAGAGATCTGCATTGGCTCCCGGTACGTTTCTGAGCACAATTCAAAGTGTTGGTGCTGACCTTTAAAGCCATAAATGGCCTCGGTCCTGTATACCTGAAGGAGCGTCTCCACCCCCATCGTTCAGCCCGGACACTGAGATCCAGCGCCGAGGGCCTTCTGGCGGTTCCCTCATTGCGAGAAGTAAGGTTACAGGGAACCAGGCAGAGGGCCTTCTCAGTAGTGGCGTCTGCCCTGTGGAACGCCCTCCCAGCAGATGTCAAGGCAATAAACAACTATTTTACTTTTAAAAGATAACTGAAGGCAGCCCTCTTTAGGGAAGTTTTTAATGTCTAATGCTGTATTGTTTTTAATATTCAGTTGGAAGCTGCCCAGAGTGGCTGGGGAAACCCAGCCAGATGGGCGGGGTATAAATAATAAATTATCTTTATGTGCGTAGAATTTTCAAAAAGGGGTGTGTAAAAACAGGGTGGACATCCAGGAAAAGAAAACCTTTGGAAATTCAACCCCCACCCAAATTGCACGCAGTGTGTTGACTATATGTGGTTTTGGTTTTATCCCCATGTAAGTTGGCAGTTACCTGTACTTATATCTGCACTTTTCTAAGTGTCTCTAATTTAAAGCTACCAAACCCACTGCTGCCGATCACAGGAGACAGTACTTGACTAGGTGGAACAAAGATATGGCTCATGTTCTTATTTTGGTCTTAATTTTTTTTTACAGGGTGAAAGAGATTGGCAGTACAATGTCAGGCAGAAAGGGCACAGATGATTCCATGACTCTGCAGTCTCAGAAGTTCCAGATAGGGGATTACCTGGACATAGCAATTACTCCCCCAAATCGAGCACCACCTCCATCAGGTCGCATGAGACCTTATTAATATTTTGCTTTCTTCTAATGACCACACTACATGGTCATACAGATTACAAACGGCTTGTTTTTTTTAATGCAAAGTGAAAATACTAGAAAACCTGTTAAGTTGTAGAAATACTGAAATTATGTTACTGTATATTTTTAGAAGGTTGCTCTCTGCTAGGTTTTCGTTTTCTGAATAGCTGAAAACCAGACACTGCAGTGTTTCTTAAAGTGTGTAATGTTTGGCTAAAACACCACAAGCAGTCTTGAGGTATTTGAAACCGTATATATTCTAAGGCCAACCTATAGTGTGGAAAGATTAAATGAGAGGTATTTCATAAGCGCACTGTAAGATTGCCTTTTAAGAAACATCTTTTTGAACATCCATAAAGTACCTATTTTGTCAGAAATCAGAGTCTACAACGCCATCTGGGAGAGCTGCATTTTCCCAGGTACAAAGTATTGGGTGTAGATGATGGGATTGCCAATGCGGTGAGCACAACATCTGTGCTCAATAATTGCATATTCATTGTGCAAAAATATTCACCCTAATACAGCTGTAGTAGGACTTACACTATCAGATGGACAGAAGTGTCAAGGTTTGTTGAAAAGCATCCTGAAATTAGTCATAATAGAAGGAAATCATGGCAGCTTAACACCTGTAATATTACACCCTATTTTATTCACTGATGTGTAAGTGCGACCAGGAGGGCTACTATTTTTGCTTCTGGTTTTGACTGTATTTGACTACGAAAGGATTTGAACCACTTAACGTATTCCCAATTTAAAATGCAATTGTTGCTTCAACTGGAAGTTACATCCTTAAAAATGGGAAGTTCTAAAAAATCTTCCACAGGCAAGGTTTCCACAGCTGTATGACTGTCTTGATATAATTAAGTCCTTGTTAAATAATTTTATTTTTTAAAACTTGTAAAAATAAAAGCAGTGACATAGCTTTGTAAAATGTGTTTCGTGACAATGATAGCAGTTGCTATCAAAAACAAAAGCTGGAAGTTTTCTTGTTGCTTGCTTGCCCACCTGCCCTTTTGTCTAGACATTACATCACATGCTGTAGACTGAAGATGGAATTCTCTCATGAATTGCTTGCTATAAAATTGAAAACATTCTTAATCATGATAGAACAGGATTGCTTTAGTTGAAACGTTGGTGGGGGTTTTACCCATAACAAAAATATGGGGTATTGTACAGTGGGACTTCTGCAGCCTCTCAAATCTGCTCCAGGGTCCCCTCTACAGCACATATGTGGATGCCTTCTTAATACTATGTTGAAACATTGGTAACAGACCATGGTTAAGTATGAACACTTACAATCCTGAATGTTCCATCTAACTTTTTTTAATAAAAAAAAATATCAAATTTAAAAAACCACAATGGCAACTCCCGCAGTCCTAAAAATATGCAGAAAATTTGCGGGCAGGGGGAGGGTGGATTCAAAGATCAAATTAGTTTAAGAGCAGGGCAGCAGAGTAGGCCACTCTTAACTGTTTCCCCCTCGCTTCTACAATCCTTACGTATCAGCTCACAAGCAGAATTTAAACAAATACTTAATAAATGCAGTCCTAACTTCCATTAGCATGGAGATACAGGTTTTCATAATGTATTTGGGGGTCTCTGGGGAAATGAAAGAAGAGACTATAGTTTTAGTTAAACTGGTTGCCAAACGGTTAGAAATAAATATTCTGATATTTTCCCATGGAGTTTGCTGGACAATCTTCATTATAGCAGCCTCTAAAAAGCCAAGTCATAGCCTTCATCCATATTACTTTCTGCAAATGTAATCAAAAAACAAAGCCGTTAAATTATAATATTGGCACTATGTTCAAGTGACTTCCATTGAAACATGCCCATTTGTATTCATTTCATAGGGGTCTTGACGAAAGGACAGCCATCTTGTTTTTTGTTTTGTTTTTTAAATGTCTAAAAATTCACTCTTGTATTGAACTGCTAAGTCTGAAAGTGGAAACACATTGCATTCCTTCTTTACCAGTCTTTGAACTCCTGTTCACCTTTTCCTCCAATAAACCTGGGTCATGCCCAGGCAACGAGAGCTGATTTGAGTAATGGGATTTTCAGTTAGCCCAATCCCACCTTTCAGTCTGTCCTCCTTTCTATTAGACACTGATAAGGCTCTCAGTGGCTATGTTCTACTTCCAGTGTCAGCCGCAGTTTGCCTCTGAATGCCAGCAGCAAGGAATCTCAAGTCAGAAGAGTGCTGTTATGCTCAAATCCTGCTTTTGGGCTTCCCCATAGGCATCTGGTTTACCACTGTGGGAACAGGATGCTGGGCTAGACAGGCCGCTGGCCTGATCCAGAGCTATTCTTAATATATACTGAATCTTAAAACTTCAACAAGATATTGGCAGTAGCTCCGTATCCACACAGTGTTTCCAAGAACTATGACTGGTTGCAGGAGAGTTCCCAGGCAGCTAGCTTTCATTGATGCCATGTGGTGGGTTGGAATTGTGGCTGGGTGCAAACCCACATATACAGCAAGAGGCAGGGATGAGTAGGGGTCCTGTTCTTTGGACACCATGCCACAAATCTACCTACTAATGCCAGACCTTTGCAAGGGGCAGCGAGTGCCTCATATGCCTGCACATAGTACAATGCTACTTCCACCGAGTGTCTGGAAAAGCCAGACAGGTGTGTGTGGAATACCTCATGCTCAAATCTCACCTGTTTTCTTTGTTCCCAGTATCAAGAACAGGCTGTTTTTCAAACTCTGTAGCAATTCCTACACGAGTCCCCTTTTCCAGTGATCTGTATGCTTCTACCTTTGGATTGTATTTTGACAAGATCTGTAACAAAAAATAATAATAATTAAGTAGATGATGTTGGAGAAGCGTGGACCTTTCCAAGTTTTATACTTTCCATGCACAAGGAAAACAATTTGCTGGCAAAAATGTCAAAATCGGCATTAGCAGCAGGAAGGTTTAACTTGTTCACCTGAGAAATCTGCCTTGGAATCACGGTTATTTCAGGAGGAGGAGGAGGGGAACTGAACAGGCTACTGTAATCTGATATTTCTGGAGGAAGCAGTTCTTCAAGCCTATCCAGTGCTGCTGAAGGTGGTTCAAGACACTCCAGATACTTGTCTGAATGAGGGACATGCGGAACAGTGCCGTATCCAACAACTGTATTATTTGGGACACATGTCTGCTGTAAGGAAAAAGACCCAAAGAATTGCAATGTTCAGATAATGAAATACAAGGACAATTTTTTTTATTTTAAAAATCAGGCAGTTAAGACATCCTTTGAAGATCTTCATTGTTAAAAGCTTTTCCTATGAGTACAGCATGGTGCAGAAGTCCCATTAAGAGACCCATTTCATTTACAAAATAAAAACTCAGTCCTTACTTTAGGTTTTGTTATCAGAGGCTCTGTATCTGGAAGAGACGTTTCTGTCATATGATTAGAGGCATCCAATTTATTACTCTCTGGGGATATGGCATCCTTTCTGCTGGGAATCTTCAAGCCAGGTGTGCAGAACTCAGGTGCAGCGGGTGAAGCCATATAATCGTCATCTGAAAACACAGTATATGATTGGCAATTTCACATGGATAGTGAGTCTACAAATTCATTCAGGTGTAAAAGGATGAAAATGCAGAACTGAGGACCACACTTCCATGAATGAAGAGTTCTCACTGGACCCAGAGATTTATATCTGAATGCTATAGAAACTTTCATCACTGGTGAATGCAAGCTTTTGGCCTTTCTGCATAGCAGAATTTGATACATGCCTCTGAACAGTTACATTCAGATAATGAAATCAGATTGCCAGAAACAAGTTTTCCCAAATTCTGAAACTCCTTATCGGGATAAATTGTCATCACTCTCTCAGTTCATACCCACTTCAGTGGTTTCTGGTCCATTTCCAGGCCAAATTCAATGTACTGGATATGACCTTAGGCTGGGGCAGCCAACATGGTGCCCACCTTGAGAACAAATTATCTAAAGGGCTGCCGCCTCCTTCAATATCAACTAGGGCCACCCTCCTGCTTGTCCCACCATCTGATGTTCAACTGATGGTGGTATCTCATGTGGTTGGTTGCCTCTAGGCTCCAGAACCTATCCCCTTCCTGAATGAAGTCAAAGACATTTTTCATTCCAGCAGCCTTTAGGTGTGTTGAATAGGCAATTGTTTTGTTTTGCTCCTGGTTTTAAATTGGAGCTGCTTACTAGATTTTATTTCAGCTTTCATTCTGCCTGTTCTTTGTTTTTCTTAGACTGTTTTTATGAAACTTGTGAGCTGCCTTGAACCCTTTTCTAGACAGAAAGGCAGTATATAAAGGTTTTTAAGGGCAGGGGGTGCAGAACAGCTTCAACCTATATTTGGATAGCCCAAGATGTTGTAAGTTATTCAACTGTATGAAATATCAATTAAAAATATTTTTTATTCAATTTCTAAATAAATGCGCTTCCCAGTTATTTTCTTTGTACCGATTGGTCAAAACACTGGAAGAACAGATTTACTTATTAGGCTGCAATTCTAAACACAATTTCTAGGGAATAATCTCTATTAAAATGAGACTGACTTCTGAGCAAAGGCTCACACAAGAAAGACTTACTTCTTTTTAAAGAAAACTGATTAAGAGAGCCTGGAATATCCCTGAAACCAGGCCTCCACAGGCTCCCTTTGGATAACTCTTTACTTTCATTACTTTTCTTCTAGCTCACAGACCCCCACGGCACACGTGTTCCCAGGAGACCTGCCAAGTTCCAGCTAGGTAGCAGCCTCACATGCCTTCAGACCCTATACTCTGGAATCTCTTTAGTTACAAGCCTAGGGCATTTGAAGGGTTCCTTACGGAAAAGAAATCACTAGCCTAATCTGAATACACAGGGCTTACCACAAAATTTGTTCTTTTGCTTAGGTGTAGCTAGGTTCTTGTTTGATTCCAATTCCACTGCAGATTCACTCGGCTTATTATTAGCTTGCCTAAGGATAAGACAAAAATATTGTCACATCATATCAACTCCCTTCTCTTTTCAGTAATTGTGAATGGGCAGAGGGGAACAAACTTAAGCACAAGTAAAATAAAATAGACACATTTTCCTTGTTTACCCCAGTCTCCATTTCCATCCCATTCCTCCTGTGTTGAATTATAGGCCGTAAGCCTCTTGGAAGGGAACATTACAAAGTACATGCACTCAAATATTTGGGAGACTGCAGTTTATTAAAGAGGCTCAAGGAGATGCCCTCTACTCTCCCTCTTTCATGACTTCAACACAGATCCATCACCCACACTTGCGGACATCTTTTCTGATAGCTCCACTCTCTTCCACAGTCCCATCACAGGTTGGATGGGGAGATGGGGGCTTGCTTTTCTTCTCCCCAGTGCTAGGTTATTACTGATGGCGTCCGGAAGGGGATAGAGTTATTTTGTGCATTTTCTTTTTTTAAACTGGAAACCATTAGCTGAAAGTGTTTTGTACAAAAGGCAGAATTAAAAAATCTCAAAAAAAGAGTAAATGGTTAATTGGTCTTCCAGCTGGGGGGTCAGAACCCACTACTTGGGCTCAGCCTGATTCAAGATAGATTGCAACAGCAGTACCAGCACCGTATAAACATGTTTTTTTTTTTAAAGGAAAAAAATGAGTCTCCAAGTGCATACTTGGGTTAAAACGGGGAGGGGGGGGTGCAGTTCTGAGTCAGAAAAGGTTGAAGACTACTGCTCTAAAATGATGGTGCCATTAGAGGGTAGCAGCAAGTCTCACCCTCCTCCCACTAAATATTTGTGTGCACACAAAATCTGCAAATCTGCTGGCTGATCACCTCAAGGATGGAAAGTGTCATTAGACAGAAATAAGAACCTGTGTATTTTTGTAACTCTCAAAGGATGTCACTTACCTACTGTTTTTGGGATTTAGTAGGAAGATGGTTTGATCTACCACTAAACTTGTGGTATCATCATTCAAACCCATTTTATACCCATAGATACGAAACTGTTCTGCCTTGGGTGATAAACGCTCAGAATAATCCACTCTCGGTTCCTCCTTCTGTGCATATGTGGGCTGATTATGCAAGATGCCTGAAGTACTTGGGAGAGCATATTTTGAAAGGCCAAAATCAGAAAGCTGTGGAATTTGCAGCAGAGCATGAGGTGCAGATGATTGTTCAGGAAAATCAAGGATTTTGGGCTCTTCTTCAGTAGACTCAGGGTTAATTTCAGCTTCATCCTGTTTTGCTTTATTAAAAAGATAATCTGCTTAGTTTCAAAAATAACCAACTTTAAACGCTGACACCAAACCCTACATATACTAAGTAAAATAGTAACACCGTCCCTCACCCCCACCCATCTTTCCCCTCCTCCACCTCTTTCCCCCTTTTCTTCCCAATGTCTCAACAAATGAAACTGATTTGTAAAAATGTTACATGGGGGAAAAAATACAAGAGAGACATTGCAAACACTTTTGTAAAACAAGAAAATCTTTAATTAAAAAATAAATAATAATAAACCCCAACTTTTTAAAAAGACTGAATTGCTCATAGCCATTTCTACATTGCTGATCTCCCAATTGCAGGAGATCAGGAGTATTAGCACAGTATGCTAATCTAGCACAATTAGCACAATATTAAATCTATGTGGTTTAATATTTAGCAGATTCTCTTGTAGGGTGGATTTGTTTTAAATCAAATCAATTTAAATCACTAGTCAGCAAGACTGATTTAAATAATCTTTTTTCTTTTTCTTTTTTACAAGAAGACTAATTCTTCCCGGTATTACCGTAATATTTACAACCAGATGAAGGTTTCATTTTTGGAATAATAAATTTTCAGAGTAGTTTTTACAGTTATATCAAAAATTTCTGATTTGGTTATACTATTAGAAATACATAGACAGATAATTATGAAATTATTGTGAGGTTTAATAAGTTAACTGTTTATATTTTGACAACTTTTCTGCTGTACGTTATTGGAAGGAGAAAAATAATCATTTCCTTAATAACAATTTAAACAATTTATTTAACTGAAACAATAACATTATAGCATATGTATCCATGTTTGTTAACTGATGTGGTTAAACAATTAAAAATAAATAAATCTTAGACTGAGTTTTAGCACACATGAAAAACTTAAAACAAATCCCTTTTTCCTGATGAATAGCCTTTGGATTATAACTTAAATAGAAAAATATCTTTAGAATGATTTTTTCTCCAAAAGCATTTAAGTTTAAAAATCTGATTAAAAAATTTAAAAATCTGTTGTTTTAAAAGAAAATCATCGATTTTTATCCACCCTGTTCTCTTGTAGTCAAGCTTTGCAAACTCAATTAAAATTCTAGTTCAAACTGACTATAAAAGAAATTATAATAAAGCCTGGTTACTACATAATAATAATAATAATAATAAACCATTGTGAGGATTGATATATACTAATAATGGTATAGGGGACACGGGTGGCGCTGTGGGTTAAACCACAGAGCCTAGGACTTGCCAATCAGAAGGTTGGCGGCTCGAATCCCCGCAATGGGGTGAGCTCCTGTTGCTCGGTCCCTGCTCCTGCCAACCTAGCAGTTCGAAAGCATGTCAAAGTGCAAGTAGATAAATAGGTACCGCTCCGGTGGGAAGGTAAATGGCGTTTCCATGTGCTGCTCTGGTTCACCAGAAGTGGCTTAGTCATGCTGGCCACATGACCTGGAAGCCGTACATCGGCTCCCTCAGCCAATAAAGCGAGATGAGCACCGCAACCCCAGAGTCGGTCACGACTGGACCTAATGATCAGGGGTCCCTTTACCCTTAATAATGGAATAGCAAACTATAGAAGAGGAGTGGAATTTCATGGGTAATAGGAAGAAATAGTAGTGAGGGAGGTACATAATATATTCCAGAGCTCCTAAGCATAGTTAGGAAACAAGGAACTCTACCAGTCGAATGCAGCTTAAAAAAAGAAAGAAAAGTAAACCTGACTAGCTACACCAGAATATGGATCCACACTTGAATGCAAACATCACTGAAAGCAATTCAATGTGGGCAGTATCTGCAACTGGATGGAAGGTTTATTATGCAAATCTTAACACAGCAAGAGACACTTGGGCAGAAACCTCGGAAGTATATTAAAGAATTACATTAAAGGATATAGCTTCCACAGCTTCAGTACTTATAGGCATATAGCAGTTATATAAGTCAGAGCTTTTAATTAAAAGGATTCCGAGCACATTTTACACTAGAATAAAAAAGGAGGATGACTGGAATGAGTGAGTATGCAACAAATGTATTAGTAATTTCCAAGCTGAAAGCTTCTATTGCATTCTGTAAAAACACCCAATATGTTCTTTAATTTTAAAAATGCACATACAGCGATAAGTGAAATGTGGAATATATTCATAGTTACCTGCATCCTCGCCAACAATGGGTTTGTAGCCATATTTCTGGAAGAAGTCTCTTATTTTCCCAAGATCTGTTGAAGTTTGTTTCATCAAAACTTTAGTGGCTTTCAAGAAATAATATGTAGCATCTCTTTCTGAAGAACTCTTACAAAGAGTATTATCAGCATCACTCTTCAATTAAAAAAAAGCATTTATCTTTAGACAATACTGAACAGTTTGTATAGGTCAGCAAGCAGTATGGCAGGATTATGACATCAGTTTTTTTATTATTGCCAACAGAAAAGCAGCAACAAAGGGTTCTTTCTTAAAAACGAAGGGAAAAAATTCTTCTACAAAATATGAATGATATACTGTATTTTTCGCTCTATAAGACACACCAGACCATAAGACACACCTAGTTTTTGGAAGAGGAAAACAAGAAAAAAAATATTCTGAATCCCATAAGCTGGAACAGCAGGAGGAATCGCTGCGCAGCGATCCCTCTCATTGTTCTGGCTTCTGGGATAGCTGCGCAGCCTGCATTCGCTCCATAAGACACACACACATTTCCCCATACTTTTTAGGAGGGAAAAAGTGCGTCTTGTAGAGCGAAAAATACAGTATTCCTCCACATGCTTTTGGAGGATTAGAGCCAACATTGTATATCACTGATGAATAATTTGGTGCAAGCTTAACAGAAGTATTTTAATTTTCCTGCGTATTTAGAATCATAGCTGACACACAGGAAGAAAACAAACGTTACCCCTCACTACTAATGTGACTTACTTCATAAATGCAGAAATGTAAACATTCACTACCAAACAGGACTTATCTTCATGCTTACATTTAGTCCTTTATTTCAGAGTGCATAGAATCAGAGAATTGTAGAGTTGGAAGGGATTCCAAGGATCATCAAGTCCAACTCCCCGCGATGCAGGAATCTCAACTAAAGCATCCATGACAGATGGCCATCCAACCTCTGCTTAAAAACCTCCAAGGAAGGAGAGATCAGTCCCTTCCACTGTCAAACAGCTCTTACTGTCAGAAACTTCTTCCTGATGTATAGCTGGAAATCTCCTTTCTTGTAACTTAAAGCCATTGGTTTGAGTCGTACCAGGTAGGACTCGAACCAATGCTGACTAGCTCTTTCTTTAGAATTTCAGTGAATTAGAACTTGGCATACCTAATACATAACCAGTGAAATTACAGCAAGAGTTTTAAAAGGTGGAGCAGGGGTTGTGGAGAATGGATCAAAAGTACCTTTAGCGTTCTGACTTCAGAGAACAGTTCGTGTAAGTACCTCATTGGTGAATCTTCTTCAAATTCTTCAAGCCATGTTTTTAAATGAAAATGGATTTAGAAAGAAAACACAATTCAGTATCTTTAAGGTATTCTGCAGGACAGCAGTTCCCAAACTATTTTTCCTACGGACCATTTGAAAAAATCACTAATGGTCTTGCTGGACCATTTTCCACCTCATTGTAGCAATGCACTGTGCTAGATGCTGTATGATTTGTAATTACAATTTTATTTCTTATATTTTATTGTATTACAATTTGAATTCCATAGAATACTATGTAAAATACAATAAATAATAAAATACCAGGTAATTTTTTATTTTAGTTTCATGGGTCTTCCTTACCTGTGTCATCACTCTGAAAAATCTGCTTCAGCTGCTCGGCCTCTTTTTCCACAGTGACCGCTAAGGTTCGCAGTTTGTTGAAGAACATGCCGCTGACGTCCATAGTGAAGGAAAACCCTAGACAAAGCAGCAGGTTTTTGTTGCTATTGGCATAATTTACAGAAAGAATACAGAGCAACTTTTCAACAAATAGGCAGAACACAAGCCATAGAAGAGTAATAAAAATAAATAAATAAATAAATAAATAGTTTTAACGGCTCAGCATTGGGAAATTTGGTTGTTTTGCAAGAGACTTTCCTCACAATCAGTTTAATCCAAGGAACACCTGCAGCAGAATAAATTTGTGTCACATACACTGCTGGATATTGTGTGTTGTCATTAGCTACCATTGATACAACACCCACAAAGATCTGACATTTCTGAGACTTTTCAGTGCATAGGAAATGCCACAGTTTTGTGTTTGTGTGTGTTATTATCACTGATAATTATATTTTTTGGATTCAAGTTGAAGTGAAATTCCATTCCCTTTGAAATAAAGTACCAAAGAACACTGCAATTTTATGAGAAGCCATCACCCTAATAATTCAAAGAATATCTTCCTCAAAAAGCAACCAGCTATAGCTACAGCTTGCTAGTGTGCTTTGTTTCAGGCTTTGATGCCTCTTTTACTATGCCATATACAAATGATGTTATTACAGAATAAAGCATGGAATAGTATATTGTAGCTAATCTAAGCTATACATCTGCATTCTAATTTGTGAGCCTCAGGCCAGGGACTGTGCATTTTAATTTTGCTCAGGACTTTGAGCCCTTCTATAAAGAATAAATGGCAGTGATTATTTAAACAAACAGATTCAAATATTTTATTATTAGTTATATTTGTATACCACCCTTCAGAGGGCGGTTCACAACATAAAAATGCAAAACAAGAACATAAATACATATTATGTATTTTACATACAAACACAATTAAAAGACAATAGCCAAAGGCCAGGTTATGGAGAAAGGTTTCTGCCTGGTGCCTGAAGATATTTAATGAAGGTGAGGGAGAGAGCATTTCCTAGCAGGAAGCCACAGTAGAAAAGACCCGTTCTCATGCTGCTACCCTCCAGCAGAGGTGGTCCTTGAGAATCTCTGTTTCCTGAGAGTAAGATCCACTGAAAGCAATTTTCTTCTGAGTAGGCACTGCACTGCAAGACTGAACTTTTTATAAGGTCCTAGACAACTCAGGTCCAGGCTTTTTTGTAGATCACCTTGACCGCTATATCTCCACACTCAAAAGATGAAGTGCTCAGTGTGCAGCTACTGACAAGGCCTTCAGTACGGTTGTACAATTATTATTAAATTCTGCCCCCTCCTTGATTAGACAGGCACCTATTGCCCTGTGCTTTGGACATCTACTCAAACCTCTGCTTTTTACTCAGGCCTTCCTCCAGCTAATTATTACTTTAGCCCATGGCCAATACAATCTACCACAAATCACTTTTAATATGCTTTGCAATTTTGTTTTGATATTTCACGTTAAGCATTTTATAAATCCTTAAAAATGTGGATCAAGCCAAGGCCTCTTCAGTCCAGCATACTAGGGCCAGGCAGATGCTTTGGAAGCTTCCTAATGGAGTTTGAAGATAACGCTCCCCTAGTAACCTCACTATCCAAGAACACGCTTTCCAGTTATATAAAAAGAAACGTTTTACATGCTGCTGTTATTTTAATGTTGCTAAACTCTATATCTATATTACCACACTTTACACCTTAGAATGCTTAATGGTATATTTTATTGCTGCATTGCATCCACCTTGGGAGAATTGTTGTTTAGTTGTGTCCGACTCTTCGTGACCCCATGGACCAGAGCACGCCAGGCACTCCTGTCTTCCACTGCCTCCCGCAGTTTGGTCAAACACATGTTGGTAGCTTCAAGAACACTGTCCAACCACCTCGTCCTCTGTCGTCCCCTTCTCCTTGTGCCCTCAATCTTTCCCAACATCAGGGTCTTTTCCAGGGAGTCTTCTCTTCTCATGAGGTGGCCAAAGTACTGGAGCCTCAGCTTCACGATCTGTTCTTCCAGTGAGCACTCAGGGCTGATTTCCTTCAGAATGGATCAGTTTGATCTTCTTGCAGTCCATGGGACTCTCAGGAGTCTCCTCCAGCACCATAATTCAAAAGCATCAATTCTTCGGCGATCAGCCTTCTTTATGGTCCAGCTCTCACTTCCATACATCAATACTGGGGAAACCATAGCTTTAACTATACGGACCTTTGTTGGCAAGGTGATGTCTCTGCTTTTTAAGATGCTACCTTAAAAAGAACTGATGATGTTGTTCAACCACTATTAAGGCTTTCCAAAACTTGCCCTCCCCACGTTTTAAAGAAAAACCTAAAAGGTGCAGAAGACAAAAAGTAGCCTTACCGTTGCCACGCTTGGGGAGCCTGCAACTTCTCTGCCTTCTTCCACACGACCGCTCACTAACACGTATTTACAGCCCCTCTCCCTACGGGCAGGAACAATAAAACGGTGAGGGGGGCGAGAAACAAACGCGCGCAGACTCCTGCCCAGTAAAAGGGACCTTTTTGAAGACCAGCAAACGGGGTGGGGTGGAATTGCTCCTTTAAATCTCTCTCAGTCTCCAACTCCTACCGCTTTTCTCTCACGCCACACACCCCTCTCCCGCCTCGACGTTTGAATCTGCCAGCTCAGCGATTGGTCAGCTGGGAAGCGAGCGAGCCAGCCCCGCCCTTGCTTACTTTCCACGCCTCTTCAGTGAACCAGGGAGGTGGGGTGGGAGGACATCTCCTCACTCTCGCGAGAGCTTTGAGGCTGAAGCGGGGAGGAACCTTTCGGGCGGCGCCATTTTCTTTTCCCTGCCGAGGTGGGACGGGCGGACCTGTGACCGGTGAGTTGAAGAGGAGCAGCGGGAGAGGGGTTGCGGGCAGAGCGGAGGGACGGGGAAGCAGGTGGGCGGGGAGAAAGGGGTTTCCCTCTAAACCGGCGGCAAGAGGAAGCGGGCGGGACACCGAGAAGCTGCCCAAGGTGGCTGGTAGGCAACGATAGAATTGCAGTGGAAGGAGTCAGGGGCTAGTTGCCATCCCATCCCGGGATGGGAGCACTTCAGACGTGTCAGATCTGCTGCTTTTTCTTCTTCTTGTTGCTAGAGCTCCCAAGATTTACCAGCCGAAGCCCAGGCGCAAAAGGCAAACGTGTAGCATTAAAGCAGAGGACGCACCTTGAGCAGCAGAGGCGTTTTCCGCTGCTGGAACTGAACTCGGTTCACAGTCCTTTCACACGCTCCAGGTGAGCCTCCAGGGAAGTGGGGATCCTCCGGTCCTCAAGGACGTCCAGGTTTGTCCATGGGGCCATTCCGCCCCCCCCATCATGCACACCTTGCTGATCAGCTGATATCACTGCTGGCATCAGGCGATGGGCGAGGGAACAGGGTCAATACAGAAAGCAGGATTTCATTCCCCATGAGTGGGTGGAGGTGGGGAGCCAAAGCAGCTCACATGCTTCTTCCAGCATGTAGTGCATAACTGTCAACCTTCCCTTTTTTTGGCAGGAAATTCCCTTATTCCAGCGCCATTTCCCGCTGCTATCCCAGATTGTTAGATATCCCGTAGACTGTCCCCAGGACAGGTGAGGCGGCTGAGCCCTTATTTTCAAGGCTGCTGATCCCTTATTTTCAAATCTGAAAGTTGACAGCTATGATGTAGTGTGCGTGAGGTGTTTCAAACAACGCGTTTGAGAAGCGATGTAGGGCAGCCTCCACACTTTCCTTACAGCAAGAAATGGGAGCGTGGGGGTTGCCTTGCTTCTCAAAAGTGTTGTTTGAATCAACCGCATCCAAATTCCCAAGACTAGGAATTTCAGCAGCGTGAGAGGTTTGCAGCTATGTGAATTTATTTCAGAGTTTACTTTCTACAACATGCAGGTGGTAGAGGGCTTCCCTAGCCTCCCTGTGAGATAACAGGGACAGGGCTTTATCGGTGGTGGTCCTACACTTTAGAACTACATCCCCAAGGTGCAGTCCCTCACTGCTGGTGGTCTTTAAAATAAATATTTCTTCTGGGGTTTTTTTTTTTTGTCTGGTTTGCTGAATTGTGCTGTACAGTACTTGAAAAAAATTATTTAGATGCTGCTGCGTTTTTGTTATTTTATTTCATGCATTTAGAGTAATGTAAGCCACTTTGTGCCCTGAAAACGGGGTTAAGAATAGTTTAATTGACGAGAGCAATCAGTAACAAAGTGTGATCTTTGGTACTGGGAGAGACGGGTTTCAGCCGAGTGACTATTTTCATCTGTTAATCCTTTTTTGGGGGTGTGGTGGGGATTATATTATACTCCTGTGTCTCTTCACATGAATCTGAGATCTCCTGGAGATTTCATGATATTTTTTTCTCACAAAATCTCCAGGAACTTGGACGGCCTGCAAGAGCCTCCTGGAGACCAGGAAGCAAGGCGGAGAGCTTAAAATTAAGCTCTGTCTTGCTTCACAGTCAAGATTGCTCATATGAAGGTGGTTCAAGTATCGGAGTTTTTGCATATGAGGTGCTACCCCAAGAATGTAATCCCTGCTCAGTGTACTACTGTGGGTTCGGCATAGCACAGTAGATGGGGTTGGCATATCAGTGTGAAGGCTTTGTTTGAGCTCTTCTCTGATACTTAGTTTTTGATGTGGGACATTCAAATATGAGTCCCCAGCTGATGACGGGGGCTGCATACACATCATTCATTTAAAGTCTACACACCCCTCACAGAATCTTCTGTCCAAATAATTTTTATTGGTTTCCATGTAAATACAAGAATATATAACTACAGTAACTTGTCCTGTGGTACATTCTTATTAAGTTTTGTATGCAATACACAGCACAAGCAATATGTTTGTTTATGCATTATCAATTCAAGTCTCTGCTCCACAGAGATTGTGTTGTTGTTGGAATAAAAGTACAGTATATTCTGTCCACCCCTCACAGAATCTTGAGGACCGTAGTTTACCCCTCATAGAGCTACAAGTGTCAATATTTTATTTTATTATTATTTTTTTGCAGGCAAGGAATAAGCTTTAAATGTATGGTATGTACCTAGCCTCAAATGGTACAACCCTTACTGGCTTATCAGTAGTAAGTGTTGCCTCATTTGGATTTTCCATTAACTGAAGAGAATCAAGGGAAGGGAAGAGTGCCTTTGTGGGAATCAAAAGATGCACCAGTCTGTCCTCTACTTACACATTATCAAAAATCAAGAGAAAGACCCCTGCAGCCTCTGACACAAGGATGATTGCCAAAAATCCTATGAGATAGGTGTACACATTGATGTCTCAAGCTAGAAGTCAGCTTCTCTAATTCATCATAGCCATGGGTTCTAGCTGCTAACTGTAAATAATATTGACCTCTTGTATTTGATTGAATAATATTCAAGTAATCAATGTTAACCTCCTTTGCTGTTAAAGGTATGTTTCTGACCATAGCACGGCTTCGAAACCGCATTCCTGGGAGTCAGTGGATTGGTAAACACAGACGGCCGAGGTTCGTTACAGAGATAATGAAACAGGGTATCATCAAGAGGCTGGAAAGGGAAGCTGAAAATGAATATTGGCTGAGCCGGCCATACATGACAAAAGACCAGGAGTATCGCCACAATGCAGAACGTAGACGTTTATGGCGGGAAAGAGCAATAGCTGCAGAAAAAGCTAAGTTTCCAGAGCATAAGTATGCTACAGAACATCTGGGTCACCTTAATGTGACCAAGAAATGGACAGAAGCTTGAAAAACTTAAGTTGGCGTTCAGCTGGACTGCTTGCAATTGCTGACAGTGGCAACCACCAGTTATGTAAGAAGGCCTGTAAATAAATGTATTACTCTTCAGCTCTCAGTCTCAGTGCTCATTCCAAGTTACAGGTGTTCTTTTTCTTCCAAACTTTGGTAATGCTATTCTGCCTAGAAAGGATCATCCTCTCTCCTCAAGTTGTGCTTGCAAAAGTTTCTCGTAATAATCTGATGTTCAGTCCAGAGTAATGTCCAGTTATTCGTTCCTTCTAGGTGTTATTTTCCCAGTGTTAAATCCAGGCATCTCAGTTTCATTCCTTTCCCTTCCCATCCTAGAAGTCCAGAAGAGGTTCTCCAGTTATTATTAAAAGTAAGAGTCGGCCTTAATCTTCTTCCGGTCCACCCTCACAACTTTACCACCAGATTTTAAAAGACAGTTCAGTCCTTATTCTTTATTCATCATGAATTTCTTTACTGTATTTATATGACAATGTCCACAATTGATCAGAAATTAAGTAGACATTAATTCGCACTCCCGCAAAAGTTCCTGTATCTTCCAGTTCCATTTCCTGTTGCCATGGTCTTCAGTCCTTGCCATTTTTTCTTTCAATTTCCTGTATTTCCATTCTTTTTTTTCAAAAGTATGGCAGGAAGCATGATCACTTTGTCTTCTGAGATTCCAAGTTATACACAGAGTCCTCCTTCCATGAATTCCATCGCCTTCCAGCATTACATCTGTTGCACTCCTTCCAGCATCAGCAATAAACCATCCTCGAGGGCTGACAAATTATCCTTGATAATTTTTTCCAGGAGCTGTGACTCTTCAGCAATCTGTGTAAAACCTTCCTCCTGATGTAGCAAACCATCTCCAGTATTTTTCCCCAGGAGCTGTAATTCCACACCCACCTCCACTTTACTCAGTGATTTGCCCATTATCATTTTCTGCATCTCCCATTTTTAATTGCGTTCTCTGTTGATCAAATAATTTTTGAAAACCTGCCACAGTTAATAGATTATTTCTTAACATACTTGCAATCTTGGGTGCTGCTAGAAGTACAGTCCTAACCACATTCTTAGCATTCCATTCTTCCTACTGCGAGCGCAGCAGTAACCATTAATTTTCATTACTGTCAATGCAATCACTTGTGAAATGGAGGATCAAAGATATAACAGCACAAGAACATAGACACTTCTTAGAGATTCTCTTCTCTGTTATAAGCAGGTGTGTGTTATGAACAGCTGTATACTTTCCTCGAAACAAACTAGATACTTCCTGAAAAAAACCAATTTTGCCGTCAGTCTTTCAATGACTTCTCTTCTTAAGCCAGCTTTAGGGTCGTATTTCAAATTGACATTTTTACTGACAAAGGAGTAGTTTCTTTAATTTCTTTAGTGATTTATAGTAGTTTCAGATATAACTAAAGAAAGGAGGTATGGTTACGTCTTTTCCTAGGAGATTGACCTCCAGAGATCTTTAGCAGTGCCTGGGCAATGTTGTCGTTTTTCCCACTCCTTGTCACTCAGCCGTCCAATAGGATTTCTCGATCCCACGTCAGCAAGCAATCCATCAAGAACATCCAGGAATTAATCCAAATGTTGTCTCTGTTCAGCAGAGACAAAAATGACACATAATCTTCCACCGTTAGTCACCACTTAATTACATCTTTGGGGAGCTCCCGAGAGAGGTGACTAACCTGCGACGGCTCCTTCCCCGGAAGTGTATCTTGAGAGTGTTTCTTGATTTTAGCTTTGTCATGTTGTGTGTCCTCAGTGGTAGCATGCTATCTAGCAGCAACCTGTCAGGGACAGAGGTAGGCAACAGTGATCCATGCTTTGGGCTGGGACACTTCCATTTCAAGTATAGTGTCAATGAGACCTGTGAAATGTATCCTGTCCTAATTTGTTAGCCTTTACTAGCTAACATTTCCAGGCAAAATGGAGCCAAGTGTGGGAACCCAAAATGGAGGTGAACTCTGGCAACATCTGCCCACTGTTATCTTTATTTAATTGGACTGACACATGAGAGATAGCCCCAACTAACTTTTAAAGCTCCTCTTCCCAAGTGATGTCCCCACGCATTTATACCCACACATAAAAGAGAATTGAAATTGTATCTTCATCACTTGCACCAATTAGAAATGCATTTCACAAGTTAGCTCATTTTTTCAACGTATTTATTTAGTTTCTTTTGCATTCAGTGTGTCATAATCCATTTTAATGTATCATCACTTTGGCAAAGAAGGGTGTAAAGATTATGCTTTTTCCCCTTAAAAGGAGCAATGCTTAAGATATTAATGGAAGTCTGCACTTTGATATATAAAATACTCAACATGATTTAAAATTATTGGTGAAAAATACACATGAAAATATTACAAGGTGCAGATAAAAACATGAAAATTTCAGGCAAAATGATCTGTATTCTTTTATATTTAATTTATTTATAAAAGTCCGTTTAAAAAGTCACTTTAAAGTATTAATGGCAATGCTTTCTTTGTGCATAGGAATATTCCTATCTGCAACATAAAAACAGATGCATTATTCACATTATATATCCTCTAAATAACCTCATACCAATTTAAATTTGAGTATTTGCAAGCTTACTTAGTTACAGTGGATATACCTTTATTTAAGTAAAATCCTTGCATACACCTTTGTCATAAATACAGGACAATGTATTTGACATACCCACTGGTAAACACACAGGTTGTGGCAGCCCTAGACATAAACTAAGGATGTCACTCTTATGGCCTTGTAATTTACACACGAGGGCAGAAGAAATGAAGACACAGTGGAGAGATGTTCTCTGTTTTGCATTATGGTCTGCAATTCTAAACCATGTATTTATGTGTCATCTCTGCAGAAACCCATAGGACTTCCTGGTAAATGCATTTAGGAATGAAGGAAAAATCTGCATTCCTTAAACCACTTTATATAAAATTTTCCTGGTAGAATCCCAGAATTCTGGGACTACTTGGGAACTGCAACATAATGTAACTTGTACATCTGTTGGTGTTTACAATTTCTGGGTACCAAGAAAAAGGTTCTGATGCTGTCCTAACTTGACCCAAGTTATGAGTCAGTCATATCCCTGTTGGATGATCTTCTACAACTCAACTTCACTTAATGTTCTGTAAATGTGGACAGACACTTTCTACCATTTGCAAGATTCAAGTTAAGATCTGGAGAATACATATTGGATATTAAGACTGAGTTAAAGCATAAGTTTCCAACACAGATCCAAGAGATGTATTGCTAAGTAACCAGGAGCTAACGTCACATTGTATATTAGGGTTGGCATCTTATTAAAAATAAAGATGATGTTTGGAACTTGATTGACTCTAGTAGTTGATACCAATTGTTAAGGCATTATTCTACCAGAAAAAAGAGTCGTTGGTAAATGAAAGAAGTGCTGCTGTTTTAAAAAACAACTTCACCCCAAATCTGTAACATAAAACTGAACTCATAAAAGTGGCCAGCAAGCAACGCCAGATTGTGCTAGAATCAGAACTCAGGGGAGCTTCTTGAAACAGGAATGTGTCTGCTAGGGAATGCAAACTGTATTTACTAGCATTAAAAATTACATTGATCCTTAAATGTGACCTGCTGATGCTAGGTCATTTACTAGCAAAATGCTTTCATAAGGCATTGGAATTAAAACTAAACCGTTTACAAACTATATTCTTTGGTATTATTTCTCAATACTGGTCAAGATAGTTTACACATTAAACAACGGATACCATGAAGAAGAGTCTTCTGGAACCTTTTCAAAGTGGTTTAAGGACTGCAAATCAATAAAGTATTAAATATTGACAATTATTACCCCAATAGTGAAAAAAGGGAATGCATTAACAGCAACGTGTGGACTTCTAAGATTCACGTTAAGTGCAGATGGGCCTTAATTCCTATGTACACTCTACAAAGAGAACCCTGTTACCCATTTTACGTACTCTACATATATGACATACTATAAGAAATGTGCTGCTATAGTTGACCTAACTGGTAAACGCAACCCATAAATTTATGGCCTGGCTCCCAAGATATACTTGATTCCATTCTATCCTTTCCTGAAGCTGTTGAGAGTCAAAGCACAGGTACTGTATGAAGAATGGGACAAGCAAGGCAGAGCATGGCACCTCTGCCCACTTGCGTCAACACTGAAGGGGCTGTCCATTTGCTACAGTGCCTAGCTAGTGCAAGAAGTTGTGGGACCATTCTGTGGGCTGGCTGGGACATAAGAAGACAAAAAAACAAACCTGCCTCTATTCATCCCCACCTGACCTGGAGAAGCTATATGCAAGGTGCTGTTGTGCCACATAACGCTTATTTCCCCCATGTGCTCTGAAGCACTGATGGCAACTGCTATTTCAGGACAGGAGTTGGGGTGAAATCCCACTACCTTGAGTATGGAGAGTGAGGTTAGCAGTTGCACAGAAAGCCCTGAGCTTGATTTATGCATTTTGCACAGGAAGTGTGTAGGATCCAGCTCTTGAGTTTGGGTTGGTCACAAAGACAGCACAAACCATTTTAGCTTTTCCTTCATTTTGTAAACTAAGCTGATCTAAGAAGATCCTAAACTATTATACAAACTACAAAATTTATTTTCAATATAATTCCCCCCCATCCAACTATCGTCATGTTTCCTAAGATTTGCAAAGTGGATCCCGGTTTTTCCACTTGTATCATACATGGGATAATTTATATAAAAGGGGTTTGGGAAGAATTTAATATTTTTATGGAGCTAACGAACTATGAGCAGCTTGGACACAATTTATGATGGGGAATTAAAAGGTACACATCAAGGTAGAATGATGGGGAAGTCTAACACCATACAGTGAGCCAAGACAGAACTTCGTGGCTACAATGGTCTCCTCCTTAAAGAGTATCGGAAGCCAGAATTCTGCTTAAAGAGCTGGGCGGCTGGAGATGAGGATTCTTCTGAGTCAAGCATCGAGTACTTTGCTGCCCCTTGTGAACTGATAATAAAGATTAAGCCCCCACAGTAGTTTGTAGAATTATTTGCTCAGAAAAAGGTTTGTGTCTTAAAAGGATAGGCCTTGGATTCAGGGTCAGTGAGACTGTGGGAGGGAGAGATGCCAAAGCAGGGGTAACTAGAGAACAAACCCTCTTTCTCCCTTGGGTGCATTCTTCCACATCTTACTCAAGGAATTTTGCTAGTAAAAATCCCTGTGAAATCCAGTCCCATAAAGTACAGTACATATTTGTTTATTTTCTCTTAAAAAAGAAATGGATGATTTCTGGAGCTGGGCTGAAAGAAGATGGATAAATCAATTGGGATCTTTATGCTGGTTTTATCAGTCAAAAAGATTTGAAAGTAATATTCAGGTAAACATCTCTGGGGAGGAAGGAAGAAGAGGAATTCACTTTACTAAATTATATTGTTGATATGGCTTAATAAGACAAATTCTAGAAATTAAACTATTGGCACTTTAAAGAAACAGAAAGTCGAGGAAACTTTATTCTCCCTAACTAATGTACCATGTTGCCAGTGGGCCCTTATTTCTGGAAAAAATAAAAAAAAATGCAATGGAAAAACCTTGCTTGTCTGATGTTGTATTGCAACAAAGCAAGCCTGTAGGAAGAGAACTTCAATATCAGAGAGGACTAAAAGGCCAGAGTCTTGGGTTGGCTGTTTAGCAACACCTACCAATACCACTGGTTATCTGATAATGGTAGTGGAGAAAGCAAAAATGCATCATGCTGCAAGTCTACCAGATAGTGCTTTGAGACACATAATCGTACTGTGAAGTTTCAATGGCCGTACTCTATGATTGTTTCACTCTTTCCTCCCCTGCCCCATTTTTCTTCCATAGACTTGCTATGGAAGAAACTCCCGTATGACACCGGCATGGCATTTCTCACACCAACTTTGCAGAATTAGTTTCCTCCACCGCGGTGCAGCCAAAATGCATAGTTTCTGCACTTCTAAAAGTCTTGCATACTCTCATATCCTTCCAGGGTATTTCAGGATTTGGCCCTTGTAGTGGCTTACGTCCATGTTGCAAAAATGCACATCAAGAATCTTAAGGCATCAAACTTTCTGCTATGCAACAGTGCTCATAAGCATCCACTGGATACCGTCAAGGATTTCGTTTTTTCATATCCTGCTAACATGCTGGCACTGTTCCATTGATATATCAGTGTCTTCCATACAAAATTAAGTAATATCCAAGCACAAATGTAGTGTAGAAACCTATACGGAAAACAAATTACATTAGTGTAATGCTGCATAAAGACAGAGATAGAAAAAAGACATGGCTACCTACTCCGTATTTCGATCTATGTCACTTCCTTGCATGACTTACTGCTTATGAAGGGCTTTCTCCAAAATGACTGAAGCCCAACTGGGGTCTCTGTGCTGCCACCTGTGTTCCACTCATACAACTTCTATCAGCTTGGTCTTGGGATGCTGGCAACTGCACTGTAAACACATTTCTATCCAAACAGGAATTGGCTTCTACTCTGTGAAATCTGCCTGCTGCTTTAAATCTGCTTTGGAAATAGATTTGCGGTATCTCAAATTAGCCTATAGAAAACTCATCCCCTAATCACAGACACAAGGGAACTGATCGCGGCTACTCCACACTGAAGAAACACTGTCCTTAATTGCTGTGTTTCTGCCTTCACTTTTAAGACTAGGCTTTATATTTCTGATGCATCACCCATGCTCCATTTTCCTTTCTTTTTTTTAAAAAAGGAAGGCTTTCAAAACGAAAAGAATCTTATTTCACAGCCTTACAAGGTCACAATAAATCACTATTTCTGAGCGGAAGTTATCTTACCATCTTTTCCTCTCCACTGAGAGGGATGGACACTGAAGCCAAGATCAGCTCTCCAATGAAACTATAATATGCTTTTTTACACCTTTAAAAAATAAAGAAAACATAATTATAAAGGTACATGCTTTAGAGACGTTACGTGATGAAATTTTTTTTTGGGAGGAGCGGCATTAAGCCAGTATCTGACCTCTTTATTTGTATTAATCTGCAAAAGACAAACTTGTTCATCTTTAAAATCAGTTACTCTCCATTCTCTCTTTCTCTCATTTAATCAGAATGTTGAATTTCTGTTCTATAACAAGTGATTATAATTAATCAGTTAACATTCAGTACCTGATTTAACATTTTCATCTTCTGAATTGGTTTCCACCCACTGGTTTTCACTGGCCAGCAATCGATTTTGGGACTCGCTTAGTGGCCTAACAGGAAATGGTTGACTGGGACCCGAGCTGAAAAGAAGAACTGCTATCAGAAGCTGGAGTTCATGCACCAAAGAACTTTAAATTCTTAAACACTATTCTGGAGACCAACACAATATGAATTAATATTGCTCAGTTAAGACATAACTTCATGAGCTTCAGGCTTGCCTGCTGTCCTCTCCCCTTCATGCATGATGGGAGGACATTTAAGGCACCCATTCCTAGTAAGTAAGAAACTTTGCTAACCAGGAAAAGAGGCTTTAAATGTCCTCCCCTCAAGTGTAAAGGGGAGGGTTGGATTGTTCAAGCCTATAACAAGAAACAATAGTTTGTGGTTACATGATCTAAACTGGCACAATCTCTCTCAAGGGCTACTCTGAATGCCTGGCATACAACAGAAAGGATGCACAGGGAATTAATTGGTGAGAACAGTGAGCTTGTAAGAGATATAAGGCTGAAAGCTCCATATGGCAGGTCAGGACGAAGGCAGGAAAAAATGAGGCTTAGAAAGCTCAATTTTAAATGGACAAGGTGTCCATAACTAAGCTTGCACTATAAATATTGTCAAACATAAAGAACTTCCCATTAAAAAGAAATAAACTTTCCAGCCTAACTCACTTCAAAGTCAAACAGCATCAAAGGACGTTTAGAGTGGGGGAGTAAAAAAGGAGGCTAAGACCTGGTGAACAATGGGTCAAAAGCAGAGGCAGGGAAAAGATTAGACTACAAAGAGGACTGTTCACATTTGGCCACAGCTGTGGTCTTCAATATGCATTTTTCCTTGCTTTGTAAAAATGATACACGTAAGATAAAAGGAAGCAAGACACAAGTGAAAGAAAAACCACACACCTTTTAGCAGGATCATTTTGGCTTGAGACAGTAAGCTGCTCTGGATCCATAATCACCAAGCGTGTTGGAAAGTTACAGCCATCCCCTAAACTGAACAATAAAATAGACATGACATCTAACTAGTGTGCTATTAAAAACTAACACTAATGGATACACTGGGTTTAAAACAGTTATATGAAGTGGCACATTTGAGTGACTCAGTAAATGTAGATAGTACATCGCCCTGTTCAAACAATGGAATGTTCTGGTTGGTATAGCAGATGGTTAAGTAACTTTTAAGCACTGCAACCTCCACTACAAATAATGCAGGAAATGACTTATTTCAGAGCTGCAGGTAACTTGCACGTTTATTTATTTAGTATAAACACCATGGAAGCATATATGTACTTGTTCAACAAAGTTTGTCTCCAAAATAAAAAAAAGGCTTGTGCTCCACTGGAACAACACAAAACACCTATGTGAGCTTGACGGTAGGAAATTTAAGACTTAAAAGAATGTGTATTATCAGTAAATTACATGCAGTCTGTTTAACCTCAAGAGTTCACTGGAGTGTTTTTGAATGTCTCAGTTTGAACTGAAATCTCATTTTCTTGCTGTTTCTCTTAAATTTCTAAAACATGGGGCGTTAGCTATTACTGTAGAAATTGTACCTGGCTGCTGACCTCACAAAGCAAGGTAGTCTTTTTAAATACAAAGTTCTTACAAAGGTCTGAGCGACCTATATTCCTTGACAGTATGTTATTTCTGCATGTTCAAGGTTACAGCACAGCTGTTAGAGTGGAAGGCAACTAAATCAGACCCTTTAAAAAAGTGTTGTCCTCATGCTGGGAATACTAACAGTAGGACTTAGCAAAGATGCCACTTTTTAAAAAAGGACAGTTGTACAAATGATCTGCAAATATCCACAGATAAGAACTAATGACGACCAACTATTTTGACTCTGCTTTATTTTGTAAAGTCATAGAAATACTTTGATATGGTCCCATTTGTATTTCACTTGAACCATAAATGTATGAAGCCCAATCCTACTGAATATTACTTGGGAGGTATATTTTAATACTACTAATAATAATTTATTATTTATACTCCGCCCATCTGACTGGGTTTCCCCAGCCACTGGGCGGCTACCAACAAAATATTAAAAACGCAACAAAATCTTGACAAATAAAGTTTACTCCCAGGCAGGCATGCACAAGACTTACAAACAGTTATGTAGAATAAAAGAGGTGTCTACTGCAAAGTTCTGAAAATGTTTGTCAACAACAGACGTTACAATGGAGAAAACAAAAATCACTGTCTAGAATACAGAGGGATTAAAAGGAAAAACTGGTATGTAGTACAGTGGCACGGTCCTGAAGAAAAAGGTTTATACAGTCATACCTCAGGTTGAGTGTGCTTCGAGTTGAGTGTGTTCAAGTTGCGCTCTGCGGCAACCCGGAAGTAACGGAGTGCGTTACTTCTGGGTTTTGCCGCTCGCGCATACGCTCAAAATGACGTCACGCGCGGAAGCGGCAAAACGTGACCCGTGCACGCGCAGATGCGCCGTCGCAGCTTACGTTGCGTTCAGGATGCGAACGGGGCTCCAGAACGGATCCCATTCGCATCCCAAGTTACCACTGTATATATAAATACGGAATATTTTAAATAATTTGTCTAAAATACCCAGTACAGAACAAGGACCTCACAATATAGAGGATTGAACATGCAACCTCCCAGGCTACATTATGCACAAAAATAATTTAAAAAAGAATGCAGTTTAGGTCTTAGCAGACAATATATAATTTAGTTAGCACATAGGTATGTTCATTGTTCAGGAAATATACAAGTTACAATTTTAGCAGTATTTAGGACTGCTAGCTTCACTAAATCACCAAACTCTAGATTTTACTCTAATAACTTTTAAAAGTAGAAGAATAAAATTTAAACAAGAATACCTTGTAAAAATTGGTAGCAACCAGTACTTCTTCTCATCTCCAAAAACCTCTCTCAAGTTTTTACTGCATCCGAGAGAGAAGCCATTTTTGTCAGGTCCATTTCGAAACATAGGTGCCCTGAAAGCTTCTGCATCACACACAGAAAACAAAAGTAAACAAATGTGGGAAAGAGGACAGATCTCTTAAGAATATATGAAGAGCCCTGCTGGATCAAGCCAAATGCCCACCCAGCATCTTGTTTTCACAGTGCCCAGCCAGGACCTCAGCACAACAGCACTCTCCCACTTGTGCTCCCTAGCAACTGGTATTCAGAGGCATAATTCCTCTGAGCCTGGAGGTAATATATGGCCATTAAGACTAGTAATCACTGACAGCCTTACCCTCTATGTATTTGTCTAATCCTTTAAAGCCATTAAGTAGCAAAAATGCAAAAAGTCTACAAAATAAAAGTTTGTTGTTGTTTTCATTAAAATTGCACTCTTAAAAAATGAGCTAGAAAAACACGGACCAAATTCAACAAAAGCGGCGGCTGGAACAAATGTAGGAAGCAACTAATTAAACAGACATTTTCAGTAAAGATGTTCCATTTGGTATGGTTTAAACCAGCTTCTGGAAGTGAGAGCTGGACCATAAAGAAGGCTGATCGCCGAAGAATTGATGCTTTTGAATTATGGTGTTGGAGGAGACTCTTGAGAGTCCCATGGACTGCAAGAAGATCAAACGTATCCATTCTGAAGGAAATCAGCCCTGAGTGCTCACTGGAAGGACAGATCATGAAGCTGAGGCTCCAATACTTTGGCCGCCTCATGAGAAGAGAAGACTCCCTGGAAAAGACCCTGATGTTGGGAAAGATGGAGGGCACAAGGAGAAGGGGAGGACGAGATGGTTGGACAGTGTTCTCGAAGCTACCAGCATGAGTTTGACCAAACTGCGGGAGGCAGTGGAAGACAGGAGTGCTTGGTGTGCTCTGGTCCATGGGGTCACGAAGAGTTGGATACGACTAAACAACAACAACAACAACAACAAAAACCCAGCTCCTGTATCTAACAACAGCTAACCTAAGATGGAAAGGAAGCAGCAGAAGAAGAGTTTGGATTTGATATCCTGCTTTATCACTACCCAAAGGAGTCTCAAAGCGGCTAACATTCTCCTTTCCCTTCCTCCCCCACAACAAACACTCTGTGAAGTGAGTGGGGCTGAGAGACTTCAAAGAAGTGTGACAAGCCCAAGGTCACCCAGCAGCTGCATGTGGAGGAGTGGAGACTCATACTCGGTTCCCCAGATTATGAGACTACTGCTCTTATCCACTACACCACACTGGCTCTCAAGAAGTTAAAACGGCCAGTAGCAGGAAACGGCATAAGTCACTTAAATCGATATGCTGATTGAGGGGTACAATCCTAACCTCCAGGGATTCTTAACAGGACTTGCTTATGAGTAAGCACAGCCGTGAAACACACTAAGCAACCTTGAGCCAACAGCACATGCTCAGACTAACCTAGCTCACAGGATTAACGGTGAGGAGAAAGTAGAATAACATTGACTTTCTTGGAATTGGAATAGATAACAATACCGCAGATTGTTTACTAACCTATTGTTGACCTGTTTTTGCCAACCAGCCAGCAGTGATAGCTGAAAAGTGACAGTATACTGATGAAGAACATGGCAGCCACAAAGAAAAGGAAGAGAACATGGAATTTTGCACGAGTGTCCAGCAGTTCATTCTGGGAAGAAGAAGAAAAAGGGGGGCGGGATTAGTACTTCTATTCAACAGCTGGTCTTCTATAAAGTTGCCTCTCTGAGCCAGTATCACCATATCCAAACATTACTATGAGCATATTTAGCATTTTAGAAACCTAAATTATATGAAACCAATGTAGAACTGCAACTCACAGGGCTTGCCAATACTTTGTGACAGAGTGTACATGAGCATCACTGTAAAAGCACATTCAACATCCTTTGATGCGCATCTGTATGATTTCTAAGTGCTGCTATACTTCCTATACAATGTTTACAACGTGTATTTTTCTTTATAGAACTTAAACTGCCTGAGGTAAGATGTAGAGTAAGCCTACACACTATAAATTCAACTATAAAATTGGAAATGGGGGCAGGATGAATCTTCCTCCCACCCATCTGAGCTTAATTAGATGTTCAGTATGAAGTTATCACTGTTATTTGTATGCCACATGATCATGTGAACCAACACACACCACATACAATGTAAGCCTCTGTAAGAAGGTGAAAGTTATAGGGAATGTGCATAGGTTTTTTTTAATGATGTTTTTACATTGAGTAGAAGTGTCATTTCATGAGAAAATGTCTCGTGTATTTTTAATTCAGTTTCAAGTTTTTCCACATATGCTCAGATTACAAAAATCTCATGAAACAATAAATAGTTTAATTGCAGCAGTTACATAGCTTGAAAAACCAATTATTTCTAAAAGATGACCTTTAAAATAGAAAGGTAAAAGTAAAATTCTCTCATCATAGATTAGCATCCATTTAAGTTACCACCAGCATTTAAGTGTACTAATTTCTTCTTCGGCTCTCCACAATAAGCTTCAATTAATTAAAAATACATAATTATACAGATAGTATTACAAAATAGTATGATAATCTTGTTTCATTATTAAAAATGAATGAGCACACCAGAACAGACTTCAGCTTAAATTGCATTTTACCTTTGGACAATTCTCAGCAGATTTCCTGCGGCAAAGCTTTGTGCAAATAAAGACAATTTATTAAATAGCTTTATCCCTTCAAGGCTGGTGTTCAGAAACAGTAAAAACGTTGTTAGAAAATTAATGGCTTATGCGTGCAGCATTCAATGGCAAGAGGCCTTAGTCTACATTCAGTGGATGAACATGTAAAGGTGAGCTTGTGTTTGCACAATGAGATTGAAGTAAAAGGTAATTTATTTTAATGGTGTGGACTCAAGGCACACCATTAAAATTAAGATTAACACATTGCTCTCTCTAATTTTCCACATTGGAAGTTCAGCCTTGAAGCCAATTGGTTTTATATAGATCCAAGAAGACTCTTGGAAGCTAATGTTCATAGTGATGTGAGGTTTGGAAATTTGTTACCCAGCTACAAATCAGAGCATTTTGAAAGCACAGTGTCCTTGCCACTATCACAGAATTACAGAATGAGTTATTTGGAGACTCCCTTCAATTTATTGTATGATGTTTAGTTCTTTTTATGTAACTAAAAGTGGGTTTGGGTACATGTAAGATACCTATCATTTTGCTTACGTATATCACTTTAATTCTAAAATCATAGCTTAAACCATTCTCAATGGATCTTTAAAAAGCCACAGATCTCCCTATGCTTTAGAGCAGTGGTTCCCAATTAGCTAAGTACTGCAGACCCCATGTTTTTGAAAATGTTGACATCTGATGTGGTAGTTTTGGTTATGTGAATGGTGCCACCATACCCTCCAACATGTCCCAGCGCAAAACTGGGATGCATGTTTTCTGGGCCATGCACCTGTGCAAGAGCACGGCACCCAAAATCGTGTGATTTTGGGTGCTGCAATCTTGTGTGTTTTGGGGCACAGCATGGCTGCCCCAAAACAGGATGCCCCAGACAGTTGGCAGGCATGTGCCATTGACTGCCTGGGTAAGTTATGCCAGTTGGAAACCACTGCTTTAAAATGTATCTTTATAAGAACTGATGGAGAAGTATCTTCAAAAATGTTTAAAAGGAAAGCAGCATGTTTCCTTTCAAAATGTTAGCGAGCTAAAACTCACATATCTGAAAAATGGAGGAAATCAAGAATATCTAGTCGTTTCTTGAAAAAATAATGGGAGTCACACACACACACACACAGAGAGAGAGAGAGAGAGAGAGAGACCAGGAATGGAATGTGTTTAGGGAAGTTTTTAATGTCTGATTATTTATTGTGTTTTTAATATTCTGTTGGGAGCCACCCAGAGTGGCTGGGAAAACCCAGCTAGATGGGCAGGGTATAAATATTATTAATTGATTGATTGATTGATTGATTAAACACATCTTTAGATTAACCAGTTCCAGTACTGTATCTCAGAGCCACTGACTGATATTACATTATCACATGAAATAATATTACGATTCTATCTGCCTATTACTAATAGCTGCCCAGAGACACTTGTCTCCTTATTTGTACTGTATGTATTGCTATATATAATTCTTCTTCTAATATCTTTTGGTAACTTTCACTACAGTTACTGAAAACAGTAGTTGTGGGTATGTTTAACCTGGAAAAGAGCAGACTGAGGGGTGATATGATAGCCATCTTCAAATATCTCAAGGGCTGTCGCATGGAAGAGGGAACATACTGGTTTTCTCCTGCTCTGGAGGGCAGGACTCAAACCAATGGCTTCAAGTTACAAGAAAGGAGATTCAGACTAAATACAGTATCAGGGAAAACATTCTGACAGCAGGAGCTGTCTCCATGAGAGGTTGTGGACTCTCCTTTCTTGAAGGTTTTTGAGCAGAGGTTAGATGGCCATCTCTCATGGATGCTTTAGCTGAGATTCCTGCATTGCAGGGGGTTGGACCAGCTCTACAATTCTATGATTCTTTAATAGATAATTGGTAAACCCAGAAAGTGTATGTGGTGCCAAGCACAGAATTTTGGATGCATCCCGTCACGTTTAAAGCACTGGGTGAGGACGCACAGGACATCTGCTGTGAATGTAGAAGGTTCCAAGTACAGTCCTTATCATCGTCAGGCAGAGCTGGGAGAGACTCGTATCTAAAACCCTGGAGAGCCATTGCTAGTCAGTGTAGACCAGTGATGGCCAAACTTGGCCCTCCAGCTGTTTTGGGACTACAACTGGTCCCTTGCTAACTGTGGTCAGGGATGATGGGAATTGTAGTCCCTAAACAGCTGGAGGGCCAAGTTTGGCCATCACTGGTGTAGACGATACTGAGCTTGATGAACCAGTGGTTTGATTTGATATAAAGTAGCTTCCCATGTTTCAGGCAGAAAGCTCACTGGATGGAGTTTGCCAAGTCTGTCTCAGTTCAGATGTATTTAGCTCAGCTTAAAGAAATAACGAGTGAGTCTTGCATGCATGCACACCACCCTTTCCTTCTCAGGAGGTTGCAATTAGCCTCCAGTTAATCATCGTTCCCCCCATTATCTCCAAACCTAGAAATGGTGGTTTTCAAATTAGAAACAAGTTAGGATCTTAAACCACCATTTAAAGTTGATGTAAGATCCTGGCCTGTTCTGAAGCTGGTAACCATAGTTTTCCAAATCAGATGTAATGGGAAACAAGGAAGAAGAAGAGGAGGAGGAGGAGGAGTTTGGACTTGATATCCCACTTTATCACTACCCTAAGGAGTCTCAAAACGGCTAACAATCTCCTTTGCATGGCCAAATAAAGCCCTTTGTGGCACAGTGGATCAGCGCGTCTGGCTGTTAACCAGAAGGCTGGTGGTTTGAGGCTGTGGGCAGGATTCATGCATGGCAGGGCATTGGACTAAACAACTCTCAGGGTCCCTTCCAACTCTACAATTCTATCATTCTATAAGGCCCATATTTCTCTATGCTTAACCAACCCTCAGAAGGGTGTCTTTATCCTCACAAGAGAAGATCTCATGGAATATTAAGAGAGAGAATTTACTCTGAGCCGGTCAAAGATTTTCCTTTTCTACTTGTGATACATGCACACACAAACTGTTTTCTGAAATCAAAACTGACTTCTTTAATGTAAGAAGTTATCTCATTAAATAAGAAGCTCTCTTATATTCCATGTTCTTCAGAAGCACAACGGTGCAAGTCCACAGCCATTGGCAACATGAGGCATTTTTGGCTTCTTGTGGCACAAACCTCAGTGGTCTACAGCCTTCATAATATTGTATTTTCAGGTAGTGATTTAATATAAAGTAAAGAATGCTACTCAATCAGAGTAGTGAAGAACATTATTTTGGAATTAGATGAGGGCAATGTTGACATTTTTCGAGTTAATAAATGTCATATGAACATAATGTGGTCTCTTAAAACATGCAGAGCAAAAACTGTCCCAGGGTTTTCCAGCTCTAGTGAATCTGAAAAAACACACATTATTAAATAAATAAATTTAGATTAACTATCGGTAGGTTTTTATTCCTTCAGCCGCTTCAAACTGATGATGGTTATATGTGGTATGTCAACAATAAATGCATGATGTTTAAACACACAGAGACAGACAGCTAAATAGACAGATAAAATATCTAAGATATGATTTTTTAAATAAAAAAACCCCACTTACTGTCCAAAACTTTATGAAATATTGCAGCACTGTAGAGGCAACAAAAAGACAATACAGGAGGGAATAAAATAAAAACAGGAGGAAAAACTTGTAGTTTGAAAATCCCACGCAGTTATTCACCCTAGAAAAGAAAACAGAAACTGCTATGTAAACCTGGAAGAACGGCAGGCAATAAAAGGGTCTATCTTTTAGGTTTGCCATTGCAAGCAGAATTAGGCAAACTGTTTTCTGGAAGTAACTTAAATGCCTAAAGTAAAAAAGTTTGCTCTCTTTTACAATGCACAAAGCTTGAAATTGATTTTTAAAAACCATCCCTTTATCAATTAAAAATGACTGAAATGTTGCTTATTAACTATGCAAACATGAATACAATTTGTATTTTTGTCCAGTTGTTTCCATTTATTCACAAATTGTCTCTTTCATTCTAATGATCCTTTTTTGCTCTAAACCTGATTTTATTTTAAAACTCTAATCCTTCTGAAGGGAAGTATTAAAACCATTCAGTAGAAACTGTCACTACGTAATAATATTAATGCTTTTTATGGTACAATCCTCTTCCAATATAAAACTTCCCATTAATTTTAACAGAATATGACTGCAGCCTTAGGCTTTCATTTTTCATTTCGTTTTTCATTTCATTTTCATTTTCATTCTGTTATAAAAATCAATCAAACCCAATATACATTTAGACTTTGCCAGTAGACCAACTCCTAGTAATGTAGAACCAAAATTTCCTCAGAGGAGGTAGTCACTCCTAGTTATCCCTGTTCTTGGTTCATCCTGCAGCACAGCCAACAAGAAGTGGTTTACTTATTTCTCTCTGCACAGACAAAAATTAAGAACCCAAGGGGGAGGGAGCATACCAAGGACAATGATGGTCCATTTTCAGTACACACCTAAGGAAAAAAGAAAGACATTTCCAATAAAGTTAATGATGGCAAAACAGTACAAATGTGGATTTTCCAAACAAGAATGTCTAACTGAGGTGTGCACTGGTCAAATAAAAAGCTGAATTAGTTATTCAGCCTCCTCTTCATCTCAGTCAAGATATGATGTCATTATATCCTCTGAGTCAGATTAGGTTCCCACAAAGCTCTGGGTCACACTGCCACTCTTTTTCTTTCCTCCCCCTGTGCCATATAACAATGTTTCTCTACCTCTGTGTTTCTCTAGGGTGGCCCACAGGCTTTGCAAGAAGTGAGGCTCTGGATTATTATTTTTTGTTAAAGCACAACAACTGGGAATTTTTTTGAAAAGTAAAAGCTTCATTGAGTTTTGTTTTGTTTTTAAAATCCTATGTTCCTCTGCTTTAACAAAAGCCCAGAGCTCTTCAGAACCCTGCAAAGAGGTTTCTCGACAACCTTGCACCATGAGGCCCATCAGAGATCTGTAAAGACTATCAGAGGACACAAACAACGATCAGAAAAAGACTGGTGCAAAGCTGCCATGTTTCAAAAAATAGACCACCTCTTAATTATTCATTTTAATTAAATATTTTAAGGTAAGGAAGAGACAAACCCAACAGGAATTATGGAGAAAAATTCATCCCTTTTAATTCTCCTCCACAAGCCTCTGGATGTATTTGTCTGCAGTTTGGCAGGCTTAATCTAACCAGAGGGGCTTCTGTGTCTGTAAGTTATTTTGGCAAAAAGAGGGGAATGTTATAGTTGTTGTTAGATTATCCATTATAGTGAATGAGGAAAATGCAAAGCTTAATTGTATACAGAGGAGCAGAGAACCTGAAACACAGATCAAAACAGAGAAAGTACAGAGTGTTTCAGAAGCAGATCAGATACAATGCAAGGCCTGGAGCCTGTGCATACCCCTAGTATCTAATCTCTAGCTTTCAAAGCCTGTTAAAGCATTTCAACATCCAGGCAAACATCACAGTTGCCAAAATTCCCACCCACTACAGAGCCATGCAAGATGTTGTGTAGGTCTTCCTCTTCCTTCCTTTTTAGATTTTAACTTTTTATTTTAAAAGTTTGTTTTCCTCTCCCACTCCCCCTCTTTCTGTCAAGCAGCCAAGGAAGCCTGAATGAAAAAATAGCTGAAGAGGGGGAAAAAGAATGCTTCCTCTTCTACAGTCATTTCCCCAATAAAAAATCTCTCCCAAACTAATTTTTCACCCATGAAGTGAAACATACATATCTAATTTTCATAGCATGTTCTAAATCTAAAGCGTATGACTACAAGCAAATATCTTCCAGCAGGTCACTGCAGTACAGACAACAGCAAAAGTGCTAACAGAACACAGGAATGCAAAAGTGAAGGCAGAGAAGCATAGTGTTTAAGACAATGAGGTATAAACCCAGGAACTCGCTGGTGAAACTTATTTTTGTGGAGAACCATCCTGTACCTGAAAAAATAACACAGTAGTTTCAGGTGTGAACATGTGCTTGATACTGACAACACTAAGAGGCATAAATCGGATGAAGTCTATCCTACCCCGTGGCTAAGTATCCCCAAGTACTTACAGGTCACAGGCAGAACAGTGGTGGCATCGATCAGGCTTGATGAGCTGGCATCTATCGCAGTATCTTATGGCTATATTAAACATTAAAATCAAGGTGTTAAATATGAAGCTGTAGTTTAGCAATCCAAAGGTCAGAGGTAATCTAGACCTCAAAACAGGATTCTGCCAAGTCTGCTTTAGCAAAATACACAGTGTGCTGTAAAGGTGATCGGTAGCTCACATATAGCAGAGGTTGAAGGAAGCTATCAGGACGAGAACAAGAATGCAAGAGACACATTTGGACAAGTGATGAGCGAAACATAAATGTAATCTAAACATTAGTTTAAGCATATGGACACAAGGGTGCTCTTGGACTCAGCTCCTGCTTGCTCGTTTCCCACAGACACCTGGTTGGCCACTGTGGGAAATGGATGCTGGACTGGATGTACCAATGGCTGAACCACAAGGCGCTTCTTATGTGCTTATGGTCTGGTCTGCAGAATTAAAATATGGCTTAACCCGCAGTTTAAAGTTGGCTTCCGGATCCTGCCTTGCTTGGAAGAAATTAACCATAGTTCCTGGTTTGCACATAATGGGAAGCTATGGTTAAAATGTTTGTTTTCCCACTCATGTGACAGCAGGAGTGAAGTGGGAGCACAGAGGTTGCATGCAGGTGCAACTTGTACACATCCTAGCTTATTAAGCCAAGTTTTGATTGCATGAGTGCAGCTGCTATCTTCTCCTGCTACAGATGCACATATCTGTATTTTAAATTCTCCCCAAGCAGCTACGTCTCCATGCAAAGTTCAATTCCAGAGCTGGTTTTACTTTAGAAAACCTGTCTGCCTCTTGGTTAATAGATAAAACAGGCTAAAACCAATTTGAAGAACTAGATGGTTCAACACGGTGAATTAGCTGAAACACAATGCTAAACCATGGTTTCATTAGAAGAACTAACAGGTATGAACCTCACCATTGTGCATTCCCTCTCTCCACTCTTTCACTTATGCATGCCAGTTACTTTCCTTACTTGCAGGTTCTCAGAAAACCAAAGGTTATCTGTTTATCCAAATCAAGGGAACTATAGTTTGCCTATGAATCAAGGGTGCAATCTTCATTCAAACCAAGCTCTCCAATCCTGGTTTGCCAAGTTCAAATGATATGGCAAACTATTGTTTGCCAAGAATCCGAAAGTAAGGGAGGAAATCATGCCTGCTGAATGGCCCCAATCCAATCAAACTTGATAGCATCATTAAGGAGTTTATGCAGTGCTAGGATTCTTTGCAGGCTAACCTCTTGAGGTTGTTGTAGTATAGACTGGGAGGTCTTTAGCAGCTCTTCTGAGGATTTCTTGTTGGGATTCTGGTCTCTCTTCTTTTTCATATTGTTCCTTATCTGATTTGGACAAACAAAACTGAAAAAGATAACAGAACTATGGTTTTTTTTAATGCCACATAATAGAAGCTAGACAATACATCAATTTGTTTTAAGGATTTCTGTTAACATTCCAAAACAGAATTGGGCAGGAGAAAGGAAATCCATAGCTATTCTTAACAAATCAATTTCAAAATGTTATTTTTGAAAGTGTTACTCATGTGTAACAAGGAACTTTTAGATCACTGTGGAAAAGCATCAGGGCCTCATCCCTTCCAACTCTCCAATTTCTATGATTCTCAGGGTGCAGGTGCGAACTAAATAAGCCTGCATTTCAAGGTACATGTTTGCCTGGCAACCCCTCCCCTGCAAAATAAAAACCTAAGAGAAAAGAACTGAACTGAACACAAGTATGGCTCCCAAACCAAACGTACTATATGGATGCTTCTTTAAGTGGCTAACAATTACTCCCCCCAGTTATAAAGTAGGATGCTCTCTGTGAATATGTGCTGCTGCCTGCTGACCAGGTCTGTGAGTTTAATAGGCTGAATGGAATCAAACAGACTGCTTCTTGTTTCTTCTTAAGGGGGGGGGCGGGGGCTAAAGAAAACAGGATGTTGGGTCTGCCAAGACTAATGCACCTTCAGTATGCATCCTCCAAGATGATTCCTTCCTTCTTTGCCATCCTCACAAATTAGGGAAGAAACAGTTCTTTTTACACCAGCTGTGACTTGGGATTCTGAACTGTATTCCGTTAACTTGTTCAGTTAGTGCAAGGACTTCCATTTGTGCAACAGAACTTCCTTTCACTCCCCTCTCCCTGCAACATATCTGTTCTACGAGTTCCCCTAAGCCTCCAGAGCAGATGTGGAGAAAGGGTGCAGGAAAGAACATAGAATTTCCCTTTTTCACAGGTGTTGATATCAAACTATTCACCACAATCCAATGAGGAGCATGTCTTGGGACTCCAAGGACCATGGCCACCACAACCTCAAGACCCAAAGTTCTCATTATGCACTGTTCCATAATGTGTTTAACTACTCTGAGAACCAGATTATAAACTGGTCTTCATCAGCATCATTATTAATTCACTTATTAAAGTCTCCACAACTGTCTCAATGCAGTGTACAATAAAAATAGCAAAAAAACCAAAACCAAAAACCCCAACAGTTAAAAACACACGAAAAAACCAGCAGATACATTTAAAACAAAACTAAAGCAATACAAAATTGACATTCATTGCAAAGACCCATTTACTCAGCTGGGAAAGCCTGTTGGAAGAAAAATATCTTCCATTGTTTTCAGAAAGTGGATAGTGGGCACCTATAGAATGTTGACAGGAATGCTATTCAACAGAACAGGAACGGCTGTATTAATACCTCTACTCCAAGTTACCATGGAGCGGAATTCTTAAATCTTTGGTACCTGCAGGAGAAACTTTCCTGTAGACTTCAGGGATATACTGGAAAACCCAGCAAGATGGGCGGGGTATATCCAGGCACAGGCAAACTCCGGCCCTCCAGATGTTTGGGACTACAATTCCCATCATCCCTGACCACTGGTCCTGTTAGCTAGGGATGATGGGAATTGTAGTCCCAACCATCTAGAGGGCCGGAGTTTGCCTATGCCTGGATAAGGCCGTCTTTCAAGTAACATTGTCCTGAGATGTATGGGGCCTTATATGTTGGTTCCAACACCTTGAACTTGACCTAGTAACAGACTGGTAGCTAGTGCAAATCCCGCAAGCAACGTGCTGCAGGCTGGAGGAAGTTTGCTCCCACAAGCAACATAGCTGCTGCATTCTACACCAGTTTCAGCCTCTGGTCCATCCCCAAGGTGTGCCCCCCCCCATATTACTAAGGCTGCTGCTTTGTTTCTGGCCCTGCCCCATGGTCTTTAACATCAGTGTGATGCACATAAATTTAGCAGGTGACATTTCATACTTCCAGCTTATTTTTGTTGAGTTGGTTTACTATTAAAGCCCCGGAGAAGGGGCCATTTAAATGTCCTTGTCAGGACATAACAGAATAAAATGTACCCAGGAAGACACTAATAGCTGTAAAGTAATTATACATCCAGAATGTCTAAGGGACTTGCTCAGTTGATAATAATTTACTTTGCAGGGCATGTCTGCCCCAAGTAAGAAGAACATCATGTAAATATTCTGGCAGCTAGTCAAGAGCAAGGGTGTTGCAAAGAAGCTGTTAAAAGATGAAGCTCAGACAAGCTGTTTATGTCGATAAGAAACCAGGATACTTTAAAACACTTGTAAAACCACCACCACCACCAGAACACTGACTGATTCAAGAAATTCTTGAAGCAACGCTCCATTTATATCATCTTTAGGTGCTAAGAGGGCCACAGCATCTTCTTCCCCAACAATATCTACATACATTTGAAATAACATAAGCTCGCAAAAAGCAAACAAAAAACCCTAGAAGGGTTTCAAGCAAGGTGCAGAATATTTTCCAATTAATCTGGGGAAAAACAGCATCCCTTTGTTCTCCCATTTCTTTCCAGGGTGTCAGACAAAACCAATTGTTCTTTTCATTGACAAATGTGGCATTGCAGTACAGCAAAACCTGCAGTCAATGCTTTTTGTAGTACAGGCTTCCCCACTATGTAAGAATGGTTGTTTTAATAAACTATAATAATACTCTTTTATATTTGCATTAGCTATTTGAAAGAGAAAGTTGGACACCATCAACTTGGAGATAAATCCACCATAATTTATGAATAAAGAGATGATCTACGCAGGGAACATCCTCTTTAAACACAGATTTCCTATTATTTCAATCTACAAGAATGCATTTTTCTATCAGTTAGATCGGTACCTCTTTATTGCTACCTGAGAATACATACAGGATTGGAGGAGGTAACTCAAAGCAACTGTGGCAAGATGTAATTACGGTAATATGTTTTATATGGACAGCCCTGGTCCCTTACATAGCGAGTGTGCAAGTAATGGGACTGGAGATGCCTTGTCCCAAGTAAGAGGTTTTGCTACATATTCCTCTTAATGAAAGCTTAGCTAACTGGTCAATTGACCCAGACTTGTTAGGAACTGACACACATGCTCCCTGGCAACCTCAGCTTCCTCCATATAATGAAATCTCAACTATGTGCGATAACAATCTTGGCATAACAGACCTGGCCACAAAAGAGACCAAAACTCCTTCACTGTGGGAACTTGACCAATGTCTAAAATATCTTAATAAATAAATAAATGAATAAATAAATCTGAAGGATTTAACTGGATAAGAACACAGGGAAACCATGGTTAGGAGATCAGAAATACCTTATCTGCACTAGGCCTAACAGATGAAGTGCGGTGCAGAGTAGCCAAACAAATGGTAACATCTTTGTCATTTGCATGGGTCACAATATTTAGGTTACCTACACACGAGAGTCCTTTTTAAAAAAAAAAACCTACAGAAAATATAGTATATCTGGCCAACAGATACCCTTCATTCTGGGGCACTTACAGCCATTTTTTTTCTACTGAAATGTTTACAGCTGTAAAAATATGCTTTAGGCCAACGTTTCACAGAAAAGCAGCACACGTCTACAATAGAGAAGACTGACTTAAGTAGTTTAAGTCCACTGACTTCAACGGTTCTGCTCCAAGCACTACTTAGTTTAGACAATACCCATGATTTTAGGAAGAGTCATGATTAATTTAATTTAGCCAAATAGATTTCAATAGTGTTTTACGAGAATGTGACCATAAGTCTACATCTGCATTATGAATGTGACCGTAAGTCTACAACTGCATTACTCTTCTCATCATCTTCTTTGTTGAGACGTATGGATTGGTAAATATGACACATTGCTCAGTACAACAATGGTGGCTCCCTGCTGACAGTGCTCTTCCATATTGTGCTTGCGTATTGCTTGGAGTCTACTCACAATTAAAAGAATTCCTAAACAAGTATGAGACTTGTCACTGAGCACAATGGGATATTGTTAAAATAAGGATGCTTACAGAGATACACATACAGTGAACTAATTCATATCCATTTCAAAATATTAGATTAAGAAACTGATTAACAACATCTCCTACTTGAATGCCACATTATTGGATTACAGCATATGGAAACGTGAACAATTAATGTCCAAATTAATGAAATGTGAAGTTGGCATCAATGATGTGTTAATCATAGAAAATATTCTTAAGAATTTCATTCACAACAGAACAGGGTTACTTACTGAATGGAAATGAAAAAAGCAAGCCACATCATACATCAGTAGCAAAAACAATTCTGTTGTAAGAAAGGCAACATTTTGCCAAAGTTAACCTTTACCTCATTAGAAGGAGAGGCAGGAGATGTAAAAATAGTCTTCCAATAGGACCACACAAACATGACAAACGACAGATGGAAAACCACAAGGTAGACAACTGCAATAAAAAAAATACAAATAAGGTTTTAGTGAATACAGCTGAAGTAACAAAACAAAAATGCAATGGTTTTTCTTCATAATATCAGCAAAATAACTTTGAAGAGATGATTGCAGAACAAATGTTGTGCTATCTTGGCGAGCTCTGAAGAGAAAAAACACTATAGAATCAGTGTTGGGAGGAATTCTACTAATGTGGATAAAAACAATTATTTTGGTTTAACTTAACCCAGATTTTAAACACATTTTAAATTTCAATCGTAATATGATTCTATTTCTTTTTTAATCACCTGCTTTAGGATGCTGTAAGAATTCAGTATAAGCATGTTAAAGCAAAGCCAAAATCTATCATCTCAAAATAACAGAATCCATGGCCCTTTCTCTAACATACAACTCAATTCAGACATCAAACCAAATGATGGTTTATTGAAGCTAAACTGTGGTTTGGCATGATGTCCCCACTGATAAGTCATGGTTTGCAAGTGGCTAACAAACCAGAATCAGAGGTCACTGTTTGATGTAGGTATTCAGAGGCTACCGCACCTAAATATGCACCTGCTGAGCAGACACAGAACAAAACAAAAACAGAAAAGCAGCTCTAAACCATGGTTTGCCTGACTGTTTAGAAGCTGAAACCTTGGGACAGGTTGTACTACTGGTATTAAGTGCCAACCAGTTTGGCTTGGTGTCTAAATTGAGCCTCTGAGTTAAGGGCTGCTTCATATTCAAATAATGAAAACAGGTAAAATATCTGTCACTGAGGTTAAGCATTATAAATATAGCATAGTGAAACAGTTATAGATAGTCTCTTCCAGAGTTCTCTTACATGTATAAAGGGCAAAAGAAAGAGAGGCAAATAGAAATCTTTATTTTGAGTGCATAGGTATTTTGTATACCAATGCAGCTTGGCATAAGAGACAACAAAGAAGATATCTGCTAAATTGTGTGCTGTTTTCTAAAATATTAAAAATATCATATTTAAGAAATGGTATATCAGTTTTAAAAGACCCTTCTAGGTAGCACTAGAGCACTATATAATTGTAAACCAACATTTTGATACTGTTATTATTATACACTTTTTTTAGAACGATTATTTCCTTCGAAAAATGCTGTGAAAATTGGTGCTATCAAGCCATTATCTGGGGAAGAGTTGTTTAGTGCCTTAAGTATCAATTACTCTTCCTAACATGTATTCCTCACCTAATCTCAATTCAAAGTGGGATTACAGTGACATGAAACCTATTGCATTGTACGGACGTAGCACACACACAAACACACTTGTGCACCAGAACAGGCAGATCATAGAATCATAGAACTGTAGAGTGGGAAGAGATCCCAAGGGTCATCTAGTCCAATCCCCAGCAATGCAGGAATCTCAACTAGATCATACTTGACAGATGGCCATCCAACCTCTGCTTAAGAACCTCCAAGGAAGAAGAGTCCATCCCCTCTTGCGGGAACCTGCTCCACTGTTGAACACCTCTTACTGTCAGAAAGTTATTTCTGATGTGTAGTCAGAATCCCCTTTCTTGTAACTTGAAGCCACTGGTTCAGGTCCTAGCCTCTGGATCAGGAGAAAACAAGGTTGTTCCATTATCCATGTGAAAGCCCTTGAGATATTTGAAGATGGCTATCTAAAGGGCTGTCACACCAGAGGTTCACGTCAGTGTAGTAAATTGGTGGCTCACATTTCTAACAGTCTTGTAAAAAGGTCTTCAAAGCTACTAGCCTACGAAAACGACTGGGGAGCTCCATCTCTCCTGCAGCAGCCTTTTCATCCACCCAGAAGCAATTCCTCCTTAGCTAGTGCTACCAGGCTAACACACTATGGATTAAGAAGCAATTCGTAGCTGTTCCCAACTAATTTACAAGACTGCCAAGTGCAGTCGCTTTTTGGCCCATACGTTCCTCCAGTGGCCTAATCTAACCTGATTTTCTAAATAGGTATATTTAAGCTACATTAAGAAGATAACAAAATACTAATTAGCAGGCTTGCTATTGCATCTTAAATCCAGTTGCTGCTATACTATCAATTCTACCAAGCATCTACAGAAGAATCTTAAGAGTGGTGAAAGAAAGCACTTTGTATAACTAACTGATGGGGTGGGGAAAACTGCTGCATGGTGTTGAATATTTAATGTTACTTCTGTCATATTCTCACACCAAAGGAGAAATTATTGACCTACTTTCGCAGTCTGATAAAGGATAGAAGTTTAAGAAGATATACAATTAAGCCTCAGTCCAATCCCAGAAACATTAGGGGATTCCATCTGCTCCAAAGACATTGTGCACATGCTAGATTTTCCTGTGGCAGTCTTTCTTTTAGAAAGTTATATGAAACCTTAAAACTCTGCCAAGAATATTATTTAATTTAATTCTTAAGTGTTTAAAATATCTATATGTGGTCTTTCTGGAATATATCCTTGCAGATATTATCCAGAGGGGAAATATGAATGTTTAAAATTATAATTATTTTAAGTAGAAAAGTAATCAAGCTTGAGGTTTTCTAAGTTTGGAGTTTGAATAGTTCTTAATTCCAGGAATTATAAGTAGGACTTTATTATTGAAGGGTCTATATCCAAACAATTCACAAAAATCCAAATAATGTCAGGCAATTATTGTTTGATTGCAATCATAATGCATTAATTTAACTGAGGAACTGCATGCATTCAATACTAATCCTGATTTACTAGCAGTTTCTATACAGCATCTTGCTTTAGTGATTTTATTTTCCTCAGAAAGGAACTGTGAGACTATTACTGGGACCTTTTCGTTGTGGCTCTTGTGACTTAGCACAAGCAGAACCATAATTCTGTTGCTTCCCCCCGCTTCTTCTTCTAAATTAAGCATCCTACTTTATAGGTGTACCACAGAATAAGAGACAGTTCTACCACAAGTGTTTTCCTACAGATTCAGATACAGTATCAAAAAAGAGGAAAAAACTAAATAATCAAACTAGTGTGGTTACCAACAAAAGAACACTGAACAGTGAGACCAAGGACTTCACAAGGAGGAGGAAAACAAATGCCAAATGGAAAAATTCAGCTGACTGGGTAACAAGAAAGCTAACCTAGCAATATAGTTCAGAATATACATGAATTGGGTTTCCCACAGACAGACACTCACTTTGGCAATCCTTCAAACAAGCATCTCAAGATAAAATCTGAAATGCAAAATCAGGAAATACGCATCCCACAGGTTTAAATTGATTAAGCAGCTATTCCTTCCCTATGGAACTGCAATACTACAGTGGTTCTCAAATGTTTTTCTTTCTCTGGGCCACACTTTCAGAGTAAAATTTTATTCACGCCGCACCAAATTTCTTATTGATAAGAAATACATGGGGGAGGAATCTTCCTAGCAGTGCTTGAGTTATAATATAGAACACAAAAAACTAAGCAGCTACATAATAACATGAATCATTCTCTTTGCATGAAGCCACATTTAAACTGGTAGAGAATGTGTTATGTCTATGGTAGCTACACAATCTCAAGAAATGTGTTTGAAGTCAAATGGAATTCTTCCAACAGCAGTAACAGCAGAAAGATTAACGTACTAGAAAGTAAAATAAAGAGAATGACAGTTGCTTCATACCACTGTTCAACCATCAAGGCAAATATTCTTTTCAGCAAAGAAAAGCTTTCTGGAGACTACCAACCTTTCCTAAATTCTATACAGTGGTACCTTGGTTCTCAAATGTCTTGGTACTTAAACGCCTTGGTTCTGAAAACACTGAAAACCCAGAAGAAAGTGTTCCGGTTTTCAAACCTTTTTTCGGAAGCGGAATGTCCGATATGGTTGCCGGCTATTGTTTCTGGGGCGCCTGCACCAATCAGAAGCTGCGCCTTGGTTTTCGAACATTTCGAAAGTCAAACAGACTTCCAGAATGGATTAAGTTTGGCACTTTTTATGGGAAAGCATGCCTTGGTTTTGGAATGCTTTGGTTTTGGAATTGACTTCCGGAGCGGATTACGTTTGAGAACCAAGGTACCACTGTACTCTACAAGCATTCTCTCCCCACACTGCAGCCTGAATTTCTCATGCAGAAATAATGTGAGAGCAATTCCCAGCAGCTTCCAACACACTCTCTTGGGAAAAGGAATGAATCCTAACCCTGACAGGTGGTAGCAACAGCAGTCCTCAGGATGCAGTACTTCAGCTTATGAATAGCCCAATGTGAGGCTCCTAAACTGCCAGGTAAACTCTCCCTGGGAACTTTTTTGTTGATCAACTTCTCACAACTTTCCAAATGCATGTCTAGCATGCTAAACCGATGCATACCTGGCAATTTTTCTCTATGGAAAATCCATTACCGATACCACCCATTTTTTAAATGTGTCCTAGCTACATCACTTTATTTTCTCTCTGTGCTAATTCCAAAGATGATAGGATTATAATTATAGGCAGCAACCACAAGAGAGAAGGATTATAATTATAGGCAGCAACCATAAGAGGGAATCTAAAAGAAGAGATAAGCAAGGAACCACATACATGCATAACCAATGGCATGCAGGAACACAAAAGTAGGGGAAATTTGTGCCATTCTTAATAAAAATACATAAATGGAATTCTAAAACTCAAACAAAAGGTCATCTTTTTACCAAGGCTAATGAATATATGCACTCTATGCAAAGAAATATATGTGAAGAAACATTCTTACCTTTTTCGCCAGTTGAGGTTATTGTAACTAGGGGAAAAAACAGAAAAAACTAGAGTGAGTCTACCTGTAGTCTTTTAGAAACCAATATTAATAAAACCTGAGCAAAGATCATCTAATTTTAATGTAATCCTGGAGAAAATTCATTTTGCCATTTTCCAAAGTACGTACAAGAACTTAAAGGGGGAAAAATCAGTGTATGTGTTCAGCAAATGAGCACAATTCCTTTCACATAAATTGTTGTATCTATTTAGTTAGGAAATGGTTTGATCACAAAAGCTATGCTCATTTCAGTTCTTGTGGGGGAAAGCAGTAGCTGTGACAAATGAATGCAAAATACACTAATTCTTCAATTTTATTTATTTCACTTTTCCTTCAAGAAAATGAAGCTCAAGTAATGCACTGAAAGAGTGTCAGTGTGTCAGTGAGGGAGCCATAAACTTCAGTTGCCAGAGGGCTAAACCTGCTGAAGACCCAGAGTCAAAACCAGGTGAGTCACACATGTATTGTGCTCTTGGGCAAGTGCCATTTCTTTCATACTCCATGGCCCAGTTCAGATGACTGTATCTGGCAGTAATATGCCGAGATATGAATTAGCCTTGTGCCTGCATCACAACCCTTTCCCTTTCTTGGTTATGCAATTAAGCCCAGATTCAGGTCCTTTCACCAGCCCTGATTGTAGCACAGGTTACCAGGTAGAGGTTCAGTAACCAAAATAAAGCCAACAATGCAGTTTTAAAATGGACTTCAGTTACTATTGCTGGCATGGTCTTGGTCTATTTTTATTTAGCCTAGCAGGATTACATACATCCAGTAGCAGATTCAACATACTAAAAATAAATTTAATCTCATATGGAATAGTGACCACTGGCAGCACTCGGGAATCAATTTAGTACACTTTATTAAACTCAAATACCTAATTGTTATCTACATTCCACCACTGCAAGTTACCTATGCTTGTCCTGCAAGTAAGCCTTTACTTACAAAAGAAGCCTAATCACCAATTTGTTAAGCCAAGCCCCACATACTAGCATCACCTATCAGCATTTGCTTTGAGAGCAGCAAGGAACAATGAACAGGTAACTGGGTGGACAATGCTTACATATAAATGCAGAGTAAATACGTACAAACATTTCTAGTGAATATACTTCTATGGCTTCAACACAGCCTAATTCAAAGCCACTGAATAGCTAAAAATTTGCTCCTGTAAAATGTAATCTTATACAGGGTGTGTCTTTTAAAAGAGGCCCCGTGGAACATGTGTACTCTGTATCCACGGGGCCTCTTTTAAAGGACTCACCCTGTATTTACCAAGCACAACATCCTATCATCATCAACAAACTGAATGCACTAAATTCAGGTAGGTAGCCGTGTTGGTCTGACGCAGTCGAAATGTATTTAAAAATTGTCCAGTAGCACCTTAGAGACCAAGTTTGTTCCTGGTATATGCTTTCGTGTGCATGCACACTTCTTCAGGTACTTATTCAGATACCAACAAACTTAGTTGGTCTCTAAGGTGTTACTGGACAATTTTTTAAAATTTTTTTATATATTCTGAATGCGCCAAATTGGTCTGCTGATTATTGGGAGTAGTTAATGCTTTACATAGTGGAGGGAATGGAAAGATGCAACAGATTACACATTAGCTAAATCATTGAGGGGTGAGTGGGTTTCTTCTCAAAATAAAAAACTATCACCACTAAACTGGGGTGTCTGTTAATAGAAGTTTCTCCTTCTGTATAAAAAGATCAAACCACGTTTCAAATCATGTTAGCTGTAGAATAAAGGGTCCTAAATTTTGATCAAAAGGTTCTCAAGAAGAATGAGTGAGAACAAGTTGGATTAGATAAAAGGCACATTCAAACACCAGGTTTATAAATAAACAAAGGAAGTGGGTGAAAATGTATAAAAGCAAGACAATAACACTGAACTTCCAAATTATACAAAGAACAATTTTATCTGATCATGGGATAAAATAAATAACTAAACTAGGGTTATTAGTTATCTTGTATGTTACTTTGTATGTCAGAATGATGGAGCAAATTTCTTTTGCATTGCTCCAAAAGGTGGGACATGAACTAGGATCTGCAAGTTACACAGAAGTGGATTTTGAAGAAACAGTCTACCAGAACCTTAGGATCCTCTTCATCCCTTGTTCCAGGTGCTTCATCAAGGCAAGCGGCTACACAGAGTTGCTTTTTGGTACAGAATATCCAGAGAGGCTTGACTGATGCCTCCTATGCAGTCTTTCTGGCATGACGTAAAGAGCTTTTTATTCATGTTTTAAATCTGGGCTGTAAACTGGTTGTCTGTGGCAAGGACTTTTTTGCTGTATTTTATTGTTGATTTAAACCAGCGTTTCCCAAACATGGGTCTCCAACTATTTTTGGACTACAGTTTCCATCATCCCTGACCACTGGTCCTGCTAGCTAGGGACGATGGGAGTTTCAGTCCAAAAACAGCTGGAGACCCAAGTTTGGGAAACACAGGTTTAAGCTATTAAATTGGTTTTTTAAATATTGTGTTGTTCTAAGTCAGGGGCTACTGATAAGCACCTATATAAATGTTAATGAATAATAGTAAATAATCATAAGGCCATTAAGATATTGCAAGATATAAATTACTCATGCAGAAATATGCCAGCAGGTACAAAAAGCTGATTAATAATAATGTACCCTAAAACACTTGCAGCAATTCTTTAACCATCATCAAAAAGATCTACAAATTAGAAGTCATATTCAAATATAGGTAGGAATTTTTATAGAGAAAAAACACCAACCAACCATGCATCTTTGCTATGAACTGCAAGAGCTGTTCCGAAAACTAATGCCACTTCCAACAGAAGTGATTATATCCTGTACAACCTACAATATCTGAGGCACAAAACTGGCGAAGTGCTACCATAAGGAATACAAGCCTACCCTTCACAAAGACTGTGTGCATTGTTCTTGCCAACAATATCTCTCCTACACAAACATACGCACACACACTGCATTTTTGTGAGTTTTTAATCTATTCAGAAGTTGTATGCATGGAGAATATCTGTTTACAAGGAACTGGTCAAGCATTCTCTCCCTAGACTTAGGCTATTACATTTGGATACTGACTCCCAAATTTGTGCTCCCATTAAATTTTAGTGGGATTTGTATTTTGTGCAGGATATGTTTTCCAGTGGATTATGCCCTACATCTTTTGATCTCTTCCAACTGAACCTGAATTCAGGCCAATGGCACTGTTCTGAAAGTCTTGGCATCTTTTTACCCACCCTGAATCATCTTGACTCCACACACAAATATTTGATACTGAATAATTTCTGACAGGCTTAAAGGTTTATTTTGGGAATTCAAGAGATTGGCTGGCTGCTTATTTCTAGGAATGAACTAAGAGCATTCCAAATTATCTAGAAGTGACCATTTAAAATGTCTTCCCTTCAGCAATATCAAGTTAAATCACACTCTTTTATTATGTACTGTAAATGTTTTTGTTCCCTGCCCAGTATGCAAACATACTAGGGACCTATTCCACTTTTATTTCCCCTTAACATTCATACTCAAATGCAGCTTGTTTGTGTAGTGATCTGACCACCACATTGCCAACTTCAGCTGGTTTACAAACCAACTTATTGACTTGAGACAAGATGGATCATACAACTTTGAGTCATTTTGTAGTTCACATGCTATTTGTATTGCAAAAGTATTGTACTTCTTGAACAAACATCTATCTGACTTTTAGAAGACATCTGAAGGCAGCCCTGTACAGGGAGGTTTTTAATGTTTGAGGTTCTTTGTGTTTAAATATTTTGTTGAAAGCTGCCCAGTGTGGCTGGGGCAACCCAGTCAGATGGGCAGGACATAAATAATAAGATTAGTAGTAGTAGTAGTAGTAGTAGTAGTAATGGTAGTAGAAACAAGTTCTCAATTTCAAAACAAATTCCCCAATTTCCATACATGGTCTACTTAAGTTCCTCAGAGTTGTTTTGAAGGCTACTAGGATATAAAAAAACTTATTAAATGCTGCTTAATAATGAAGACACAGCAGGAAAATACCAGTCTACAATATAGGAAATGAATCAGACACAAAGGATATACCACACTTAGTATCCTGTCTAACGTAAACCCAGATGTTTCCTATTCTGCTAGAAACTGTACTGCCAATAACACACCTCCTCAAACTCAAACTGCTCGACCGACCAGCCTCTGCTTTTCAAGTATCTCCCACCTCCCTTCCTAGCCTTTCAACAGCTTTCTTCCTTTAGAGGCTGGGCTGGATTGACAATGAATGGAAGCCAGCACAATGACTTCCAGTAGCAGTGGGGTTGCCCCCACCTTCCTGCACTTGTGGTAGGTCAGGGGGAAAACTCCAGAAAGAGTGCGTGGGGAAAGAGAGGTGAGATCGTTCTGTCTGGCAAGTTGAAATGCTTGAGCAAACAGAATTCTTGCCATAGCGCTATGTCGAATTCCTCCCATCCTCCGCATTTCATACACAAATAATGCATGCAAAAAGAACAACGTTCAATCTTCGTACCAGTGTTTTTTTCCCCCGCAACACAGCTGGAACACTATTATAAACCTGAGAACACTGGCAACCCAACTCAAGCACAGTACTCTTTGCGCCAGTAAAGGCAGCTTTCCTGAAACAATGGCATGTAAACTGTACCCTTGACCATTGTCAGGACAGCTGCCTGGAAGGAAGAACACCAGACATATTACGCCTGCTGTCTGCCACACCCAGGCAAAGCGCTGCTGATTCTGCATTGCATCAGGTGACCATGTGAGCCAATGATACTTCACCAGGAACTATAAATCTCTAGTACTTTCTCTTGCTGCTCTTTTGCTAAGCAACTTGCCTTCTTAACAAAGATTAAGCTAGCTCCCTGTGTACTCACTGAGGTGCCCACCAGTGCACCTTCCCTCGGCCAGTGATTTTGGTTTTTTGCCTTCACATGCTGCTTTGACTATGTCTCTGTCCACCATCACCAGGAACTGTCTTGCTCACTTGTCAGCCTTGACGATCAACACTGTGTTCTGTAGGAGTGCGCTGAGACATTCCCACCCAAACACAAATGTGATAGTCCAGTAAGAAGAATTAGGGTGCTACACTGAGATCCTAAGTAGTCTTCTCTGGCAGTGTTTCAATTAATTCAAAGAGGCATGTAGCCTGATCTCATATGTTTACTCAGAAGTAAGTCACAGTGAAGCATGTACAGAATTAGAGTCTCAGTTACCTCTAAGAAAATTTGATTAGGCCTACGGTCATTACTGTCCATTTCATTTAACTAACAGCATATGAAAGAACTGTGTGCAAACTATTGTAGCATTACACAATGTACAAGCTACCAATAAAAAGGAAAATACAAGCCACAAAAAAAAGCACATATTTTTACTTTAGTAATTCTCCTGACAGGCAAAGGAAAGAATATACCGTATTTTTTGCACCATAGGGCACACCCAGTTTTTAGGGGGGGGGAATCAAGAAAAAAAATCTTCCCCCCCCCAGCCCCAAACAGCAGCGTACAGGCTGCGCACAACCTCTCCCTGCTGGAGGGGTTGCACGCGGCTATGGCACAAGCCAAGGCAACGAGCGGGAAGGATCCCGCTCGCTGTTTTGGCTTCCTCTTTAGCCCCACGCAACCTCTCTCTGCCGGGAGAGGCTGCGTGGGGCTAAAGAAGCCATAGCCCCGTGCAGCCTCTCCTTGCCGGAGGGGTTGCGCGCAGCTATGGAGCAAGCCAAGGCAGCGAGCGGGAAGGATCCCGCTCGCTGTTTTGGCTTCCTCTTTAGCCCCACGCAACCTCTCTCTGCCGGGAGAGGCTGCGTGGGGCTAAAGAAGCCATAGCCCTGTGCAGCCTCTCCCTGCCGGAGGGGTTGCACGCGGTTATGGCACAAGCCTGCATTCGCTCCATAGGACGCACACACATTTCCCCTCAATTTTTGGAGGGGAAAAACTGTGTCCAATGGAGCGAAAAATACGGTAGCTTTTAACATTCCGAGTCATTACAAATTTCAGAGTAAACTGTCTCCAACCTTCTTTTTGTCCCCTACTGCAAAGTGCCCACATTAATCAGCTTCTGCCTGGGACTCTTACACATCACAATAAAATCTAAATGTCAAGTGCTTTATTATAAAGAGTAAAAAAAACCTCATCATAGTGCATGTCACATGCAATGATTTTTGACTGGTAGGAGAACAGACGGCCGCCAGGAAGAAAAGCAAAAAGGTTTTCCTGCTCTTGAAGGTCAGATTTTCCTTTTCAATAACTTCATCTATAATCTCATGCGTATATTATCACACAGTGTATTAAAACAAGTGGGCACTTTCATTGGGCTAAATATCCCAACCAGCAAGTTATGGACAGAAAAAGAGTTGCCAGAGTATAGTGCAAAGTTCCCACCTGGTAATGGGAAAGAAAAATCTGCATGGGTAGCAAACTCTGTATCCCTAATGCTAAGTTAGGAGATTGCTCTAGCTAAGAGTGTCCGGATGTAGTTGGTCTCTATTTTCCATCAGCATGGCCAATGGTGAGGGACAGTGGGAGTGACAAGCAAGTGGCATTGGGAGGACCACCAGCGCCTGGGGCTGACCAAAGTTGCTGAGCTTTTTGTCCATGTGGTTCAGCACACTTGCAACTACAATTATCACTACTGTGTGTTATATTAGAGAGTCAAGAGTACATCAGTTACTTTTTAAGTATTTATTTGTTATATTTAAATACCACCTTTATCTTCCAAGGATTTCAAGATGGTTCCCACCCCCCATTTCATCTTCCCAACAACCCTGTGGTGTAGGTTAGGCTAAGTGACTGGCCCTCAAAATTGGCAGAAATGTCAGATAAGAATCTTTCAATTCCACCAACTGTGATTCTATCCACAGGTTTGTGGATGTGGCAGGTTGCTCTCTACTGCTTTCAGAATTTTAATCTGCTTGATGCAAGCTAACCTGGTGAAGATATTTTCACATCAACAATTTATTCTTGAAATAAATTGCTGGCAAATAATAATAAAGGGTTGGGCATCCGCGGGAAAGTATTTTGGCAATCTCATCCACCACTGAACCTTCTGTGTTTTTATATGCGCTTTTGGCTTTAAGGATGATCCCCAGAATGTAATTCCCACGTAAATTGCGAGCTGACTGTATCATTAATAGTTATTGTTGTTGGAAGCCACCCAGAGTGGCTGGGGAGTCCAGTCAGATGGTCAGCATATAAATAAGTTATGATGATGATGCCTGTCTATACCAAGCATTTGCAAATTTGTAATGGAAATTATCCAAAACTAAACATTTTACCTCTCCTTTATCCTCCCTATCTTAATCCAAAGCAACTACTCTATTCTGAATTTAAAAATTGAAAGTGTAATGCTAGTGGCCAACAAAAGAGATTTAAAACTGTCTCAAGGCAAATCTAAAAAAAGGTAGTATAAACACTGACAACTGGGAAACACTGGCCTGCGAGCGCTCCAGTTGGAGAACAGCCTTTACCAAAGGTGTCATGGGCTTTGAAGACACTTGAACTCAGGACGCAAGGGAGAAACGTGCTAAGAGGAAGGCACACTTGGCAAATCCACACTGTGATCAACTCCCGCCCGGAAACCAATGTCCCCACTGTGGAAGGACGTGTGGATCCAGAACTGGCCTCCACAGTCCCTTACAGACTCATTGTTAAAACCGTGTTTATAGAAGACAATCTTACTCAGCTATGAGTGATCGCCAAAGAAGAAGAAGAAGAATCTGGGGTGCTAGAGGAAGATCACAGACTTAACAGTCAAAGATTAATCCACCAAAATAAGAGCCATAAGTTACAAACATTTGCTTTACGAAGCAGTTGCTAACTTTTTGAGGTTCCCATATGCCTGCTAGCTATAACTCGAGAATAATTAACTCTTTTTTACTGAAGAAACATATAGCTTACAATTTTGTTTCAATATATTTATGTATTTTGTGCATAAATAAAGGCATATATTTATGTATTTATGTGAGATATAGATGGCCTAGTTCAGATATAATAATTTAGCACAAACTATGTTTTAGTAGCCAAGTTATCAAAACAGGATTAGATCCTGGTTTGATATTCTAATTTGTAGGAAGTGTTTAAGTCATAGTTTCAGGCATTATGGAAAGCATGTGGTTTAAGAAGCAAGGAAATCTTTGCTGAAACTTGGCAAAGGGGGTACATGGCTCATTCTAGGTTTGAGATCATAATGTCTGAACCAAGCTTGGACCTTCATATGGCAATAGACACTCCATGGAAGAAAGAACAAAGAACCTGAAAAAATATTCCAAGCCATTGGTTTTGTGAATGTCAATTGTTTGACCTAGAATTAGGGAGTTTTAAAAAGTATGTTTAAGTCAATCCTTCAGGCATTCTACCAATAAAACCTTCATAGGACAGGGATATAGATCAAGCCTTGATTGCTGAAAACATTAGGAATATTAACACATTTCACTCTAACATCTTAAGTTTCCTGTATGAGGTTATGTTAAATGCTATATGCATTGTACTGCCGTCATAATAAATTCATAACAAAAGTAACCTAGTCCAACATCAGAAAGGGTTTCAATAAAATAATCAGATCAGTGGTTCTTTGCTTTATGATACAGTATAGCATATATACCAGCCCTGTTTCAAATAGGGGACATTTAATGCATGCCACTTGCCTCACCCTCAGCCAGCCATAACTTCTGCAAAGTGCATACATCTACAGTGGTACCTCTGTTCTTAACCTGAAACTGTTATTAACCTGAAGCACTACTTTAGCTAATGGCTGCTGCCACGCCACCACTGCGCGATTTCTGTTCTTAACCCAAGGTACTATTTGTAACCTGAAACGTTTGTAACCTGAAGCGTCTGTAACCCGAGGTACCATTGTAGTATGCACAAATGCTCTCTATACAATCTGTACTCTATATTTACAGGGTACAAACTGCACACACTGAGTCTATATACATTAGGCTTGTGTATGTGGAGTTTCTGCTTAGAGATATGGATCAACACAATGCTAATTCTCCCTTTCCCTTGCACACACTGAAAATCTACAGTGCTTAGGGGTCCTGCAGAACAGTGCAGGATGTGGTACTGTAAGCAACAGGGAGGAGGAAATCGGTAGAACGCATCCCCCACCCTCAATCTGCAGAATTCCTCCAAGGATGAAAAAGCCTTTTGTGAATGGCAGGAGCCCTTCTCTTCATGGATGGCAGAACCCTATGTTTTTATTTTGTTTTAAGTTCCAGATTGTGAAACAGGAATATTGAACCCTTTTTATATTTTATTTTTAAAAAATTAATTCTAGAGGAAAACAAACAGCAAGTTTTTTTGTAAATATTCCCATATTACAACACGGAACATTCACATGTTATTATTTATAGGACAAAGAGCTTTAAGGATGGCTAGTGAAGTAACTCAAAAGTTGAAGAAGAAGAAGAGTGGTCAAAGCTGGAAGCAATCATCTGCTCCTTGGAAAGAATACACTCGAATAATCTTAGCTCCTTTACTTTGGATGAGTTAACAACTCCTTACTTGCAATCACTAAAGCATATCTGCCATTCAGCAAATAAATATGCATGAAGCCTGTTTTCAAAAATCTATCCTTTCATCTCCTTTAATTAGCCTAATTGCGGGGACAAGTGCTGTTAAAATGAGCAACTTGTATTAAGTGATCTTGAAGAGGCACCCATAATCATTTCATGAACAGCAGAGGTTTAGACTCATGCTAATGTCTTACCATACAATTGAAATTTATCTCTGAAATCATCATTCTATTTCTCTTTGGGGTGGAGTGTCTTATGCTAAACTACCCTACCACCCATAAGGATCAATTATCAGACCCTTCCCAGACTATCTCACCAGGAACCTTGTTCAATGTATGCTTTCAAAAGAGCAATGACAAGAGAAGCACAATGAAGCACTGCAGGAGTGCTAAAGGACTGCTGTTCCCGCCCGCAAGCTCTCCACTAAAATTTTGTCCAACGAAAGGGACTCACAAGAACATTTTAGCATCAACCAAAGCACCATAGGGTCATGGTTAACGGTAGCCTCAAATGAATTAAAACTGAAGCAAAAACTTACAGGGAAGAGTGAAAACCCAAGGATTTTAGCATAGCGCAATGTTCAGTAACACCAGCATTTGCCTACTAACAAACACACATCAGTTAAACACCGTCCCACAAAACCTAAAGCGTCCAAGATTTTAACAGGAGACATGGGCTTGTTCCGGCTTCAATCCTATGCACACTTCTGATGTTTGACACCAAACAGGGGCTTATTTAGGCTACAATCTGAACACAAGGGTGCTTTCAAGGAAACGTGCATGGAATAGCACTGCTCCGTCCTAGAAACCCTGTTGCATTCACAAATCAGAGCTGCAAAAGGGTGGATTTCCTCCTCCGGCTCCCTTCAGCGCCAAGCCTCGAAGGGAAGCCTCTAATCCACTTTCACAACCCGAAGTGCAGAGAGAGAGAGAGCACGCGAGTGTGTGGTGCTTGCTACTACCTCTTTCCAGATTCATAAACGCAGCAGACCACCCAGGACAGACCCTGTGCATATGGCAGTGCCAGATATCAGGGCGAAAAAGAGGCAACAGGTCTCTTTACCCTTTAGCCACGAATAACCGCTGCTGCTGGGCTGAGCACCTCAGGGCTGCTGCTCAGCAGGGAGGAAGTAACGAGGCAGGCGGTGGCTGATTTGGGGAAGGAGGAAGCACAAGACTTGCCTTGCCACCATTAACGTTTAATGGACTTAATGTTTATTTTTTGTGGTGGTGGTGGAGAAGAAGAGGGCCCCCACCCGAAACTCACCCCGCCGCCAAACCCCCATGACAGCGGCGGTTTCAGGGGCATCCCAGGAAGCGCCTTTCCTGAGCCCGCCCAGCCCGCGTCTACTCACACAAGCACAGCTCCACCACGTAGGCGTAGTAGGACCAGGCCACGACCAGGGCGATGAAGACCACGGGCACCCACGCCAGCACCTTCTGGCAGCACTTGAGGACGTGCGACGGCGCCATCTTCCCCGCCGTCGAGCCTCCGCCGCCGCCGCCGCCCGCAGGAGCCATCTGCGTCGCCGCTGCTGCTGCTCCCACCGCCTGGAACCGCCTCTCGGCTCTCCGCTGCGGCGAAGCCTCCTCGGCCCGCCCGCCCGCCTTGCCAGCCAGCCACCCCCGCCCGCCCGCCCGCCCGCCTGCTAAGGGGGCAGGGCCGGCCGGCCTCCTCTGCGCTGCGACTCGGGAGGGCGGGAAGAAGAAGAAGAAGAGGCGCCTTCGCTACCCTCACGGAACAAAATCCTGACAGGGAAGCGGGAGAGGGCGGCGCGGCGAGGCGGGGGAAGGAGACGCAGGGCTCCTGAGGCGGACGGAGGACGCCTCCCTCGCTCGCCTCCCGAACAGGCTTCCTTGCACTTCAGAGCGGCTGCCCTCCTCGGCCGCGGTCGTCTCCCCTCGCGCAAAAAGGCCGCCTCGGCTTCCCGAGACCTCCGCTTCTTGTCAAGGTCACGGGGCTGGGGGGGGGGCGAGGCAGCTCCGCGGGAAAAGCGCTCCCGCCCTCGGCTCTGCAGTCCTCCTCGCAGCCCAGGGAAGCCCACCGTTCTTCGGGGTCGTCGGAAGAGGCATTCGTGCACACCACACCCCCCAACAATCTCCTGGTTTAGTGATCACAAGATGGGGGGAAAGAGATTTCGAGCCTCGCTGGTCCTGAATTTGCGCTTCAGCGAACGCTTCACCTCAAGCGTAGGGAATGAGGTCCCTTCGCCCCCACCCCCAATAAAATGTTTGAAGGGGCCGCTCTCCGCCCCCCCCCCCAAGTTGATGGGCATTGCCATTCAAATGGTATTTGAGAGCCGCATCATGTGAACAATTATGTGTGGTGGGGCTTACCTGCTCTCTCTCCCCTCCCTATATTTCTTCAAGTGGACACCCCTGACCCAAGTCTTTCATTTTGTGGGTGCGTCTGAAATAGAAGATCCTAGCTATTCTGATGAACAGAATTCATCATTCACCTGTCAAGGAAGTCTGAAAGGTTTTTCAAGCTATGGCCCACTAGCTCCATTCTAGTCCCATGGAAAGATAATGGAATAGTCAATAGTGCCCATGTTTGGCCCTGGCCAGTTTATTCCACACAGCCACAACCCATGGCTGTTCTATTCAGATGTTCTCTTCTCCGCTCTATGGCGCTTGCCCCTCAGTCCCCCTCCAAGAGTGGGAGGGCAATAGGGTGAGATTTGAGTGTTCCTAAAATAAATTGGTTTGAGATTGAGGGCCAAATTGTCAAAAGAGGCTAACAGGCTCCTGCCTAGGACCTGTGATTTTCACAACCCTGTGCTGATTTTGACAATGCCAGCTAAGGTAGAAAGAAATCAATGTTTTCTTTTTCTCCTAGCTATGGTTAATGAATTTTCATCGCTTGCTACCCTCATCCAAATTCAAAAGCAGGATGACTGCTGAGTCAAGTGAGGCTAAACCTGACAGACTTATGCTTTGCTTCACAGGGTTTTGCACACTCATCACACTGGAAGTTCAGTTCGGTTTTACATTTTATGTATTTTTAGCAGGCAGCTAAAATTCTCCATAAAGTCTTCTTACTACTTAGTTTCATATTGAGCATTAATTCAAAGAATAAGCTCATGCACGTTAAAAGATAACAGTTACAGAGAGAAATAAAATACAAATGAGCATAATGGATTAGACTAGTTTATTCTTGCTACAGTTAGACACCACACATAAATTCACTTGTACATCCCCATCTACACCTATTAAATTTCAAGCGCTTTTTGAAATCTGCAATGAATTTAACAAGTTCTGTGTGTGACATACTTGCTCTGACTGAACAGTAAATCTATTAATTTCTCACGATTCCCTTCTGAACTTTAACAATAATGGTAGAATACATCTCCATTGTACTTTCATATACATTTCACACTGCAGCAAAAAAAAATAGGTGCAAGAGTCTTCACTTCTGCTAAAAATATTCGCCCTAGGAATAAGACAGAGTTGCAGAGTTTGACGACAGGAGAATGGGCCTTTTCAGTAGCGGTTTCACATTTGTGGAATGCTCTCCCCAGGGAAACATGCCTGGTGCCATAACAGCCTGATTTTTGGCACAAGGCAAAAACATTTTTGTACCTCCAGGTTTATATTTTTTAGTTGCAAGGATAACTCAGTGGCCTTTGTTGTATTCAGCCTTGATGTGGAGGTGGATAGGACTTCTTCCTTTAAAATATATTGTTGGATGGGTATTTTCATCTTCGTTGCCGTTTTTATCTGACTTTCAAGTCTTTATTATTTTATTTTTACGGTGTAAATTGCTTTGAGGCACTTGAGTACAAAAATGTACTCAAAAATGTACTCAAGTGAATAATGTAATAAAAAACAATCACCTGGTAGTGTACACACACCATTTGCATATCAGAAATTAGAATAGCATCCTCTGTGTATCATAAGATGGCACAACACCTTGGCCAACCTTAGTGGAAAGAAGTGGTCTCATCTTCAAAGAAGCTGCAGCCCTGTTCAAAATATAAATTAAGCAGTAAAGGGACCAAAATACATCTTTGCTGGACTACCTTTGGGACTGGAGTCTTAGCTGATAGTTGACGATTGGCTCCTATCTTAGCTTTCAAGGTCATGTCGGTATACAAATTCCTCATGCAGTTCAAAAGCTTAGTATTGGTACCCTAGCAGACTTGTCTGGTCCATAGCCAGTTATGAGGTACTGAGTCAAATGCTCCTCTTACAACACCAGAAAGGCAAGATTATGTTACTAAAATAAGAGTTAGGTATGTGCTTTGACTTGTAGACCAGAAATAGTTTATTAAGTATTCTGTCAAGACCCCCTACACTTTCCAGTCTGATATAAAATAAATGTGAGAACCATTGCCTTAGAGCAGTTGTCTTCAACCTTTTCAGACCCAGGGTCCCATCTTTAACCCAAACATGTGTTTGGGGACCCTTTTCTTAATCTTTTACCATATATTATATGGTGGAAGCACTCCTGCTGTGACCTACCTTGGATCAGGCTGTGGCCTGATAGCAGGTCCTGACCTACCAGTTGAAGACCAATGGCTTTTAACAGCTGGGGCCCTCCAGATGTTTTGACTTATGCCTCGCATGACCCCCAATATCATATTGCTTTGCCCGCTACTGGCATGTGGCTCCCACAAGGTTGCTCATGAGGCAATGTGGCCCTCAGGCTTAAAATGTTCCCTACAACTGCTTTGCACGCGCGCACACATACAGCCCTTTCTTTTTAGCTGAGGTGGGTAGGTATATTCAAGTTTATAGCACAGCAGCAGTTTGCCCATATACAACACTATCTTAGATAGAAATATGCCGCTTATTTGGTGCTGGGGGGTGCAGCTAAAGCAATTTTGGATCTCATGGGCCTTTGGAATAGGCACCATCCAACAGAATGTGACCAAATATTTATTCTCTATTACTCCACAGACATTTTAGGCCACACAATTTTTTTAGTGCCTAATCAATTTTTACAATTCACAATAACTGTTGGAATTGGTCCTCTTAATTTTACAAACTATTGGCCTGTCATATTAAAGGTTACTATTGCAGTCTCGAGAAAAAGAGGCCTCTCTCGTGCTTAACACAGCTTTAATGCAGATTAGATATCTGAGAGCAGATGTAAGGGATCTCTACAAATTATTTGGGATGCATTTAAGGCTTTTTTTGAGAGAGAATCATTATCCACACCTCGTATAAATGAAAAGACAACGAATCTGAACTATTTATTTTGGAAACTCTTTGGATATAATGTAGAACCAGGTTTGCAACACCAGATTTATAATAAAATTAAGCACTAGGAAAGCAAACGGGCCAGTAAACTCCCAGATTTCTGCTTGAAACAGCAGAAGTCCAAGAATATTACTCTGATGCATGATGCTAGAGGGGCAGATTCTTGTAATGCCAAAAAGCATTTAGACACAATTTTTATAAATCCTTTTACCTGGCTGATATTAATCCTGCTAGGACAGAAATACAGAACTTGCTTGATACATTGGCTTCCCTGTACTACATGTATCAACAAACTTTTGCTGCATTCATAAGTAGACATAGGAACAAAATATAGAATTGAAAATGGTAATAAAACTTTTTTGACTAGATGATTTTAATGTGGAACAGTATAAAGCATTTAAGGGGTAGATTATCCACCTTGCATGCAGAAGGTCCCAGGTTCAATCCTAGCATCTCCAGGTAGACTGGGAATGTCTCAAGCCCTGGAGAGGCGCAGCCAGTCAGTGTAATGACTCACTATAGGGCAGCTTCCCATGTTTGAATTAACTATTGCTTTGTCCATCAAAGTTGTATTTCCCTTGGAAGGCTGGGAAATTCCAGTTTCATCCCTCACTCGATATACTTAGTGTGTTCCTATTTTCAAGAGTGGAACCTATTTACTGGACCTGTTTACTGAATATGTACACCTGTTTTAATTCAATGTCTCAGTCTTCATGGCAGATATCAGACTGCCAGTGGTTGTGTGTGTGTGTTTCTTGTGTGTCTTTCAACAGAAGTATTGATGTTCATACTTGAAGCACACACCGCCATCTTGAACATGCACACCAACTTGTTCCTGTATTTCAAAAACTCAAGGCAGATACACCAATGGGTTCCCCGATGGTGTTAACATTTCCCATGTTCCACTTGAAAAAGCGTGCCAAGGTTGAGCTCATACTGGAACTAAATGTAGTATTCTGTCCTGTACATATTCTGTTCCAGTACTTCTGCATTCAGTGAGGATTTTGACCCACATACTGAAGTCCCAGGTGATAGACCCTATCAACTTCACTTCATTGGTTTTCTGTGCTACTCACTAGAATCAATATGAGCTTATCTAGTGAAATGCACTTGTATTTGGCCAGAGTCCAAAGTTCCTCCTCTGCATACACGACAGCTATTTATTTTGTGCAAGGAGAACTTTGAGCAGATACCTTGTGTGAGGAAAACCAGGTTGCTTCTAGAGGAGTTTGCTGTGTATGCAGAAGCATATTTTGGACAGCTAAATAAGCTCATAGCTCCTGCAGTTCTTATGTGCTCATGGCTATAACAGCAAGAACAGCATTTCATCTCTCTGGGTCTCTGACTTATTTATTTAAAGCGTTCTACCCTACTTTTTCCAAGCAAATAAACCAGTTTCCAATGTAACCAAACCAATATAATACAATATAAATACAAAAATACAAATGAAATTAATGAGTCACCAAAGCAATTAACAAACTTTATAAAAACATATTTTTGTTTAAACTCTTTGAGTTTAAACAAAACCAGTTTAAATGACCAGCTCTATTATTTTTGGGTAAACACCCAGATCTTGATCATTGTTAATACAGCCAGAAACTGCTCACCACTGCTCCAGTGCTGATCATTGCCTCAGGTGAGCTCTGAGTCATTACAGGCCTTAGTTAAAAACTTACCCAACTGACCCAACCCAGGCTCCTGGGCAGTAAGGAGTATAGGAGGGCTTCCTGTCTCAGTGGAGCTTTGTTTGTGTAATAAAGTCTACTGGAGCACTGATGCGCCTTGTGATTCTAGTCTGTCTTCTGATTTTCCCTCTGCCCCAGATTGCTCTTTGGTCTTGAGTTCTGGCTCCAGAAATCCCTTACGAATACAGAAGTTCCTTATACCAAGCAACACCATTTACACTATTTGGAAGCAACTGTCCAAGGTTTAGCAGCAGCTCTCCAATGGTGGCAAAATGACCTCTTTGAAGATTGGAGTTTATGACAGTCTGGAAAGCCTTCTTCAGCCTAAGGGTCAGGTCAATAACTAGCCTCCCCTGCATGGGCCATTTTTTAAAAAGTGGCCAGGGCCACACACACCTGTTAATCACTTGACATTATGATGTCAGGTGGGACTTGCTTGTCAGCTGATTGGTACTGACAGCAAGACCTGCTTTGCCTGTTTGTCAATATTGTTTGGATTCAAACTGTTTCTTCAAGCTGACCTTTTTCCTCCGCAGACCAGCAAATCTGTCTGTAAAGCTGGCCTACATTGGGGAAATGTTGGTTTGCAGGGGCAGCTTTAATCCGGTTTGTACTTGCCGATGGACTTCAAGGGGCTTGCTGTCAGCACTGGCCAGTGAGCCCTGCTTGTCAAGAAACTGTTGAGACTTTAAGCTCCTGTTTGCTCTTTGCTGCTGTGTCTTTACTTGCCCCATACCTGCCATATGATGGCACAGGTGTGGGCCTGGTGGGTATGGTAGAGGAAGATGGCCTCATAAGCCAAATTAGGAATCTTGTGGGCTCTTAATTAAGTCACAAACCAGAGGCTCTCTATCACTGATCTACAGCCAAGTATATATATATTTAAAGCTCTTTCAAAAGATCTTATATTTACAGTGTCATGACCCTTATTACTTAATGACTTTAACATATATAAACTTTTATTAATATGCTGCTGCAGTGCCAAAAAGCCACAACACTGGATGAGAACTGCATTATACATTAGAACATAAAAAAGCCACGAGGTATGATAAAGAGCATTTATCATAAATTTATCAAGAGCATTGAAATAAATTATGCATTTTTAAAGTATGCTTAAATGCCCTTGCTCAAGGCCTAGCTTTCTCTGGATTGCACCCACAGGCTAAATTTAGATATTCATGGAGGTTCTCAAGCAGAGGTTGGATAGTCAGTCATCTGTCATGTATGATTTAGCTGAGATTCCTGCATTCAGGGGGTTGGACTAGAGTTGGGGTCCCTTCAAACTCTATAATTCTATGAGCATATTAAACACGGACATTTTCTCTCCCATTTTAGAAACCATCAAATTAGTCTCTGAATGTTGACTCTGGAGAGGGACTATTAGAAAACCTAGGGCTCCACCTTGTGGGAGAGTGGTAGTATTTTATTTCCCAAACAAAGATGCAAACATACCGGTACTTAAAAACCGGTATGCCCCAAGGATAGCCACTGATGCATAAAGAAAATTACAAAAAGAAGGGCGTGGGGACAAAAGAAAGATGCAGATTTCTGCATATGCTAATTTACAGGTGTTGGTGCAAACATATCAATAATGATTATAATTTGAACAGAAATGTTGTATTGGGGAAAGGCTGTGACCAGGTGACCTGTGTGGCTGCTCCATCTGCTGCCCAGAGGAACTGTCCTAATTGCCCTAATGGTTGATGAGCAACTTCAAAGCATCTGCTCTCCTTTCTTATGGTTCTTTATCTATGAACTGGATTTGACATCTTCTCTATGAAACAGGACATGTGACCACCCAACGTACTGAATTTTTGAATCATTTCCGGAGAAAACAGGCGACAGGACTTCGTGAACCATGAGCTGTTCTTAATGAACCACACGGAAGAACAGGCTGGAGTCTAATTATCTTAATTAGGCATGTGGACTGTGCTATATGGGTGCAGCAGATGACACCAATCACTATTCCAAGGCTGCATAGCTCAAAATAATCTGGAGTGCACTGCTAATAGAAGATTTTAGGTGGCAGGGAGTTTTTGTACACTGAAGTAGAGACATAATGGCTGGCAGCAGAGACCATTCAGGCATTTCCTGCCCCCCCCCAGGTGAATAAATTACTGTGCCATAAATATACACAGCACTGTGTCAATCATTTCCACTAGGAAAGTACGATAGCAAATAACAGACACAATTATGTTTGCTCAATTTATTACAGGAGTGGCCAAGCTTTTGTAGTCTGAGGACCACATGCCAGGGTTGGATATGGTCAGTCTAGGCATGCATTCACCCAAGACACAATCACACAGCACTCTCTCCCTCTCATGCACACTCATGCATTTACCCTCACGCAAAACACATATGCAGATGTATACGCAAGTGCATGCATGCACCCACCCACCCAGAATTTCTAGCCCTCTCCTCTCCAGCACAGAAACACTGCCTTTTACTTTCAACACAGTAGTTTTACATGAAGGCCATTACAAGGATAGCATAAGAGGCTAGGACTCTGACTGCCAGCAAGCCCTGTTGCCACGACTACAATATACCACTTGCTTTTGGGGCTGTCCGGTACTGACCACCTGGGATGATGGAGCTACTGCTTGGGCCCAAGGGTCTCAGAAGAACCGCTGGGGCAGGGGCTGTCATCTCTCTCTCCTTCACTTTCGCTCTGCCCCAGTGCTCAGCAGAGAACAGTGGCTGCAGCTGCTGCTGTCTTTACTGCACCAGAATGCCTTGCCCTTCTGGATCAATGAAGATGCTGGCGGCTCCTTCACCGAGCACTTCTTCTTTTTGTATATATATGCTTTATTGGTTTTTAAAATTGTGTAACGCAAGTAATCAACAGAAACAGCACTTCTCTGCTCAGTGGCAGGCTAAGTGCTGTTCTCCATCTCCACCCACCATCAGGCCACACTACCAGGGAAGGCAGCAGGAGGGATGGGGAAGCTGTGATCAGCCGGGTGCTCAAAGCAGCGAATGAAGTGGCTACAGCCATCCCCGCCTTCATTTCCAGGCGAGGGGGAGAGACCATGGTGGTGGGGGTTAGAGAGATCCTTGCCTCAAACATGGCAACAGCCCTGTCCCCAGCAGACTGGATTTGGCTCAGAGGCTGCTGGTGTCTAAATTACAGATTGGCATTGCACAGTTTCTTATTTGTATTCAAGTTAACTTCCCTCCCATTTCTAGTTATACTAAAGTTAGAGGTCTAGTTAACTCCCCCTCCCAATTTCAATCTCTTTTCTCCTGAAACAATCAAGATGCTCATTGCTCTGCAAAGCTGAACCACTACGGTCATAGCAAGCCCACAGAGAAAAGGTAATTGCCAAGCTCAGTGTCAAGGATGGCCAGGAGCTATTTCATTTATATCTACCAAAAGACACTTTATTTTCTACCCATTTCTTGACTGCATGCAACTTTTTGTTTATACAAATTCACACCATTTACAATTTTCCAGTTTATATGTAAACATGTTCCTATTTCCAGGCTGGAGTGAGAAATGCAAAGCATACTGCAAACAGAACAGTCAAAAATATATTTGTATAAATTAGAAGAAAAATATACAGGAATATACAAAGTTTCAGTCTGGTAATTGTTCAGAACTAGTGAAATCTGTGAGGCAGCTGAGGATTGTAGTTTTAAAATGATTGTTGCTTTATAAAATTCATTCTGGAGTTGTAGGTTTCAAGCTTTTCTTCTTTCTGGTCACAGGATATCCTTTTAGGTCTTTCAGCCCTGTTAACAGGATGCGCTTTTCTTATGAAACATATGCAAAATGAGAAATTTCTACTAAATTCCAGACAGACTGATCAATTCAGGGATTTTGATAGTATCCATTTTTTAGAACTTCAGTACTATTGGGAATTAAAACACCTTATGAAATCTGGAAATTGTAATAGTCCCCCATCAACGTTGATTATACTGATAAATACTGTAGAATACTGTAGAATTATAATGAGAAAATAAATTTGTTCAACACTCAATTGTATAAAGATATTCTATTCCATCAAATATAGCCATTATGTAAACAAACATACACCAAAAGCAAACCCAGACATTTATAGTTGTAAAATGATGTTCTTTTTTTCTAGAAGGGACTTTTCCCAGTTTGCTTCCAGACTTCTTTTGCTCCTTTAATGCTCTCCCTTTTCACACATTTCCAGTAACCTGGAACTCCTTGCTGCTGAGGCACCTGTTTTTGTTTTTTGTTTTTAATAAAAAAAAAAACATTAATTACCACACTGAATTTAAGTTTCATTTTTTTTAGCTGGCTATACCAGATAGAGGGGCAAGGCAATGACTTGGATGAAGCCCAATGACATTTGGTCCTTCCCCACCAAGAGCTGTCTCTGGAGTGGCCATTCCAGCTAGTCATTATGAGCAGCTAGGAACAAGAGTACTTCATCTGCTTATTTTTGTGTTCCTCCCCAATCCCCTTTTTCATTTGCATCACACTGAGTACACTCACAGAAGCAGTATATAAAGGACAGCAAATAAATATACGATTGAATATGATTAATTAAGTTATTTAGACTTGCCTCATTAACCTTGATCCATTATGGCCATTAGAAACCTGGCTGCTAACTTCCATGGAGTTGGGGATAAAATCCCTAACACAATTATTAAAGGACAGTAGCCAGCTAACTCATCCTATCAGTGTAAATATTTGCTCTTGTACAATGAAACTTTCTCTCATCCCCTGTTCTGGGGATAGTCTGTCCTTTTTATCTTGCATTTTTATGTTGTGAATTGCCCTGAGATCTACAGATGAAGGGCAGTATAGTCATACCTCGGATTGAAGTTGCTTCAGGTTGAGCGCTTTTGGGTTGTGCTCCCTGGCGACCTGGAAGTAACGGAACGCGTTACTTCCGGGTTTCCCCACTCGCGCATGTGCAGACGGTCAAAATGACACCACGCACATGCGCGGAAGCGGCGAATCGCGACCCACGCAGACGTGGGTTGCGTTTGCTTCTGGATGCGAACGGGGCTCCGGAATGGATCCTGTTCGTATCCAGAGGTACCACTGTGTATACAAATTTAACAACAACAACAACTTAGTTATTCTACATCAAGTGGTATGCTGGGTAGATTTCAATCTGGTTATCAGTTCACTTGATAGGTTTTCACTGTATGTGTGGGTTTAAATTTTAGGGTCTAAGAGAGAGACCTCTCTGAAGCCAGGAAAAAGTTCTCCTCACAAAGCAGATGGGCATATTTTGGTCTTCTCCTGTGGGGTCTGTCACACCTTATTGTTGAGCCATCTGGGTGTTACTAATCTAAGCTTTTGGCTTACTAGAGTCTCTGGCATGGAGCACTTTCTCACTCTTGGTCTCTGCTTGTGCTAGCACTGAATGATAGTGGTTAATCTGGTAGATGTGTGTTATATGTTGGTATGGAGATAGATGGTTTGTGCCTCCCTTCATCGACTGGATGTTCAGTGAAGTCTAATGAGCATACATCAGAAGCAAACAACTTAATAGGCTAGCTAACTGTTCCATAAAAAGTTCATCTTAATAAGAAAACTCTTTGTTTTTAATTCCACCTTAAAAGCAGTGGCCCTGTAAAATTTCCACAATTACCTACTTCCACAAACTGCTCCCACTAGGATTATATGGTCTATATGCTGGCACCTTGACTGATTAAAAACAGTTACTCCATTAAACATTCTATTTTAGGAATAAGGCTTCATTACCCTTAAGCCTCGATGCATCCTGTTTTTTAGGACTCCAAGGAATTCTGCATGGCTGAGGCAATTGTCTCCATCCAAATCAAAGATCTTGAAGACGGTGTCCAAAACATTTTCGGAGAGTTCCTGTCCTGTAACAGCTTTCACAGCTCTCTTGAACTCGGCTAATAAAAGCACAACACACCATACATTACCATTAAAACGTAAAATAACTTGGGAGATTATAGATCAGTTTACGGAACTGAATAGTGGAAAGATCTATAAATTTAACAAATAAACTATTCCTTCTGAGTGCAAAAACATAATTTGAATTGTGTGATCAAATAAACTATCAAAACATTGCATGCTAAGTCCTTAATATTAATTTTTCAGCTTCTTAATGGGATCTAATCACTACTTCTTGTCTTGAAGAATGGAAGAAGACAGCAAGCTGCCATCTTTCAGTTCCAAGTGCAGGCAGCAGTCATGGCTGGCGATCAGCTGTAGCGTCTCCCAGCTGACAAAGGAGGAGTAAATGCCAAGGAAAATTCCTACTGCCGCTTCTCCCAACCACCAGTAAATAGTGATCCGTAATCTTCAACTGGTTGTCCAAAACAAGTAGCAAGGAACTGAGAGGAACTCAGAATCCTTTTATAAAAGGAGAAAACACCACATGACACAGGTTTATAGCACACGTTTTCAGAAGTCACTTGCAAAGTGTATTTTCTTGCTTAACATTCTGATGTGCAAAATTATTCTTACCTCGTTTAACAGGGCGGCTGGCTACCGTGAACATTTTCAAGGCAATTGAAAAATCTTCTAGGCGGTTTGTAAACTGGCAGAAAGTCTTAAATTCCTCCAAACTGATACTCTGAAATACCAAATAGTACTACTTAATTTATTTTTAGGTGAGTGATTCAAAACTAAGCATTTTCTTAAGGCATTTAATATTATTATAAAGTTGTGGTGTAATGAATAGAGTGCTGGACTAAGACTTGGGAGACCAGGGATCGAGACTCTACATAGCCATGAAGCTCACTGGGTGACCTTGGGCCAGTCACTGTCTCTAAACCTAGCCTACATCCCAGGGTTTTTGCGAGGATAAAATGGGGAGACTGAGAAGCATCAACACCATTGAACTCCTTGGAGAAACATATAACTGTAATAAAAATTAAGAAGTAAAGATGGTAAAGATTGGAACAACAAAACAAGTAAAAATGAATGCCTTTGCTATACTTTAGATTTAGGAAGAATGTTATTCAATTACACCAGAAAAAAGCCATTTGGGTTTAGAAACTCCATACGCACCTCTCCTGCTTGGATTCTTTCCTTCACATTTTGCCAGTAAATTTCATTGTTCTCTTGCTCAGTAAAATACAGCAACCACTCTACAAAATCCTCTTTTCTCATGAAGGCTAGACCTTTGGAAAATTGGATGAATTCCATCTCTTGCACCTCTGTTTGTAAATCCTGCATAAATCTAACAAACAATAGTTGCAACTTAATTCCTTTCATAAGCAGAGAATACAAACCATTTCTTATAGTAAAGATAATGCTTTCACATTTATAAGGAACTCAAACACTACACATAAGCAAGATTGCCTTGAGGTTCACTGTTTTCTCTCACAGCTATTATGCAGTGAAAATGTCTCACCTTAATTTTCCAAAAACTAATCAGATAGAAAACACAACACACAAATTGTTGGCTTCCAGGTCTCAATAGCAGCAACTTCCATAACTCAGTAAGATGAGATGATTTAAGTTGCTCATTGTGAGATAAAGATATACTTTCAGTACATAATGTAGTTTCAATCTTTCCAATTTTGTAATGTTGTCTTTCAGCAGTTCTACCAGTAGGGAGCACTCTGAATCTATGTACGTTTATGAATGTTGTAGCAGCAAGCTGTGTGCTGCAAAAAAATTGCTGCTACACATATGCATAACTCTTACCTGAGTGGAAAAGGATATTTAAACATGGAAGTGGCATAAAACTTGTAGCAGCCAACTAGACAGTAAATGGAACAACAAAAAGACTCACATAGCTTTAAAACTGAGAGTATTTGAGGAAAGCTGTAAAGAAACAGAATAGGGAAACGAAAGGTGCTCCAATAGTCTTTAAAAGGAATAATGATTGATTAGGCACAAATAACAGTTAACAATTATTACCCAAGTGCTCTGCCTCAAAAATCCTTTACTTTGATATAAAGTAGTCCACAAGTATTTGAGAACGTTACAAAAAATAACTTTATGTAACAGTAAATCATCATCATCATCATCATCATCATCATCATTATCTATACCCCGCCCATCTGGTTGGGTTTCCCCAGCCACTCTGGGCAGCTCCCAACAGAATTAATGATAATAATAATAATAATAATAATAATAACAAAGCGATAAAACATCAGACATTAAAAACTTTTCTAAACAGTGCTGCCTTCAGATGTCTTCTAAAAGTCAGATAGTTGTTTTTTTCCTTGACAACTGATGGGATCCAAATATTCATTGGGTGGGGGAAATCTTATTTATTTCTCTATGATACTAAGGTGGGGCAGGAGAAGAGAAGGAAGACCTTATCTGTAGGAAAACTGATCAAAATCTTTGCCTTTCCTCGTCCCCATAAATAAAGAGAACATAAGAATAATGTCACCTAAAATATGTCACTTTTGTCACTGGAATTAAAACTCTGCCAGTTGTAAGTGGCTTACTATTTTTGCAAGTTTGCTGCCAGATCTTTGAACATATTTTTAAGATCCACAGCAGGGGTGGGGAATCTCTTGCCCATGCACCAACTTGCAGAGGCATCAAAGGGGCTTCTTGTAACCACCAATCAGCTGACTGGCAGTTACAGTGACTTCTTTGGGGTTTCAGTCACTTGATGTCACAATGACATCAGGTGATTGACAGGTGGGTGGTCCCACCCACTGGTTAAAGTTGGCCTGCATGGGGTGATGGAGATTAGGGTCTGGTCTGCCTGAAGATGCAACCGCCCATAGTCTAGAAGGATAAGGGTAGGAGATGACTTTTGCCGAAATCCCCTTCCCTCTGTACCCCCTTGAAAATATTGCTCTGGCGTGTGGGAGAGACAATCTGGAGTACCATATGAGCAGAGCTGAGGGTTTGGGAGATCAGCCAAAAATGTTGTGTCATCCCTGAGATCCTCTGCTCAACCACAGTACCCTTTGAGAAAAGAAGGAGCCAACCCATTTGGAGAGGATTAGTCAGGATACAAACCAATGATTTCAACAGGGTCAAAGTTCAAATAACTGAGCCTGGATCCGATCTGGTGCTTCTAACTCCACTTCCAAAAAGAGTCACACCTGAAAACTACACCCCACCCCAAAAGACACACATTGTTGAAAGCCAAAGTTTACAAAAGTTTGGGACAATTTTTTAAAATAAAAAATACACATTTTAAATCACCAAGACAATTATCAGCTACAGAATATGGTTTGCTTGGCAGTATCTGAAGCCTTTCAAGTGCGTGTGTTGATTCTTCCACCAGGAATTTGGAACCAACTTAATTTAATTCCTACTTAAAGCAACAATAAGGGAGATATTTATTGGGTGAGCTGAGGGAAGGAAAGGAGAATGTAAACCTGGAAAGAATCCCCTGGGGAAAATAATATACAAACAGACCCTAACTAAGGGACTATGAAAAGATAAATTAGAGCTGGATTTTCACTAAATCATCATTTTAATAAAGTTAGCACAGACAGTGGGAACAGGTATATTGAATACAATGAATACAATGCCTTCCCTCATATGAACACTGCAGTACGTAACATTTTTAGGTAGCCCAAAACCTTCCTTTGGGGGATTTGTACCAATTAGGAGCAAGGCCTTTTTGGTCATGGCACCTTGTCTATGGAATACTATCTCCCATGAAGCCTATAAGGCCAGCTTTCAGCTAATGGCCTTTAGCTGGGTTTGGGGTGGTGATGATTTCTTTTGTTTTTCCATGCTATCTTCTCTGTCAATATAATAAATTACATTCTACTTTATTTGCTTTTTTGATGGTTTAGAAGTCTGGATTTAACCAGTCCACTGTTGTAAGCTGCCTGGCAGGCCTACGGAATGGAAAGACGTGTTCTAAAAAATTATTTTAAAGCCCCAGCTACTTTTCTGGCACGCCTCTGCTGCAGCTGTTGCGGAAGTGCAGAAAACAGCTAATTCATAAAGAAAGTTTTCGAATCCTTTTGTACTGTTTGAATAATACTAACAAGGAGGAAGCCTAAATCTGCACAGAAGTGCAGTATTTAAAAATAAGTATTCAGAGACTTCAGAGGAGAATGTCGGTTGCGCTAGTTAATTCTAACCAAAAGCTGGAACAATAACTCTAGAAGGTTCAAACAGTATCAATAATCTCTTATCAATTCAGCTAGGCCTGGCCCTGAACTCAGCCAGCAAATGGACTAAGGTCCCACTATGAAGACTCTAAACCAACTTGAAGCTATTTTGACAGATAGTATATACCACTGGTGTGCAGATGTTAAGCATGCAGATCAAGCAATTTGCTACTGTAAATGGTTAAAAAGGAAAACAGGAACAGTATGGAGAGCGAGGGAGGGGGAACCACACTCAATACACAGAAGCAACTTGCCATGTGGCTTAGTTTAAAAAGTGGATTCTGAAGGGAGGAAACAAAGCACACCAGCCTTGAGCTAAGTGTTGCAAAGCAACAACCAATCACTCTGGGAAGTGAGAGAATAAATAATAAAAGTTTTGTTCCTGCTTTTTTCTTTGGGGGGGGGGATAACTCACCTACTAATCACAGGTAAACACCATTAAGCTTTATGAATGAACCCCCGCCCCAATGTTAAGGAACGTAAATTACACAGGTAACTATATCTGAAGCAGCCTAATCAAATGTAATCACTCCTGCTTTCTCTAGCTACTCCGCTGATCAATGGAAAGCCTTTCTAACAAGAACTTGGAAAATGATAAAAGCATTTACCATCATTTCCCCCCTGCCTTTGACAATGATCTATGTCTGTACAGCTCATCAGTCATCTCTTGTAAAAACATCATGGCACTTTGATCAGAAAGCCAACAATGGCTTCCCATGTGAGGTAGAAATGTTGTGAAAAGCCATCAGATAGAAATCACATTTTCCCCGAACAATAGAAACACAGAAATGATGTGCTTGAGTTACTTGCAAATAAAATAATGTGAAAAGTGATATCTCCACTGCGCTTTTTTTTTTTTTAAAAGACGCTGATCCTTTCATTCACCTTCCTATGCATTAAAACAAACTTTACTGTCAGGTCACAATGCAGATGGAGTGGGTCTATATGGATAGTGATAAGGAGACGCATTCCAAGTGCATGAAAAATAAATGCCATTGTTGAAAAATTACCTGTATTAAACCCGACACTTACCCAACAGCTTTAAGAGCAAGATGTGGGAGTCCAATTTTGATTACAGGCTTCTATCTGTGTGGTAGGCAAAGGTCTTAAACCTACATTTGCTGAATGTAGTAGGTACACAGTATTATCAGTGTTATGCCTCATTGGGTCAATGCAGGATTTTATCTAATTACCTGAGACATTCCAGTTCGCACTATAAATGCAAACAAGCTTTTACGGGTGCACTCTGGCCTTTGCTTTGTTAACAACCCCTACTGTAGAGAAAGGGGAGCAGAGGGAGTGCCAACTCAACAGAATTCTCAATATCTTTAAGAACTTCAAAGGCTTGTTTATTTGAAGGTTGGTGTGCACCTGAAATCAGTGGGAGGAAACATTTTGCACAGCATTTGAAACACCTCTCCATTCTTGGTTTGGCTGAGAGGAGACAAATTGCAGAAAACCATGCTGGTCTGTTGGGGAGGGGGGCAGAAACCAAACGTTAGCTGGAGGGTAATACAGTGGTACCTCGGGTTACATACGCTTCAGGTTACAGACTCTGCTAACCCAGAAATAATACCTCGGGTTAAGAACTTTGCTTCAGGATGAGAACAGAAATCACGCGGCGGCGGTGCGGCAGCAGTGGGAGGCCCTATTAGCTAAAGTGGTGCTTCAGGTTAAGAACAGTTTCAGGTTAAGAACAGACCTCCAGAACGAATTAAGTTCGTAACCAGAGGTACCACTGTAATCGTTTGCTATATGACTTTATCAGTCTCTCAGATCCTTGTGGAGGAATTGTGGCCCACTCTTCTTTATGATGTTGCTTCAGTTCATTGTGTGTGTGTTCCCAGATTCTCCTGTGCAATTTTTAGTTGAACTCCTGAGCCAATATAGGTAGAAATACCTCCCAAGCTGTGTTTTCCAGGAGAGCAGTGATTTATAGAAGAACTCCTATGAATGACAACTAATATGTGAAGTGGCCTTGAGGGAGTTTCTTAAATAGAGTTAAAGTAGACAGACTTGATTTGCAGATGATTCTGCAAATAAAAGGATTGAGTTGAGTTAGCATACAAGTTTAAGTAACTAGGATATTTTTACTTAAACATCAGCCTAGACTTTCATTGGTTGCAAAGTTTTAATGTGCTTTTAAACATCGCTTTAAAAGGCTTTCTAATATTAGTAATGCCAGTGGTAGCTAAGGGTTGATTAAGATTGGATTTCATGCAGTCTAGGTTTAATATTTAGTTGGCTTTCCATGTTTCCAAAACCTATCACATTTCAGTACTGGCTTTCTACACAAAGAATACACCAAGCAGTGTGCAACACAAATTACAAGTATTGGAAGCAGTTTGTTACACGGTGATATTCTGCATAAAAGACTAACAAGTATAAAAGGAGTCAAAGACTTCATCAATAGCTAAACATCAAGGGTCTCACTAAACATTTAGGGCGATATCCAACGATGGTGTCTCACTTGCTCAACCGATTTCTGGTTACACAAATATTTCCCCTTCTTCCCCCATGCAGCCTGTTGTACACTCCCAAGATCTGCTATGAAAGACTGGGAGACCCTGCAGAGTAGATGTGGGAGGAGCATGCAGAGCTCTGGGAACAAAGTAAAATCCTGTCACATGTGATGGTGTGATGTTGACTCTCACCCTCAGAAACAAGATTAGGCCAAGCAGGCTGCTCTGGGAAGAGCAACCCAAGGTTTTATAGCCACAGAGTAAATATCACAAAAGGTAGGTTTCTCACCTGAGGTGCCTCTGCTGCAAAAAAAACCCCAAACACTTTATAGAGGGTAATGAAATTCATTATGCATTTGTCTACAATTACACATTTCTGAATGCATAACTGTAGAACAAAAAATATGGTTCGCCCAGTTTCTCTAGCCTAACAATGAAGAGATTGGGTAAACTGCATTTTTCTGTTCTACGATGCATTTAGGTGTCATCAACCTTTACAAAGTGATTCCCCCCCCCCTTTTTTTCAGTAGAGATAAGCAGTATGCAGTCTGTCAAGGGATATTGTGACCTCAGCATGAGCCACACAAAACTGCAGCGTACGTTATAATAATCCCCATGGAATCCTGTGGACTGTGATTTGTTGGGGGTTTCCTCCATGGTGCCACGGCTACAAGTGTGGTCAGAACCTCCAGGCAAATGTGGGCAAAGGCATATACATATTGTTGTTGTTGTTGCTGCTGCTGTTTTTAATGTATACCCTGTCCTTCTTCTCAAAGGAGTCCAGAGACCCGATGGGATGCGGACAAGATGGCTGATGCAATTCCCATGGTGTGTTACTAAATATGAAGTTATTTGGGATCTCTTTGAGATAAAATACTAAGACAAGCCAAAATAGTGAATTGTAGTATCTGATAGACAGATTGAGCTGAAGAACTCACAACACAGAGCAAACCAAGATGACAACCAAAGCGTTAATTACTATCTTTTTTCAGTGCTACCTGTGAAATTCACAGTAATGAAGCTTCTTTTTTCCTCCTCTTCCAAAGAAGTGGACCCGTAACATGGTATTAATATCAGGGTCTTCTGATTCTGGCTCCTGAAAAAATGCACATCAGTACTTTGTCAGAATACCTCTTGTGTTAAAGCTCAACATTGGCTCAAGATCTACATTTCCCATTAATGGTTAAATAATTCTACAAATGCTCTATATTTGAATTTTTCCTTATGGAAAAAAGGCCTGTAGAAAACAAATAAAGTATTTCACATAGCTCAGCTATTCCATCCCTTTGAAAGGCTAAAGCCACAGACACAAAATACAATATTTTTAGATTATGTGTTTCTTTCACCACTTAGCCTAAGTCTCATTTCTTTGAACACAACAACACACTAAGCAACGTGGAGTCTATGGGGATTTCAATGTAATGTTCTTGTGACATCTAAATAGCCGGTGTGTATTTTACTCTGCTGAAGAGGCAAGATGAAAGACAGCCATCTATTCATAAGATTAAATACTAATGGTTATTTGGCTTTCAGTATAATCAACTAGTTGCATTAGTTCAGTGTATTTCATGCTTTCTGCACACATGACAACACATTTTATAGTTCAGGTAGCACTCTTCATTTGTTCCATGACACTTTTCACTAAATGAAGTAACATGAGCCATCTCTAAGCCACCCAAAAATTGTTCAGTATGTGTGGTGTATTTTACAGTATTTTTTAAAATAAAAACTAAATAGAAATACTGCACATTTTTAAATACCAACAAAAACTTACATACTTATGCAAACCTAACAAATAATGTAACTTCATAAATCATTAATTATAGAATACTGCCACTATGTTTTTTACATTAACATAGTACTTGAGGAAAAAAAAGAAGATACACAATAAGATAATCCAAACTAGAAAGAAAACAATCTTTTGCAGGGGATATAGGAAAATAAACTTCCTAAGATTAAAAAACAATATAGCAAACCGAAATATATAGCATCTGATTTGCAGGTGATAAATGTTGACCAATTAGTAGTGTAGAAATTCTCCCAAATATCAGTATTTGAGGAAAACTGAATGCTTAATTATTATCATAGATATTTTCAAACTGATATTTCAATAGTAGGTCCGATGGCTGACTTCTAAAGTTGCGTGAGTGCCAGTTGAGCAATGGTCCTTCCTTCCTTCCTCCCCACCCCCACCGCATGCTCCTCAAATCTGCTCCAGTGTCCCCCAACCCCCCAGAGCAGGGGTGCCAATCTGAATATAATATGGGGAGGGGCAGGTAAGCTCCACTCCATGTCATCAATCACAAGTCGTGGTGCACGCACACCATTTGAATGCCAATGTTCATCAAGTTTGGGGAGTTCCTGGCCCCCTCAAAAATATTGGGGGTGCTGAAGAGACCTTGGCCCCTAGGATTTGGCTCCTATGCCCTGCAGCAGTTTTTGTGGGCACATGGGGGGGGGGCAGCAAGGAGAGGAGGGAAAGGTCCCATTGCATGAGCAGACGTTCATTCCGCTCATGAACAGACAGCACTGGATACAAACCATTGCCTCAAGCCAAATGAATCAAATTCTTTTACCTGTTCCACTTCTCATTTGTATTGTAAAAGAAGTGTGGACAATAAATGATTGTTATTCATTGTTATTTCAAATTCCATTGCTTTCTTTCACTCAGGTTATTTATGCATAAGAAAAATATGACTTGAAAGTCTTCTAGCCATCAAACATTAGCCCCATTCCATTTATCTTTTAATTTTATTTCTTTTAGACCAGACTTTGTTATGTAGTATTCTTAGGATAGCTTCCAACATGACATATAAAACAGCATATTATACAGAGTAAAATAACAACAGTTAAGACCATTTATTTTTAAAATTTAATACTAGATGTTTCTATCAATAGGTCTTGCATTTCTTCCATAAATCAAATTGTCCTAAGCTATGAGTAAAGCTTAGATCATGATGTCCAAGACTATTAATGATTTTAAAAAACAAATCTTTCCTTTGGAATTTACTTTAAATTCTCAAAAAATAGTCAATTAAACTGAGCTTCTCCTCTATAGTCTTAAGACTATAGTCCATATAAGGCCAAGCAAAGTATTTATTTGTATTCTGATTTTGAAATATATGGCAGAGATGGTCTTGGATGTGGGGTTGAAGAGTAGAATAAGCTTTTTGACTCTAGTTAGTATTTTAATGTTTAGTACTTTATTGGCAGGGTCTGAAAGATTAATTTTAACTTGGGAAGTAGGCCTTGGCCCAGTATACCTGAAGGAGCGTCTCCACCCCCATCATTCTGCCCGGACGCTGAGGTCCAGCGCCGAGGGCCTTCTGGCGGTTCCCTCATTGCGAGAAGCAAAGCTACAGGGAACCAGGCAGAGGGCCTTCTCGGTAGTGGCGCCCGCCCTGTGGAACGCCCTCCCATCAGATGTCAAAGCGATAAATAACTACCTGACATTTAGAAGGCATCTTAAGGCAGCCCTGTTCAGGGAAGCTTTTAATCTGTGATATTTTACTGTATTTTTTGTTTCTATGGAAGCCGCCCAGAGTGGCTGGGGAAACCCAGCCAGATGGGCGGGGTACAAATAATAAATTATTATTATTATTATTATTATTATTATTATTATTACCAAACTGATCTGGAAGTGCATTTATTGTTCTTTGATCAAGTCAGCTAAGTATAATACTAAAAGTCTCCCTTTAGACGTGACTACATATTAAATAAATGAATTCTTTTTCAATTGGAATTATTTTACTAAGAACATGCAAAAAGCAAGGTCAACTGATCAGATGCTTTCATTTAATGAAGCATCAGAGCTGACATGGATGCAATCAGCTACAAGCTGTGAAAGGAATAATGTTTAAAAGATAACAGTGCATTAGTGCCAGAACAACCTGCTAGAAAGAAAATCACACTCTCTGAAGACCTACCTGAGATAGTGTTTCATCTCCTAAAGCTGTTTTAAGCTCATCTTGCGTCCCAATTATTTTCTGCAGCTAAAACAAAAGTGATATATATTTCCATTTACTATCTTCTTTTTAATACCAAAGCATTTTTAACAGATAGCTTCTTTCTCAGTGCTATTTACCATACACAAACTGTAAAATTCTCTGCACAGGTACCTTGAGTGCAAAGCCTTTATACACATTTGTCACATGTGATGGAGCTTTCACATTTATCCAGTGCCTTTCATTAAGGAATCTGGTAACACGTGAAATGAATGATCCACACACAATTTTCAAGCAATAAAGATCACACTCATCATTTCTTTTTCTTTTTGATTTTCTTGGTTTACAAACGTACATGCCTTGTCTCTTTTTTTTAGGTTGTACAGTTTTTCTTACAAATCAGTTACATTTGTTGTGAGACATTAGTGCTGAGTAAAGTACAGTGGTATCTCTGGTTGCAGACGGGATCCGTTCCGAAGGTCCGGCCAGATCCAAAGGTTTTCGCAACCAGAGGACCGTTTCTGCACATGTGCACATGGCAAAACCCAGTCAAATACTTCCAGGTTAGCCACTTTCGCATTCCGAAGTTTACGTAATCAGAGGGTTACATAAATGGAGGTACTACTGTATACGGTTGAGGAAGAAGAGGAGAGAGAGAGGAGGGGAGGGGTGGGGTAGTGAGACGTATTCTTTTATATAGTGTACATGTGGGGTTTTGTGTCAGCATCAACTGGGTAGGTTCTCTTTCTATTCATTTATTACATTTCCTTGGTAGTGAGAGGTATTGGGGGCAAGGTGTGGTTGGTTTTCTGTGGTTGTCTGCGGTGGGGTTTGTTTGCATTTGGGGGGGTGCTTGTTGGGTCAGGTAAGCAATATTTATTCATATGCTGTCGGTGGACTCTTGTCATTGTCTTGTCGGGCTGTGTATGTGATAAAGGGGATCCATACTGGGGTAAAGGCATCCTCTTCTATTTGTCCCCATGTCAGTTTTGGTTTATTGGTTAGCTTTTCTAGTAAGGCGATTTCCCATACAATTTGATACCACTGGTCCATGTTTACTACTGACAGGTCTCTCCATTGTCTGGCTATGAGGCTTCTGGCCGCTGAGAGTAGGTGGGTTATAAGCTCTGTATGATGTGAGTGGTCATAACGATCTTGAAAGATGCTCAGGAGGACCAGTTCTGGGGTGAGTTCTAATACCTGTTTAATTATTTTGCATATCTCTTGTACGACTGGTGTCCAAAAGGGTTGGATTTTAGGGCATTCCTCCTACATGTGGAGGTATGTGCCTGTGGAAGTGCAGCCTCTCCAACATCTTAGTGAGGTTCCTGGGTGTATCAGCACCAGTTTCCATGGCGTTAAGTACCACCTGTAGGTGAGTTTCAGAGTAAGTTCCTTTCTTTTTGGCTGATATGGACTTAAAGGGAGGTTTAGACCACATTCTAATCCATTGGGTAGGGTTAATTTCATAGCCTATGTTGGGCTCCCATTGTTCTTTAATTGTGTCAAGGGGGGTTGTGGGATTTTGGAGCAGTATTTTGCATATTGTGGATACCATCCCTTTGCCATGTCCCTCTGCTGTCAGAAGGTTTTTTTTTTTTTTTTAAAATATAAATTTTATTTTATAACACCATACAAACAAAAAAGACAAACACAACACATTCACACCAAAAAAAACATATACATACATATACATACTCCTGACATAAGACAACAACAAATTAACTACATTAACTACTTAACACTGTCAGTTACTCTGCTGTCAGAAGGTTTTTGAAGGTGGTCAAGGGCCTAGTGGCTGCTGATTTTACTGCTGGATTGTTTAAGAAGGCATGTAGTTGATGGTGTGTTAGCCAAGGTATTTGGGTGTCCCATAGTTTGTCTTGTATTTCTTGTATTGGTATGGGTTTGTTGTTTTTGTAGAAGTCTTTTAGACAGTGTAGGCCTATGGCTTGCTAGGTTTTAATCTGGCGGTTTTGTGCTGCGTGTTGAAATAGTGGGTGATAGGCCAGGAGAGTTAGTGGGGATGGGAATGGGGATAGTTTGCCTACTTTTCCCCAACCTGTTCAGGGTTGTGGGCATTTTCTTTAGTTTGTTTTGGAGAAATGGGTATGCCGTAGTGGGGATAAACACACTCATCATTTCTGATACAAGCTTTCTGGCTGAATAACCACAAGCAGGTTGCATGAATGGAATCCTCCACAGCAACCAATCTTTCTCCTCCCTTCTGTCCAATTTTGGGTATTTCATATGTCCTACTCCCATTTCAAATGCCCACAGAATTGGCCATGCTGTTCAGGAGGGCCTCCAACTATCAGGAAAAGGCTTTTCAAGGGAAATGCAGGGAGAGGTTGGGAGGGGAAGGACTGACTTCTGACTGCTAAGTTTTCAGAAATTATGAAATATGAACAGAAATACATAAAAATGGGACCAAAGCAGAGTAAGAACACGTAAGCATTTGGAGGCCATTTTAAAGAATTCCTTCTAACACGGAAGTCAAGTTTTTAAATAGGCATAATACTTGGGCTATTAGTCTCTGGTCCAAACCTTGCTTCAGCCATGAGTTTGCGAAACTTTGTTCTCTCCATCTCACCCTTCGCACTTGAAAGGTGCTATAATAATACTGACATAATCTACAAGGCTCAATGGCAGCTCATATGCTTTGCTCATGCAGAATGTCCCAAGTCTAGAAGAAGAAGAGTTTGGATTTGATATCCTGCTTTATCACTACCCGAAGGAATCTCAAAGCGGCTAACATTCTCCTTTCCCTTCCTCCCCCACAACAAACACTCTGTGAGGTGAGTGGGGCTGAGAGACTTCAAAGAAGTGTCACTAGCCCAAGGTCACCCAGCAGCTGCATGTGGAGGAGCAGAGACGCGAACCCGGTTCCCCAGATTACGAGGCTACCACTCTTAACCACTACACCGCACTGGCACTTCTAGCTAAGGGTTCTCAGGCAGCAAAGCAGGGAAGGGCCTGGAGACCTTTGACTGCAGCTGCCATTCGGAGTAAGAACTGTGCTAGGTGAACCAATTGTTTGACTCTATATAAGACAGTTTCATAAGGTGCATTAAGACTGCATGTGAAATACTTACATGCTCACAAAGCACTAGTTTTGTTTTGCTTATGCATTTTTTTAATGATCCAAGTATGACCTGACAATTTCGTGTCATACCATTCTTTAACAAGTTCAGATCCAAAAATAAGGTCTCCAGCAAATAAAGAAATCCATTTGCAGCTTACTATAAATCTCTAGCAAGTCATTCAGCAGACTCCTGGCAGCAACCTCTCTTTGGGAAACATTTGTAATTACATGTACTCACAAATCTCTTCAGAGGCTGGGTTTCTAGCAAGAGATTTAGCACAGCACACTGCAAAGCTCACCTACCTTCCAGAGATGTTAGCACCAGTCCTCAAATGGACAGCAAAAATAAAAAAAACAAGGGACTTATTATTTACGGTTACAGCACAGATAGAGATAGAAAGCAGAGGATTTAGAGTTGCTTAGGAGAGGTGCTTTTAAAAGTATGTTTATCACTGGGAGACAAGCAGCGCATAACTTTCCCTTCGAATAATGTGATGCTCCCAAAGCCTGCTGCTTTATCATCCTTAGCCTTCATCTCCGATTCCTCATGCCAACACCAGGTGATCGTTTTGGCAGGTTAGGATTGAAATGGCACTATTTCCCCTAAATAGTTTGCACCTGGCCCTGTCCAGTCATTAGTTGATGCGCACTGAAATCCAACACTGAACACAGCGACCCTTTTCCAAGCAGTGCATGCAGCAAGACCACCCATCTGTGGTCTGTTTGTTCAGGCAAGGCAAGCTGGGGGGGGGGATAGGGCATTATTTCCTCTATTTATCCCAACCTTTAATACTGTTGAAAGATGACGAAACAAGGGAATGGGGGACATGTGACAGAAATGTGCCAACGCACTAGCAGCTGCCATTTACAGCTATGGCAAAAGCGCTAGTAAGGTGAGGCAAGGAGTCATGGCTATACAAGGATTTTCCTTCCAAGTCATCCATAATCTGCCCTACCTTCATTTGAACCTGGGAGGGAGGGAGGGAGGGCACCATTTTCTTCTGCTGCCAGGAAGCCTGTTAGGTCCCCTAAGGGTTAATTCCATCACAGTGGTTGCATTTCTTTTTGGCACTGAAACTAAAGTAGCTCCATCCCCTCTCCAGATGCTCTCAACAGCAAAACACATTATCTTCTATTCAAATTAAAAAGGCTTGCACATTTGACTTTGACCTCAAGTGTGCATTTCATAGTATTCATAATAAAAAGACTAAATATACCTTCTCTTTCCATTTCTACAATGGAAGCCTCTCTCTAGAGATGGATTTTCTGCAGTTTTGCTTGTATGGGTAGATATAGATCCGTCTATTCCACATATATAAATAATCGTAATTTTAAAATTAAATAAACTCTTAACCCTAGCTATTGACACCAATGCACTGTTCTTGATCAACCATGTTAGTTAAGGAACAACAGGTTCGCTATAAGTTCATTGCCACCTGTATCCAAATGTAAAAATAGGAAATCTGGTTTTAAAAAAATGTTCTCGGTTTAACTCAGAACTTCAATGAAAAAGGGTTGCAAAAGGTTTTAATTTCCTCAGTTGTTCAAGTGAAGACATGATCTCTTGTGTACAAAGCAGATGAGGAAGGAATAGTCTTGATCAACTGCACTTTTCATTTGTAAGTTATATGGTAATTCCATAAATTAAAAAAGGGTTTTTTTGAAAATATTGTCATTCATACCTTAAAAAATTCCTTTTTCTCTAAATGTTCATTCCCGTCTGCATCCAGCATTTTAAAAGCAATATGAAATCCAGTCTGTGGTTCTGCAATGAATCATAGCATACAGATTTATTCAGAAATATTTTACATGTAAGATAATGCTTCCCTGCTACTCCAGTTCCTCATAAATGGGCAGATGCTTCCAGTTTCATATGAAGGCAGAGGATCCATAGTTAACTATATAAGCATGTGCGAAGGTGTTCTGAAGCTAGTGGAGCGGCACTGTGTACTTAAAAAGGAAAAGTTGACCAATTCAGTCTCTGCTATTGTGGAAGTGCATTGACTCCTTGGTTGGTTGGTTTTACTTATATGCTGCTTTTCCACAATGAGATGTGCCCAAAGCGGCTCACAACAAACATTCAAAGCATCAAAACAGAGAACACTGGAAATACAAATATAAAGAATACAGAGCATGTCAACAGATTCAAAATAACAAAAATCAACAATTTAGCAAACGCAGAAAAAATTCAATATATATATATAAAAAAATTTAGGCTGAAGTACATAAATACTAAAACCAAAGTTAACTGATGGAGTTTCTGGTAGTGGTCTTGTTGCACTCCAAGAAGTCTGGCTTAAAAACAGTTTATAGGGGAGGTGCATGGTGGGTGATGTCCTAATTAGGCAAACCAGCATGTTGCTAATTAAAAAGTGGATCTTCAATCCATGGTTTGAAAAATCAGAAATGGGATCTCTAAACTGAGCCAATGTCACAGCAGCAGCAACTAGAGAAACAAGACTTGGAAAGATCTAAAAGGATCTATATTGGCTCCCAGTACATTTCTGAGCTCAATTCAAAGTGTTTGGCTAACCTTGAAAGCCCTAAAAAACCACAGCCCTGTATACCTAAATTGATCCTAAATAGGTGCTATAGCTTTCTTGCATACTATTCAAGTGCCTGATAAAGTGTTTGGAATGTTTGTGAGGGATCCTGTCTCTTTTAAGAAGTTTGATTAGATGACTTTCAAATCCCCAGAATTTTGAGCAGGTAACTATCGTTCATGAATGATCAATATATATTTCAAACAGCACTGTCACAGTGTGCTAACCTTGAAGGAGGAATCTATTTGAGAGACAGTTGATTTCTTCCTAGTGGAATGCTTCGTTCTAAACATTTTACTAAGTATTCTTTGAGTCAGTAATAATGTGAATGTAGCCTATAATGTCACTGGAGAATAAAAGCAGAATGATTTATTCCAAAGTGATGCATACCATCTGTTGCAACAGGCTGATAAGAAGGTAGCCCTGCGTAATACATAGGAGCTAAAGCTGCTCATACGGCTCATAAGATGACACTCTTATCTGATATGATGCAACCCCAATGGTATGTATTTATAAAATAACTGAGGTTCAAAGAAAAGCTCAATGCACTTGCTTTTAATTACACAGACAATAACTCTAACATGTGAGTTTCAGACACTCACAATGACTATTGGTGGAAGTTACCTTTGGATGCTATCTACAGAAAGTACCTCCCGCTTCCTCAAAATACTAAAACGGGTCTTTTTGCAATATACAGTAGATTAAGGTTACCAGACATCCCCGTTCCTGGGGACAGTCCCCGGATTTACAAATCAGTCCCCATACAAAATCCACTGAAGTTGAAAAGTGTCCCCGGATTCAGTGAAAAAAAATCTGGTAACCTTACAGTAGATGTAAATGCAGGGCCAGACTAACCTTTCCACAAAATTATTCAGCTATGAGGTCCAGTGGCTAAGCATTTCCTTCAGAGTAGGGAACGTGTTAATCCTCCTCTACTGGGAAATGAAGCAGGGCCTCAAATTTTGCCCTTCCTAGTAAATTCTTGCTTGTTCTAGTGGATGTAGGGCAGTCTGCCTTTTGGGGATACACCTCTTCCTGAGAGAAGACAGGATCCTCATACTAATGGCATCCAACCAGAACAAGGACCTACTACAGTGCAGGAACCTTTCCATTTCCCAATGACTGCAAAAAATATAAAAAAGAAAAGCTAGCTATTGACTGGAACAGCTTACTTAACTCCGAAAAGGAAAGGAATAGTATCAACTGGGTGGTGCTGGGGAGAGTCCAAAGGAGTCTTCCCAAAATCCTGTTCACTGTAACTGTGTTGGGCATGCAAGACTGCCTTTTAACCACTATGAAAACAGAAACAGCAAGTTCAAAAGTGAGACCCAAAGCCAGTGGCGTAGCGTGGGGGGGGACGCACCGGGCGCAACATCGGGGGGGGGGGCGCGCGCTCGCACTCGCAGCTCTCTGCCCCTACCTGGCTCACTCACTCTCTCTCACTGCAGTGCTGGCTGTGCGAATCCGATCCGAGCCGCTGGGTCGCCGCCCACTGTGGAGGGAGTGGGTGCCAGGCGTGCGGTGCGGAGAGAGAGCGAGGGACTATCTGGGGGAGGGACAGTGCAGCGGCCGCCCAGCGCAGCGCTGAGCGCGGGAGAGAACCACACCAGACCAGCCCAGGCAGCAGCAAGAAGAAGCTGGCAGCGGCAGCAGGTTAGGGGTTAGGGGGCGCAATTTACTTGCCTTGCCCCGGGTTAGGGGGCGCAAATTACTTGCCTTGCCCCGGGTGCTGACAACCCACGCTACGCCGCTGCCCAAAGCCTCACTTAACGCTGAGGTGATTCTGTGGGATGTGGATATAAAAAGCAGAGCACGGCAGCTGCTTTGAATAATCTAGTAGTTTCTAATAAACTAGGGTTTCATAAATATACTTGAGAGCTACGAAGCACCAAGAACGAATTGAAATGGGAAACCTGTTAGATGAAGATGGAGATACTAGCACCTGCTGACATTTTCTTTCAAAATGATGGATATGATAACTTAACACAATAGGAGCAATGGATTTTCCACCACAGACAGAGGCTCCTTTGTGTTTGACATTCAATCAATTTGAAATACCAAGGAAATAATATCATTCAGTCCTTTGAAAAAGGGTGGGAAAGAGTTTGCTTTGATGCCCCTTGGTTTCCACTTCTTCAACGCAGCAACGTTTGAGACCCCATAGCACAAGTTCCAACAGCACTCAATACACGTTGGTGCTAAATGGCAAATGATGGCTGCTTTATTCCTAAGTCGCTACATGGGAAAACTGGTGCTGCAACAGGAGTGTTTCTATCTGGCAAATATAAATGCACATTAAGAAGGTGCAACTTTTGTGGACTTCCTTGGTCAATGATGTCCATGCAAAACACCCCACACAATTAAATTTGCCTTAGGTAATAATTTCTGTCTAGCCGATTACATTCTTTTTTGAAATATTATATCTTCACTGATGCACCTTTTTACCCCGTCTCTTGACACCTGGGATAAATATTTTCAGAACTCACCCTGTTTTTTGTGATTTTGTGTTTTTTGTAATTGCAAGTTTTAAAAACTATTTTTAACATAATATTTTAAATTATTGCAACCCAGGGTCTTCCTGGCCTTGAAAGAGATGGAAAGAAGGCACACTGCCTCTCACAAGGTCAGGGAGTTCTTCTTAAGGGAGTGGGAAAGAGGCAGAGAGGTACCATGCAAGTCAAAGAACTGCTCCCGGTGTCAACCCTGGAAAAATCACAAGAGCGAGGGTGACGACACCGAACCTCGTGTTCTTTGTTTGAAGAATCTGTGCCCTGCTCATCAGCCAAGAATGCTCCCAAACCAGTTTATGTATGATCAATAAAAGCAAGTCAGTTCCTGCTCAGAGAAATACAATCCACATGACAAAAAAGGGGGGAAAGAGAGAGAAAGGAAGAGAGATAATCTGAGCACCAGCTCTGAAAGTTAAACAGTAGTTCTTATAATGATCAGCAGGAATGGAAGCAGTTCAGGGAGAGAAGGAACCCGATTGGGACTGCCCTTTCAGCAGAGTCAACGGACTGGCCCTGCTCTCCCTCTGCTGCAGCCTGATTGTTCAGCTGCATAAGTAACCTGTGAAAACTGGCATCATTTTCAAAGCTGTTTTAAACTACCCATTGTCTATTTAGTCATAACCATTTCCATAACTGCTCATTTTGAAACAAGCGATGTTTATTCACAAAAATATTACTCAAAATCTATCAGGAAAAGGCACTTTACTGGAGAAAGCAAGACATTCTTTTTTAGATGGTAGAAAACTAAGTTTGCAAGGAACCATCCCTGCCTTCTTTTAGACGTTTTCTGAAAACTGAATTGTTTAGATAGTCCTCTGCAATATGAATTTCTCTTGTTAACTAACCAGCATTTATTGATGCTTTAAATGTTATTTTTATAGACGCTTTCTCTGATCGTATTACAACTTTGTATGTTGTATACTGCTTCAATATACTTTTATGAAAATCTGGATTACAAATATTTTAATAAATACCTAAACAAACAAATTACTGCAGTTTTTGGGAAAAGAGATTTATAAAGGCTTAGTGTGATATGACAGAGAGGCGGATCTGCGCTCCTTTCTTAATACAAGATATGGAAGGTCAGTACTATTAAGGAAAAAGGGAATATATTTCATATATGTATTGGCTTTATAGTGACACTTTACAAAGACCCTTGTAAAACATGTTTATGTGGTTGCATAATTCTCCTTCATTTTGATTTGGCCACTTAGTGATTCCCCAGAATCTCAGCTTTCATTTTACAAAAGCCAACAAAAACAAAATCCTTAGATTTTATAGCTGTTCAGTAACCTTCAAAACATGACTCAAGAGTAATTAAAACTGCAAACTCGGAGTCTCAGCCAACCTAAAAATAATAGCCCTAAGGAGTGTCTACCTACCAATATTTCATGTCAGAAGAGCTTTAGACAGCTCTTCTGTTTCATAGTCCAAATTATCTGACTAACGGCCACACATTCACAAACAGGACTGGATATGCTGCAAAACCATGGAGACTGGTGTGCAACTATCTCCATGGTTCTTCCCAGTAATGTGTAACACTTCCACTCATGTGGTTGTACAAGATGGGGTTCGTCAACCTGGGAAGCCCATCTAGGAGAAGATAAACTCTGATCCTAAGCCTCCTCTGTGGGCCTTCCAGCAACTCCTGCAGCCAGGCTGGTGCCAAATGTATTGCTCTGCTTTCCAGTGAGGCGGGGGGGGCGGCTTCTCATTTGGGCAGCGCAGGACCTCCATACACACTGCCCACGTTTGCACCCTGGTGTTGCTAATGCAGCAATTTGACTTTACCCCCGAAGGTGCACTCCACTGTCCTGAGACAGACGGAGGCCTACAACAATAGTTCCTACTCAATATCCTCCAATTGCTGTATTTCATTTTGTAGTACAAGGCTAGGTAGTAAAGCGATGTGGGTGAATATCAAAATCAGTAAGCGTACAGACTGTTCTGGAATTCATCTGTTTACCTTACCCGAATGAATAGTGAGCAAAATGGGTAAGACAAATAGTATTAGTTAACATTAAAGGTTAAACAAACAGTTAAAGCAGGAAGGAGGACATGTTGTCATTAAAAACGATATACCTGCTCTAGAGATCCTAGAACATTTGTGATAGAATTCCAATGGTCCTCAGGTATGCATTATATCATACATATATTCTTTTGAATAGCAAACTTTGGTAGTCGCACACATTTGAATTTGGAAATGAAACACAGCCAGCCAAATATAAGGTACACAGAAGTTTGCGAATTAAAAGAAAAAGCATGACAGTACAACAAAAAAAAAAAAAAAAAAAAAAAAAGCTCCTGAGACCAAGGGATTGATGGGGGCACAGAAATGAGAAAATTCAGACCAACTCATCTCATGGTTTGGAAACTCAACTTTTGAGTTCATGCCAAAGACAGGAAATTCTGTCTTTGCAGTTACCTAGCAGAACACCATTTCCTGTGGCAGATCATGGAGGCTCTGCATAGATATGGGACTGTAATTTGCACAACTTGCGTGGATTGTGTTAAAAAAAACCTGTTCAGTTTGGACATACCCACCCAATTCCCAAATGCTCTCTCAACCAGTATCATCTCCAAACAGGCAAAACACCCCTACCCCAAACAAACAGGTGCAAAACCCAAGCAAAATGTGCACCCTAAAAAAATTGCAGGAAAATAGACACACATGTCCCATTGTCACCCAAGTTCCAAGTTTACCAGGCAGCAACACAGTCCCTTTTCCTTTCCTTTGGTCTTCCAGGGGACGGCAGGAAGCCAGGCACAGGTGTCCAGTTGCCCCCCCTCCTTTCCTCTAGGCCCATGTCAGCCTAGAGGCATTCTGGGGAAAGGGAGAGAAGAGGGGCGGGGTGGCTGGATGCTGGCGCAGCTCAAAATGCAGGCCTGATGTACAAAGTGAGCACTATGGTTCCCAAGCTCTTTCTACCTTGCCACTCCCATCGACCTGTGAGCTTCAAACCCTTTCCTTTTCCCTTACCATTTCCTAGAGTTTCAGTCTCGGTGCTGTTTGTATCTCAGTGCCAGGCACGTGGGGTGAGGGTGGGGGAGGATCTCCCCCTCTTTCTCCCCTCCTGCTGCCACCACCAGAGCTATAGCAGCTGCAAGATAAGCAGGTGGGTGGAGGAAGGAGCTTGGGAGAATGGTAGGTGAATGGGTGCTTAACAGAAGTACACAGCCCTGTCATATTTCTAGAGTTAAATCAGATCCTGTTGAAACACCCACCCTGCCCCACATTTCCCTGGAATAAGGCAAGCCATTTCCCAGTATGCGTGGAAATTGTTTAGTCTGTTCCAAGCTGTTCCAATTTCAGAAGAATGGAGGGGGGAAGGTTGTTTCACTCATCGCTACTCTTGCAAGTAATTTATTGACTGACATTTGAAGTTGGATTTTTATGTTATAAGAAAATTCACTAGTGACATGGAAGCTAGTAATAGTGATTCTTTCATACTACAATGTACAGCTAACTAGCAAGCTACTTACTTGTGAGTATTGTCAGCAAAAAGAGGTACTCTGTGTAGGAGATCAATCCTGAAACAAAACAGTAAAATGTGAAAATTACAGAATTCAGAATCAGGATACTAATGTGGCTTGCATAATCAACCACTTTTGTAAAGATTATTCCATTCAACTCTGCGTAACAAATAAAGGAGGTAGTCGCTATTATTTATCAGTCAAGTCAGATGTTTCTGTTCCCCATTCTAGTGCTCTGGCAGTGAACTTCTTATTCTACAATCCCCCGTCATGTTGATGTCTCATTAAGAGACTTGGGTTTATTTGGCATTAATAAAAGGTCTGCACTAAATCTTTGGATTTTCGCAGAAAATATTCCGTGTTTATACGAAGGATGAATAAATTAAGTGTGCTTTGTCATATTTAGTACCTGGGAGGAGAGCTACTCTAACGTTACTCTGAAGGATCAAAGTATTTCATCCCTTGGCAGTCTTGGAAAAGCGAAGACCAGATTTTCTCTAAGTCTCCAGGGGAATATGGCAACACAAAGCTGCCAAGCTGCTAGATTGCACTGATAGGGCTGCTGGGCCCAGAGCCAAGAAGAGGCTTCACTTTAAAAAAAAGAAAAAAAAGAGAGGTCTGAACACGTCCTTTCTGCAAGGTGAAAGTGTTTCCCCCCTTCCTTTTTTAAAGGAAAATTCCACCACCTCCCTTTGAAAGGCCGACTTAAACGAACAGCCTGAACAAACACAAAGATGCGACAGTGTCAAAATAGCAACATGCCAGCTAAAGATAGAGAAGTATATAAAGAAGTATGGTTTCAACAAAAGAATCTGAAGCATCCCTCCTGTCCTGTAAGAGCACTTTGAGGATTTTTTTTTTTTAAGAGTGGCCTCATATAAGTAACTTTAAAAAAACCCAATCAGGCTACTTTTAACATGCGAGCCAAATACCATCCTGCATAATGGAAGAACCTGTTAAAAGCAGATGTTTTAGCTCCACTATCTACAGGGAAGCCATTTCTCTATTTTACATTTAGCAAATTGATAGGCAAACAGCCTTCCTTATGACTTGCGCGTAAAAAATATTCCCGCTTACTGCGCTGTGCCAGCAACTAATTGGTAACTGAATTTAGAAAGGTAGCGTTCTACGAACTTGCAGTGCGCTGTGTGGCACTGCTGTGTCTGTCTCAGTGCCAGCACCGTCCAGAAGCAGGAGGACTCAAAGTGGCTACTCATCTATGTCAGATGACGGGGAATATTAAAATGTTATGTCTGCATGGTGGAAACAACTTTTCTCTGTGTTGCTCCAATGATAACCATGTAGTGTTTCCAGATCCACCACTTCAAAAGCAGGGCTGCTAGCTACGGTCTTTCTCCAGCACTCTGGGGAACCTGGCTCATAGTTGTTGGTCTCTCAACATTACACAAGTGCTGTGGGATGAACCCGAGGAAGAGTGCCTCTCATGGTGGTCCTGCAATGTTCAAAGCGCATCTCTTACTCTATTGCTTTTGAGTTTCTTGACTTTTCCTTACAACTTTGTCATAGCTGGGCGAGGCAACTGAATACAGTCAGTTCCATTTCACAGGATTGGAATGGAAGCAAAAGGCAATAGGAATTTTGGCCATTGAACCTGTGCCTCAATTGAAATATAGCACTCCTCAGGGCCATGTTGTGGTTAGATTCTGCCTGTATCTGTAATGAATTTGAAATGGTTTTATATATGCAGTTGTTTTGATTGTTTCATATATGTTTTAATTGTTGCTGTTTTTATTGTTAAATCGCTTCAATATGTTTCAAAGGAAGAGATTCAGAAATGGAAATAATAAACAAATAAGCCCCAGAGTAACCGCTTGTAAAACCTGGGTTTAAATGCTCCAGCGAGTGGTTAAAGACAACTACCTCCCCCACATGGAGCAGGTGCGATGTTGTAAGCTTATACCAGTTTCCACATGGCTCCCAACCTTTTGAATTCATTCCTTTAAATGAAATAAATACTGTTTTACACTTCAAAGTGTGGGTTCTCTTGCTATTTACAGTTTGAAAGTACAACACTGCAATAGGCTATTTTCAGAAAAGTTGTGCAAATAATTCTTTTACTAAACCTACTTAAGGATTTGTTTGGGTTTTTTTGAAAGTCACAAGATATTTTACATTTTTTCTGTCCGTGGTTGATCTTATTATTGTCAACATACATCTGGCTGACTCGAAGCACATTTTTACTGTGGACTCAATTTCATAATAGTTCATCACAGTTTTTACTTAGCTGTTCCATAGACCTGCCAGAGAATTCTATCCAATGTTAAACGGAATTCCTTTCTGGAATGTGCTTTATTTCAAAACAGCAAACATAATTTATTTTGTTCAAAGATTACAAAGGTGCAATCATAGAAAAGAAAAGAATCATGTATCCATGTGATCAGAATTAAAAATTACAGAACTTTAACACAGTGAGATGGTGATGATGCAGCACACATGAACCAAACCTTTTAATTTGAGTGTAATTACCGTATTTTTTGCTCTATAACACGTACCCGACCATAACATGCACGTAGTTTTTAGAGGAGGAAAATCCGTAGGCATGCCACCCGTAGGCATTCCCTCCATAACACGCACAGACATTTCCCCTTACTTTCTAGGAGGAAAAAAGTGAGTGTTATGGTGCAAAAAATACGGTATTTTCTAACTTCTAACAAAGAGGGCTAAAAATTGTGACGTTTATACTTGCAATTATCAAAAATTTTAGATACACACAAAACACAAAATTAACAATAAATGATAAAATGGGGAGTTACAGACATTCCACTAGGAGGCATAATTGTCTTCAACTAAAATCCAATGAGTGTTCATGCTCTTGGTAAGGTATTGGTATGGGGTAAACTGTGGATTCCCAGCTTCTTCTAGATGCTTAGAAATAAAGAGTCCCCACTTTGAAAAATCCATAATGTTTTAAGAGTGAAGCCTCAGAATTAGAGAACAGTGAAGTGGCTTAGTGAGGAGGTGGGAGGGGGAGCCCAAATCCATTCAAAAAGTGCTGAATAAATAAACTACGCTTGTAGGTGATTCCATGCAATATCTCTACCTTTCAAATAAGCAGCTCAATAAAGTGGAATATCATCACCGTAACTGAAGATAACCAAGGATCCTACAGAAATGTTAAGCCTGTATAAAGATCACAGATTCACACAAGTCTTAAGAACATGTAAGCTGGAATTAGAAGAGCTATGGACATAAACAAATGTTCTCCCTGCTTGTGTCCATGTAGTAACAGGACATGCTGTCTTTCCCTAAAGGGGCCCTAATCCTAGCTTTCGGTTTTCCTTCAGATCAAACAACATAGGATCAAGGGCATGTGTATGTTTCATTATTTGTGTGCAAGCTGTTATGTACCTTCTTCTCAATACAGGGTACATTCCCTCTGTGCTGTTTGGGTTGGTTTGGCAGATCCCTAGACAGATGCTCTGTTGATGATATGGATCATCTCCTGCTATTAGTGGAACTGAGGATCCATCCACCCTCTCGACCACTTGCCCCCAGCCCTTTTCTGGTGGAATTTCACAACCTTCTTTGGGTGACAGCTATCCTTTGCATATAAAAGTAATGTATGCAAGCCACACTTTAGTCACTGGCCATGGGATGTCAAATCAAAGGCACCCAAGTCACTTGGAGCACATTGCCATGCAGATCTTCTCTAGTACCAGCTAGTCAATGCATGGAGCAGAGCTCAATTTAATGATACCCCAATGTAAATGTAGCCCAGGGACCCCTAACGGATCGCATGGTTTCCCATATTGTAGTACACTTCAAAAATGATTTTTAGAATTATTGCTCTCCAACATCCTGGTTTCCTTAAAAAAACATGAACCATAGACTTTCAAGTCTCACTGCTTGCTAACCAGAGTTCTTTGGGGTAATCTAATGAATTTGTAAATATGCCTCCCTTTCCTAAATTTACATTCCCAATCTTACAAACAGCTACAATACCTAAAGAAATAATTTATTTCAGCCTGCACAGATCAATAAGAATTTCCAGACCCTGAGAATTCTTCTTTAAAAATGAACAGTGTTCCCTTAGAAACAAATTCCACTAATGACTTAAGCCATTACCTTTATCTCCGAGGTCTCTAAAAAAAGTTGGCCCTGGTTTAGTCTTTGCAACATTTCCTAGAGTCGATTCTACCTCCTTTGAACAAACAAAATAAATACCAAGTTAGTCGTGAAACAGGAATCCATTAAAACAAGTAGCAGAAAGAACAAGTGTTCTCTTGAAAAACAGCAGGAGCACTTTGCTTACCTTTTTTGTCAGTTTCTTGGCTAAAGTTTTACCTGTAAAAGAAAAAAAAATCACTCAATCATCTGCAAGTCAAAACTTTGATCAAGTTCTGTGGCATTTCTTCAGATTCTTTTATGGGGAAAATGGAAGTAATATGAAACAGAACCAAACTGCCAACTTCAAAATATTCTAATTCCCACAATGCTCAGGAAAGCACCGTGTTCAGAACTAATAGGAACAGCCTGTTCAAATGTTCCTGCAATACGAACAAAAATAAAATAAAATAAAACTTTTAGGTAATTCTTATCCTTTTTATTAACTTAACTTTCTACTTTATTGCATCACCTGTTGTGCATAGAACCAGGATAACAAAAAGCAGTCATCATGGGGCAACAAAAGACTTATCATCGCAGGTTACAGTAAAAGACCATCACTGCAAACAGTGGTTGCCTTTGGGGGCAGCAGGACCAAATGGCAATGATATGGCAAGCCATGGCCCCTCATGCTTTGTTTTTATACCCTCCCCTTCCTTAGGCATGATGGGGCGCTCCTCTCTCCTCCTTCACTGCTGCAGTAGTGCCAATGCAATGAGTGAGAACTAGGTAAATAATGTGAGATGGAGGCTTAAATACTGACTTATGCTTGGTTTGTCTTTCATGAATGGGAAGTTGGAAAGCCCCTCTGCCTTCTGCAACCTAGTGCCTTCCAGATGTGCTGCACCACATCTCCTAGCCTCCATGACCTTTGGCCATGGAGATACATTTGGAAGTCTTCTTCTTCTTTCTTCTTTGGCAACCACTTATAGCCAAGTAAGATTGTCTTACATGAACATGGTCTTAATAGTGAATCCGTAAGTGACTGAGGAGGCCAATTCTGTATCTGCGCATCCTTTCACAAGTGGGGACATAAGTTTCTGGGTGGGAGTTGATCACAAAATGTGCCTTCCTCTTAGCACATTTCTCCCTTTTGTCCTGAGTTCAAGTGTCTTCAAAGTCCATGACACTTTTGGTAAAGGCTGTTCTCTAATTGGAGCACTCGCAGGCCAGTGTTTCCCAGTTGTCAGTGTTTCTACCACATTTTTTAAGATTTGCCTTGAGTGAGTCCTTGAACCTCTTTTGTTGTCTACCGGTATTTCACTTTCCATTCTTAAGTTGGGAACAGAGTAGTTGCTCTAGAAGATGATAATCAGGCATCCGAACAACACGATGTTGATGAGATTAGTGAGGGTTGCAGAGTTATATTCCCTGCCCACTCCCAAACTCAACTCTTAATGGCATAAGGGGAGGGGGTAAGTTTCTGGAACATGGTTCTATATACCAGAACAGACCTCAAACTTAGCACACCCTCCCCCACAACAAATATTTTTATTTTTATTTATTACATTTGTATACCTCCCTATACCTGCAGATCTCAGGGCAGTACACAACATAAAATTACAATATAAAAAACCCAAAATGCATAAGAAAAACAAGAACAGAAACAAACCAATAACCCCCCCAGCACATTTAAAAGGGCATGAGATATCAATCAGCCAGAGGCCTGGTTAAAGAGGTCTGTTCTTATGTTCTGGATCTCTCGTGGAGGAGGTACACAAAGAAGCACCTAAGATGATGGTCGCAGGGTCCAGGTCGGTTCATATGGAGAGAAACACTCCCTGAGATATAGCAGTCCTGAGCCGTTTAATGCCTTATAGCTCAAAAACAGCACTTTGAATCAAGCACTTATTCACATAGAGAAGAAAAAGGTGCGCACAGATACAGCAAGGGGAGGAGGCAAAGCCAGCTCCCCTGTCACCACAGCCGTGAAGATACCTCAGTCCTATATGCACAGCCCTAACTTGGGTTGTGTATCTTGTTCACAACAGAGCAGGGGTGGGCAAGCCCTGGCTCATGGGCCAAATGCCACTTGCTCTCCTCCAATGCTTTTGCCTGGCTGGAACCTGTTGTTGAACAGTGACAAAGGCTCTTTCTTGCCAGGATTACAGAACTGCAGAGCTGGAAGGGACCCAGAGGATCATCTAGCCGAAGTGCAGTGCAGGAATATGCAGCTGCCCCATATGGGGATCGAACCTGTGCCCTTGGTGTGGTCAGCACCACGCTCTAACCAACTGAGCTATCTAGCGATGTGGGAGATTTGTAAAACCTTCTGGCTCGTGTGTGGCAGGAATGTTGCATCTGCTGCTCTGTTCACTTTTGCAGACGGTCCTGCCCACCCCTGCCATGAAGGTCCTGGAAGGTTGCTTGTGAGGGAATATGCCCCACCCTTGCACTAGAAGTATGATGCAGTGTTGGGAGAGTTGGGCAGAATGTGATCTTAACCAGGCTGCTATCAATATTCACAAGACTGTCGAGAATAATGCAGCCCAACGTGAAGCCCTCTGTTCTGATTCAACATGCCTTCTGGATACACTTACATTAGAACACCCATGAGCGCATTTACAACTCAGCTGGGCTTCAACCCTTCAGTTGCTTTAATGGTGTCCAGGGTCCTGTAAGTGCAGGAACAACACAGGAGGGGAGCAACTTGACTCTGAACACTGGAATGATTTCAGGGAAAGGGTACTAGACAATAAGAGGCAGAATCAGTTACACAAAAGATTATGGGTGCTAGAAAAACCCAGTAAAACAGCTTGATATGTGAGATTTATGGACATGTGACAGAGGAGAAAAAAGTAAGTCTTGAAGCAAGAGATTTCAGCAGCGAGTTATAAATATTACTACTACAAAGCAGTGCCACTGATTCAGTGAGACTGCTGTAGAATAAATGCATTTTAAAACTTCAGCCTGTTTAACAAGGCATTTTTTCAGGTGGGGAGAAAGGAGGGGGAAAAAGTTCTTCCACTGTGTCTTTTCCACAGTATTCCTAGTTCCTGAATGCAAAGGGTATGTGAAAGCTATCTGGCGTGACACTTTATTGCAGCATTCCATTACACAGTAGAAGTACTGGGAATCAATTTATAATCTTGGAATGCATCTGGGGGTTGACACCAAGTAGGTTCGGCGAAAGACTCAACTTTTCTACAATTTTATCATCTTCACTCTGAGTACGTTTACTCATGCAAACCGAAGGCCAAGTTTCATCATCTTATTTACTGCAATAAAATGTAACCTTCAACGCTCTAAAATACAATGTTTCTTTCCCCCCCTCTTTTAATTGTTATGTGCATGAAGGAATGGAAACTACTTCAAGCCTCAGATCTTCCAAGCCTGCGATGGAATTTTGGCTCAGGAAATAAAACTGAATGTTTTTCAAAACATCCCCACCTTTCTTGGAGATTCCATTATATGGTTTTTAAACAGAAGAACGATGAAGCACCAACCAGGTACAGGTACATTTTGTTACGGGCAAAGGGCCATTTCCGGCCTTAAACGTAAAGGTACACATACAAGCAAAAATGATTTTCCACAGGTCAAGAGAGTAAGTGTTAGCCGACAATTGCACCCACGTCAAGAGTAAAAATTTCAGCTTTATACTGCTGTAGGTAGGTGTGGTCTTTTGCCATATAAATTTTAACAATGGGCTTTTCTGCCATCTATCATCTCCCTGCACTAATGTTCCAAATTAAACTTGACATCAGTGCTGAATTAGTAGTATTATAATTGCGATGGATTAAACTAGTGTACTTTTGCGTAGAGCTTACACACATTATTTCCATGCAGCTAAAAAGAGCTTACAAGTGACAAAGGATGCTTAGAAGAAGAAAAACCTTTTGTACAATGGGAATCCTCATCCAACTATTAGTGATGAAGTTAGAATGCCAAATGAGAAGAGGAAGGTGTTAATTCTTTCCCTGAATTTTTCTGTAACTTAAAGTTTTCTTTACCTATTATTTAAGTAGGGCAACACCAGGCAAATTAGAACTATAAATCCCACTTGCATGCATTTTCCACTTGTATTCTCCAGTGGCTGGAAGCAGCTCCACAGTATTTTAAGAAGGGATCCTTTACCATATAGGAATTGAGCTTGGGACCTTTTGCATACACAGCACGTGGTGTGGAAGACGTGTCGCTTTATTTCCCTCTCTCCCCCACATGCGCCTCAAAGTAGTTTTACTTTTATCCTGCCATTTCTTCTGCTTTTCTCCTTTCACAATTTGTACCCAGCCCCACCCCCCAAAACCAGCCAGGCGCTTTTCATCCTCTTCTTCCTCTTGTAACAGGTTTTCCTCTTTGCAGCCTCCTCCTCCACATTCCCAGTCTTTATCATTATCACCACCACCACCACCAAATACAGTGGTACCTTGGTTCTCAAACACCTTGGTACTCAAACAACTTGGAACCCAAACACTGCAAACCCAGTGTTCCAGTTTGCGAACTTTCTTCACAATGTGCTTCGTTTTGAGGGTTACGCTTCCAATTTGAGTGCCACACTTCCGTTTTGAGTGTTATGCTGAGGTCTGTCTATTTATTTTGCGCTTTTGTTTTTGCGGCTCTCTCTCTTTGTTTTTGTGACTGTGTGGAACCCAGTTCAGTTACTGATCGCTTGATTGTGTGACAGCAGTACAGTGGAACCTCGGGTTACAGACGCTTCAGGTTACAGACTCCGCTAACCCAGAAATAGTACCTTGGGTTAAGAACTTTCTTCAGGATGAGAACAGAAATCGTGCGGCGGCAGCAGGAGGCCCCATTAGCTAAAGTGGTACCTCAGGTTAAGAATAGTTTCAGGTTAAGAACGGACCTCTAGAATGAATTAGTATAGCATCTAGATCAAGGGAAGTAATAGTGCCACTGTATTCTGCTCTGGTCAGACCTCACCTGGAGTACTGTGTCCAGTTCTGGGCACCACAGTTCAAGAAGGACACTGACAAACTGGAACGTGTCCAGAGGAGGGCAACCAAAATGGTCAAAGGCCTGGAAACGATGCCTTATGAGGAACGGCTAAGGGAGCTGGGCATGTTTAGCCTGGAGAAGAGGAGGTTAAGGGGTGATATGATAGCCATGTTCAAATATATAAAAGGATGTCACATGGAGGAGGGAGAAAGGTTGTTTTCTGCTGCTCCAGAGAAGCGGACACGGAGCAATGGATCCAAACTACAAGAAAGAAGATTCCACCTAAACATTAGGAAGAACTTCCTGACAGTAAGAGCTGTTCAACAGTGGAATTTGCTGCCAAGGAGTGTGGTGGAGTCTCCTTCTTTGGAGGTCTTTAAGCAGAGGCTTGACAACCATATGTCAGGAGTGCTCTGATGGTGTTTCCTGCTTGGCAGGGGGTTGGACTCGATGGCCCTTGTGGTCTCTTCCAACTCTATGATTCTATGATTCTATGAATTAAGTCCTTAACCCAAGGTACCACTGTACATGGTTTATTGCTTTCATTTTATGGATCAATGGTCTTGTTAGATAGTAAAATTCATATTAAATTGCTGTTTTAAGGGTTGTTTTTAAAGTCTGGAACGGATTAATCCATTTTGCATTACTTTCTATGGGAAAGCACACCTTGGTTTTGGAATGCTTTGGTTTTGGAATGAACTTCCGGAACGGATTAAGTTTGAGAACCAAGGTACCACTGTAGTAACCTTTTCACAGAATCCTAGGATCTTCTTCCAGTTTCCTTCAATGCCGTCTCTGGCCCTTTCCCCTCAGAGGAGATAGGAGAGGCTTCTTGACTTGGGACGATACAAGGTAGGAAAGAGGACTGGGTTGTTGGGTTGTGAGTATGTATGTGAAGTGGTGGGGCCAGACAGTGCAGCAGTAGCTGCAGGGGCTTGTCTTTCCCTCTTCATCAGCCCATCCATCCTTTATACTTCCTTCCCCCCCCAAAGATTTTTATTAAAGTTTTCACAATGCAATAAAACAATATCTAAAACAAATGGAATCAAAAATACAAGAAAGAGAGATGAGAGAGGGGGAAAAAACAAGAAAAGAGAAAAAGAAAAAGAGAAGAAGGAGTAGACGAAAGGAACAGAGAGATAGGAAACTTTAAAATAGTAGCAATAATAATAGCAACAACACAAAATTATATGTATGTAGCCCTGTGTCATAACTATACCCAGTGCTTTTTTTCTGGGGGTGCGCTACCCCCAAACATTTTGTGAATCTTTGTACTTTTGTCCATTTACTATACTTATTTTTCCCAATTTGAATGAGAGTACCCCTAAACATTTTTTTAGCAAAAAAGCACTGGCTATACTTTAATCTTCAATCCACATACAAAGAAGTGAGTCTTCCCAATTCTCACCTGGGAGAGCTTCCCGCTTCCTCAGCCTCATCCTTTATACCTTGTGTTCTTTCTCACCCTTCCCTCGCACTTGGTTGGTCACTGTCAGTTTCATCTCTTTCCTGTTGTCCCCACAACATGGCATGGTTCAGCCTCGCCCCTGCATTTCTCTCTAGTTAATTCCCTCTCCAATGTGTACCCATGTTCTGAGCCCGCTGGGAGCTGCTGTAATCGGTTCAATCAATAGGCTGTATCACGGCCATGCAATGGGGTACAGTGCCGAGGGCTGCCCAAAAGAGGGCTGAGGCCTACTGGCAATCTCCAGTCCCCATGCTGGAAATACCCTGGGCTAAGTGATTCTGCAAAGAGATTTCCTGCTTTGAAAAAACTGAAGCCTCACAATAAGAATAACAACTCACAAATTAACAGTCATTTAACAGCAAAGTCGAAACAAACAAACAAAAACCCTCCAGAAACTTACGTCCGGATTTGTCAAACATCACTGAAAACAGGAAGTCCCTTGGAGTCATGTAATATTCGCCTTCGTATTCCAAGGAAGCAAACTGCATAAAACGATGCTTTCGGATGGACAGCTTTTCCGCCATCTCTTCATCGACATTATCCTCCTTCTGAAATAGAGGGAGAAAGTAGCAGTTAAACTTGCAGACTGTCACAGTCAGCAGCCATGAGTTAACGAACGAAGTTTAAAGTTCTTTTGTCAAGCAGCCTTCCTCCCCATTTTGCAGCAGCAACTCATTTTTGAAACTGAGGGGACTTTCCACAGCAGTTTGCAAAACTGTGTGTGGACCCAGTTCAAATCCCAAATCCAACTGAGGGCCTGAGTTTTCCTGCCCCAGTTTTAAGATATGTGAAGTTAAAAACCCGTAATATACAATCATCCGTCAGGGCTGAGGGCCAAGAACTATACACCACATTACATTTGCATCTCTAACACAAAAGACCAGAGTTGTTAATATGCAAAATGCTTTTATCCTCTTGGGTGTATTTGAAAATATGGTATAAATATTCTGTTGCAGGAAGTCATTTGCCTCAGTTTGTGAATATCAATCATCTAGCCCATGGGTCGGCAAACTAAGGCCTGCGGGCTGGATCAGGCCCAACTGCCTTCTGGATTTGGCCTGTGGACGGTCCGGGAATCATTGCGTGGATCGCCAGAATGCGCGTTCTTTCCCTCTCCCTGTCTCTCCCTCACACGGCGCTGGCGCCTCCTCCTGGCTTCTCCCCACCCTGCCTAGAAGAGGAAGGGGGCTGGGCTTTGTTGGTGCCAGCAGCAGCAGCACTCGAGCGGCCGCCATTTTAAGCAGCTCCTCTCCAGAGCCCTTTTGCGCGCCACTCATCATCGCTCCACCGCCGCCAACAGCCCCTGCTGCTCGCAGGACACAGGTAAGCATGCACCGGGACTCGTGGTGCTCTTGCATCATCCCCCCCCCCAAAATATAGTCTGGCCCCCCACAAGGTCTGAGGGACAATGGAGTAGCCCCCTGCTGAAAAAAAATGCTGATCCCTGATCTAGCCATATATTTGGGACTTGTGATTATGAATTTTGCTTCCTAAACAGGATTTTATGAATGTTGCTTTAATTATCAGGTAAAAAACCAATACTTGAAAGTTATTAAACTTCAGAATTCATATCATATTGCAATACAGGAATCTCAACTAAATTATCCACAACAGATGACCATCCAACCTCTGCTTAATAACCTCCAGTGAAGGACAGTCCACAACCTTTTGAGTCCCTTCTACTGTCGAACAGCTCTTACTATCAGAAAGGTCTTCCTGGTGTTTTGATCTAGTCTCCAATAGATTACCTTCTCCCCATTTTTCCTTGTCTAAAGTTAGAAACTGAAAATGACAATGGGGTGGCAAAGTCCTTCGTCTTTGTCTTGTCCTCACCCTTCCCATGTTACTTTTTGTGTGTGCCACCCTCCCTCTCTCAACTCTGTCCTAAAACAAAGGTAAAATACGAAAACCTCTCTCAAATTCAACTTCAATCTCCCCAATGGCTACAAGTTCCATTCTTCTATGCCACTTACAATGGCCAAACAATTGGTACCTGGAAGTCATGCCACACAGCAGCATGAAAATAAATCAACAGTTTAGTTGATTCTTGTGTGACATTTACAAATTTTGCAGAGGTGGAAGTTTAGTGCAACCTGCATAAGCATCTTATGCCAAGCTTTTTAAAACCAAATCTATTTTTTTGCACATATCGCTTAAGAACAGATGGGTTTTTTTAAAATGAAAAATCCCAATTATTCCCTAGCAAAGCAATGCTTCCAAGAAAATATACTTCCAGTGAAGTGTGCATAAGATTGCAGTCCAAGCCACTTTCTGCTTTCTGCTCAGAAACTGAAGCAGTAATAATAATAATAATAATAATAACTGCCCTCAACACCAAGGAGCTGCTTGCAGCCTGAAGAGCTTTGAAATCTTCTGGCTAGTGGTTATGGATATTGAGACACCAAAACCCATGAAGAGTTATCGCATTTCACTTTGTCTCAAGGCATTTATAGCCAACATTAATGACACTGTTTTGGACTGTTTAAAGTAGAATTCTTGTAAACGGCTGCTTGTCTTTGATGAGGAATGTGATAATAAAAAGCTGAGGAAAAAATGGAAAGAACTTCGTTTTTTCCACTGCTTCTGGAGATATCTTCTATCCTTTCATATTTTTCTCAAAGTGATAAACTGTTACTGATCTTTCAGAAGTTTTAGTAAGATGCTTAAGTGCTTATTTAAGGTAGAAGTGGAATGAAATCTTAGAACTTAGAACAGGACTAAAGTGCTCCAAATGTTCCCATTTTATGTTAGACATCTTACACCTTTTTAATAAGCCAATTTGTTATAACAACTATAAAATCTAGGACAATGCACCTGTTCAGGGGTGGAAAAAATTATTTGTAACTGCACAAACCCATTTGGGCAAAAAAACAAAAACAAAAGAAGCTGGTGTACATGTGTGCCTGGGAATGCTGATTAGGTGAGTGTGCTGTGGGAGTGTGATTAAAGAAGTGGAATTATTCAGATTTATACAGCATATTTGTATCAGTTTTTGCCCGTCATAAAAATTGCTTTCATTATAAAGCAGCAAAATAAAATAAAAGTCAGATTTTTATTTTAAAAAATCTTTCATCTTGAATTATCTCCAAGATAAATAGGATTCACATTTTTCCCTTCCAAAACACACATGCTCTTTTATCTACTGCAATTGTTGTATAATTCTATTCAACTGGAAGTGCCAGATTTTAAAAGTTCAATTCTATTTTCATATTTACTATATCTTATCCTAACCACTATGCAGCACTTGAATGCAGATCAGAAGTATTCTGAAATGTGTCAGCAGTCCATCCACAAGAATATCTCACTTGTGGTAATTATTACAAACAAAATAGTATCACATCATTTTTCTTTATTGTTTATCACAGCTTTAAACAAGACATTTGTTAATGTCTGAGATGGACCAAGTTGTAAGAAAACAGAAGGAACCATAAAAGCCTAATTAGTTTGCTACTTTACTGAAGACTTGAATAAGAATTGTGAAGGGAGGAAATTAATTATGGAAAAACCAAATTGAAATAAAACCCTTAAAAGCATTGCCTCAGACTACTAAGAAATCCAGTGGATTCCTTGCCTCTTCTTGCTTTTAGAGCAACAAGAGGCCAGTCTTCTTTATCCCTAGCCAAATATAGATCACACACTGAAAAGAATTCAACAATTTATGTCCAGCATATGGTCAGCCAATGTAGAGGTTTTTCTCAGCAGCCTGTTGCCTTCTAAAATAAATTACCCATACTGGCTTTTATTCAGTGTATCCACAGCAACGTAATATTCAATGCCACAGCAATACAGCATACTCTGAACTACTCAAGCTAACCTCCTACTCTGAATGCCACATCAATGGCAGTGCTTCAAGTGTCAATGCTATAAGGCAAGTGCAATGGCAAATAGAGGAAAGCTAAAAAACAGAGTTGATATTGCATACTAATTCATAAAAGCTCCTTCCATTCACTATAAAAAACAGAGTTATTTCAAGGACTGGTACCAAAAAGGGTCCTTTAAAGAATACTTCTATAAGGATAATTAAGACTGAACATCAACCAATTTTAATAACAATATACTAGAAAAAAAACCCATTACACTACAGTGAAATGTGTTCAGTTAATGTTAAGGGTAGAATTTCAGCTAATGACTTTGGTTGTTTTATTGTGTCTACATACAGCAAGGGCGTTCCCACCTATCAGATGTTCCACAATAGCAAGGCACCAACTGAATTAATGAAGGATGGGGTTTCAACCTTAACTCTGGATGTAACTGCTTTTGTGGTTTTATGTTAGACATCCAGTGTTAACTGGGAATGTTAATGGCAGATCTCTAATAGTTAATGGTGTATTAGGCTTGAATCACTTCAAAGAAGTCTCAAGTGACGCACGTGTCTTCCCCTTCCATTGACGTGGCAAGTGATCAGCTGCAAGGAAGCAATTTATGTCTGAGCATTTTTTGAACACACACATACTCTGGGGCTGGCACAGTAACATGCTGCAAGGCAGCCCTTTTCTCTGTAAGTGTATTTTTTAATTTGAGCTATAAATCTGCTTAGGTTAATTGATTTTATTTGAAGGGGGGAGAGACAATGGCTTTCCTCATTTTGGTCTGCGTAGGAAACCTGGCCTGAGGCGGCTATAACAGCACATACACAATGTGCTTCCCCCCACAACAATCCTCTGTGAAGCCTATAAAATGTATCTCAGAGGAGAACAATGGATCTTAATCATAGGCCATTTAGTTCTAGCAAAGGAACAGAATAAAAAGGCTTTACACATTTGTTTCTTCAAATCTTAACACGTACCATAAATAATGTGTTAAGCACCTTGTTAGTTATTAATAACGTGATGTTCACAAGAAGCTGTGGAAAATAAGTTTCACGCATTTGGATCCATTTTGTAATCCATGTTAAATGCCTGGTGTCTGCTCATTTAATTTTCTCTCTAGCATTTTCTTGCTTTTTGCAGTGCTATTTCCTTGTCCATATTTTTACAATTTCCTTCCTTCCCTAGCTACACAGTACTTCCAAACCCATTACCCTTGGTTGCTGCTTGGGCAAAATGGCTTCACAGACAGGTTGGAAATTCTGTAGGTACCTACTGCATCCTTTTCTGAAACCTTCCAATCTCACTAGGGCAACCCACATCTTAAGTCATCTTTAATCTTGACTACAGTACTGCACTCTGCCTGGAGCTCCACTTGAATACCATTCTAAAACCTCAATTGGTTCAGAATGCTGCAGCCAAGTTTCTTATAGGGGCAGCATATAGAATTCACACTAACCCCATGGACGCTCTTCCTTGTCTTTCATACGACATGGAGGAAAAGTCACATTTCTCTCTTCACCTCTACCTTTGTATATCAGGAGACAAACATAATCCTTCCATGCTTTGCATATCAGGTAAGATTGCACTTATTGGTCTCTAACTTGACGCACAGTAACAATGGACCACTGCAAACATTATACAATTCGTACACGGAAGCAATTCAGCATAGAAAGTAGCATGTAAACCATGTGTCCATGCAGCAACATGCACATTAGCAAAATAAAGTGGCTGCAAACCAATTCTTGCACATTCTTTTGCAATGTAAAGTTTAAAGCATCACCAAGTGCAACAAGGATCCCTTCACTGTTGATACAAGATATTAAAGGTCATGGTAACCACCAAGAATAGGGAGACAATGCTTGCTGTAGACGGAAGTTTGCAGTTACAATTGTATTTCAATCTTCCAACTGTACCCTGGAAGCTATTGCATTATGAATGAATATGTATGCCACTAGTATTACATGCTGGCTGCTAAAAAGCTTTACATAGTTCATCTTTTTGTTATTCTTTTTTAATCCAGCAAGCTCCAGCTTGGCTTAGATTTTTCCTGAAATATAAACTGAAGGGGTGGGGAGCAAAAGACAACTAAAGAGAACACAAAGGCAGGGAAGGTCCACAAGTTATAACAAGCCAGGAACCAACTTGTTTAACAAGCCATACATTTACACTCCAGCCTGCAAGTTATCACATTGAACTACTTCAGAATGACACTACAATAATCATTCTTTTCACACACTGATTTAAGAAGATATACACATGCAGAAGTGTGGTGTTGGTGGTTTTTCTTTCCTCGTGATAGGAATAAACCAGATTTTCCAGGGAGCTAGCTTGGAGAGGGGAGGGATCCTATTCTCACTGGCATATTCTGCTCTTCCCCCCTCTTCTCAGCCTCCAGGCAATGCTAAGTGGGAAAGGGACAGGTCTCAAGTCTACCTTGGAAGTCATAGCCTCAAACTGTAATGCCCTGTGGCACATTTAAGGACAAGTATTTATGGCACAGGGACGCGGGTGGCGCTGTGTGTTAAACCACAGAGCCTAGGGCTTTCTGATCAGAAGGTTGGCGGTTCGAATCCCCGCAACGGGGTGAGCTCCCGTTGCTTGGTCCCTGCTCCTGCCAACCTAACAGTTTGAAGGCACAAAGTGCAAGTAGATAAATAGGTACCACTCTGGCGGGAAGGTAAACGGCGTTTCCGTGCGCTGCTCTGGTTCGCCAGAAGCGGCTTAGTCATGCTGGCCACATGACCCAGAAGCTGTACGCCGGCTCCCTTGGCCAATAAAGCGAGATGAGTGCCGCAACCCCAGAGTCGGTCACGACTAGACCTAATGGTCAGGGGTCCCTTTACCTATTTATGGTACAAGCTTCTGCAAACTTGACCACACTTAATCAAGTGCCTTGTGAAATTATATATGGAAGTATGATTTATAAATATCTAAAAGAAAAATAAGATAAATGAAAACATCATCAATTGGCAACTACATATACAAATAAGGAAACAAGAAGGAATTCATGTGAACACACTTTTTATAAACACAAGTCTCACTGGGCTATTTGGATGGCATCTATCAAGCTATATGAGTAAACTAAGGTGGATGCATTCATTGACTGCTATTGTTTTGTTAATGTGAGCTGGTTGGGTCCCCCTCTCTCCTTCCTTCCTTTCTTCCTTCCTTCCTTTCATAAATCTGCAATAAAAAATAATCCTATCCTCCATGAATTTGTGTAGCCATGTTTTAAAGCCTTCCAAGTTGGTGGTCATCACTGCCTCCATAACTTAAGTATGAACTGTAAAAAGAAGTACTTTCCTCCTGAATCTTCCAACAGTCAGCTTCATTATTCAAGAGCTATCTACTACAATTTGTTTCTACTCCCATAACAATCTGCATTTCTATTCAGAGTAGACCCACTGAAATGAACAGAGTTGTTTGTCCTGATTATCAAAGTCCATTGAGTTTTAAAATTCCACTCTGACTGTAAAATTGGATTGCAACACATGAAGTTTGTAACAGTCGTGGCACGTGGGGCAGGGTGTATGTGTGTTTGTGTGTCAAACTGGCAGACACAGAAGCGGAAGTACTTTCTTTTCCTATTTTTTAAAATTATTTTCTTATTTCTTTCCTTTCCCTCTTTCTTACTCTTTTTCTTCTCTTTTTTCCTTTGGTAAGATACCGTATTTTTCGCCCTATAGGACGCACTTTTCCCCCTCCAAAAATGAAGGGGAAATGTGTATGCGTCCTATGGGGCGAATGCAGGCTTTCGCTGAAGCCTAGAGAGCGAGAGGGGTCGGTGCACCAACCCCTCTCGCTCTCCAGGCTTCAGGAAGCTCTGCGTAACCCTCAGGAGACCGGCTCCGATGGCTGCGCAGAGCTGCCTGCAGTCCCAGGCTCAGCGCAGCTATGTGCGGCCATCGGGAGCCGGGCGCGAAGTCCCGCCTGGCTCCCGATGGCTGCGCAGAGGTGCCTGCAGCCCCGGGCTCAGCGCAGCTATGTGCGGCCATCGGGAGCCGGGCGCGAAGTCCCGCCTGGCTCCCGATGGCTGCGCAGAGGTGCCTGCAGTCCCGGGCTCAGCGCACCTCTCCCCATCGCCAGCCCCACAAGCTCGGGGGACAGCGGGGAGGCGGAGCGCACCTTCCCGCTTTTCCCCGACCTGGTTCTTCCAGCCCCGCACCTGGGGAGGGGAATAAAATTTTTTTTCTTTATTTCCCCCCCAAAAAACTAGGTGCGTCCTATGGGCCGGTGCGTCCTATGGGGCGCAAAATACGGTTTTTAAATTAATGTTTTAGTTTAGGGGAAAAAGGTATTTGATATTATGTTTTGTATTTTTCTTTATATTCTTTATTCTTTTATAAAAGGGAATGTCATGTCCCTCTCCTTGTCCCATTTTAATGAAACTGTTAAGTTAAAAAAAGTGGGGAGAGATGAAGCATCACAGAACAAATGACCCTTTAATATAAGAGAGTATGAAGCAGTACATGTTAACAGAAAACTTTTTACACCTACTTTTGGTACCGCTAACAGAAGGGTTAAATCTTGACCCATCATAATGGACTGTTCAGAGAAAGAATGTGCAGGTTTCCCTTTTCTAGGCCTCCAGTCCTACCACTGAAGTTGCTCTTATCAGAAGCTCCTGTATTCTTGGAAGCAGACTGATAGTAAGTACTCCATTAAACTTCCTTGGGAGGTCCAGAATTCAAAGCAAAGCAATCCTTTTCACCTCCTGCTAAAGGTTTTCAACACTATTTCCATCTCGGCATTTTTTTTTTTCAAAAATAGTTTCTGTATAAAAATGTTTATTTGAAGAAGGATAAAGCTATGCGTGAAACAGGTTGAGTCAAGTTACACGTAAATTGGTGCCATCTCCTTTTGCTCAATAAATGTATCCAAACATCCCAAGACTTCAGGTACTCCTACATTTTTCCAAAGCTGTCAAAGTATTTATTTATAAATGGGGGTAGTATATTTAGCCATAAAGAAACTTTTGCTTTATTTTTTGCCAGAGAAGTTTTTACCAAGAAAAAAAAGTTGGATAAGGCTCTTTTCAGTTTCATGTAATGTGGAAGACCAGTGCAATATGTGGCTGTTTTTAAAGGAAACATCCAATTTTTTAAATGAAGGAACTACAGACCTACTATTTGTACCGAAAGTGCAGCACTGATTCCACTTTGATAGTTAAATTACCAGTTGTTGTTGCAATGGTGTACAAAGTAGCTTGCACTGATTCAGGCACGAAAACAACCTGTCTGTACTACTGTCCTGTTGCATCAGGTTGATACTGAGTATTCTTTAGAGAGTTCCAATGTGCAAGAGACATGCCTATTAGACAGCAGTGTGTACACCTCTTCCTCTTCCCCAAGCTACTAATGTATCTATAATGTCCCTGCCAGTGTACTCTCCTCCCCCTCATCCTTTGAGGACATTGCACCAATGTGCTTGCACCGTTGTTAGCTGCATGAGGGAAGTCGGGCCTGCACTGGCTCCTTCATCATATCCTAGGCATGTATGAACGAGACCATAGTGTCTAAAAAGGCATTTAAGTCTACCCTGGGCATTTAATAGTGCTTCACAGTCGTTGCTGCCTTAGGTTCACACAGCACTGTCTGGAATGCCCTACACTGACACAACATAGTGGTGAATGAGTACACAAATAATGAATGGCGTGATGCTTTGATTAGGCAATGCTGAAGTTAGTCCATGAAAACCAATGTGTTTGGCTGTTTTATGTAATACCTATGGTGAGACCCTCTGGGGTAGATTTGGGGGCATGAGGGAGCTGCAAAAGAGGGGAGAAGAGGAAGGGGGAAGTCCTGCATGAGCAGAACTCCATGCCTCTCAAACACATTACAAGTTGGGTTCAACCCTATGCTTACAGTTACAGAAGACATTTAGACAGGTGCACAAAGTGTCGTTGCGAGGAGCTCCCATTTCTCCCATTTTCTGCACGCATTTGGCAAATAATGAAATAAGAAGTAGCAACAAGTGCAGCCTTTTTAAGGATTACTAAAGAAATAGGGATTGCCATGAAATTAAAAAGGAAAAGGCAGCAGTAATCCAAGTATGATTTGAAAAAGCTTTCAACCACTTTGCTCAACAGAGCAGCACCTGTTGGAAATAAAACAAAACCTCAAAATGTTCAAACAGTCCCTCTCTTTCGTCATTAATTCCTATAAAGGTGTCAGGTGTCTCAAAATTTAGAGTTCCTGCATCAATCTTTGTCAGGTTTCTGGAAAACCTTCGTGTCTTGAAAGAAAAAAACACATGTTACTCCTCTCCAAAAGTGTTTGATATTGACTTTGTTTTTCTGATGAGTAACAGAAAGAATGAGTTTCTAAGCATATTTAAAATGCAGGCAGATCTTTCTTTAAGGTGGGAATTTTCTTTTGTGAATTTCAGGCTGCATTCAGAGCAAAAGCATATATTTCCAGTTATGATTGTGAATTAAAAGAAGTAACTGTGGGAGGCAGTGTAAGACAGGAGGGCCTGGCTTGCTCTGGTCCATGGGGTCACAAAGAGTCAGACACGACTAAATGACTAAACAACAACAACAAACTTGAAGTATGATGAAATAAAAGTTTCTTCTTGTGAGATACTGCTGAAATAGTTATTGTGCATATGAACCAAGTTTCCAACTAGTTTGATTTGGCATTCTATCAGCCTCATGAAAATGGCAGCAGCTAGAGAGCTTGCCAGAGGTGGGTGCTCGTCATCTGAGGAACCACACACAACAAAGGGGTAAACTACCTTGAACTTCTCAGATCGGAAGAAGAATATAGTCCTAAGTAGGAAGGCAAACAGCAATCATAAAATTATATTGAGTTAGTACACCTCCAAAAGGAAAATTACAAGTTCTTGGTATTGAGGGACTGTCTCCCTGCTGGTGAGATACTATGAACTTAAAAGGGAACAAATGTGTTTTGCATTACTGCTGCATTACAGGCTGCAATACTACATATACTTATCAGGGGTTAAGTTCCACTAAGCAGGGTGGGACTTTTGAGCAGCAGCAACTGGTAGGGCAGGATACTTACCTGACCTTTTGTTGCTGGCATCACTGTGGTATCCTGGGAGGAAGAGAGAGAGAGAGCGAGAGAGAGAGAGAGAGAGAAGGCTGGCATGGTGCAAACACATTGGTAGGACTGGGTTGGCTCCACCAGCACATCTGCACCATGCTGACCTCACCATTACCATACTCCTCCCAGCATGCTACAGCATACTTAAAAGTGGAAAGTGTAATGCTGGTGGTCAGCAAAAGAGGTTTAATGACTCTCTCAAGGCAAATCTTTAAAAAATGTAGTAGAAACATTGACAACTGGGAAACACTGGCCTGCGAGCGCTCCAACTGGAGAACAGCCTTTACCAAAGGTGCCATGGACTTTGAAGATGCTTGAACTCAAGACAAAAGGGAGAAACGTACTAAGAGGAAGGCGCGTTTGGCAAACCCTCACCGTGATCAGCTCCCGCCCAGAAACCTATGTCCCTGCTGTGGAAGGATGTGTGGATCCAGAATTGGCCTCCACAGTCACTTACGGACTCACTGTTAAGACCATGTTCATGGAAGACAATATTACTCGGATATGAAGCAAAGAAGCAACAGCAGCAACTACAGCAATGCCTCTGATGGGAAATCAGGTAAATGCTGCAGCCCTGATAACCGCTGCTGCTTTTCAGTCAATGGTCACCTCAATTTTTAGTTTAAAACAAATAAAGTGATACATTTATATATAAGTACTCTGGTAAAGTAATCAATACTAATGATGCCTTTTTTTGAGGGTGATATCCAACATTAGTCATACTGAGAATGGATGCACCTAAAATCAATGGATTTAAGTTACAAGTCAACTGATTTCAGTGGTCCTACTCTCAGTAAGACCAATGTTGGAAATCACTCAATAGCATTCATAGGCTACCCACTTCTCATATATTTGTTCTAAGCAAGACTTCTCACCAGTTAAAACAGAGGCACAGGAGGGCCACTCTCAACTGTGTATTGAGAGGGGTGCAGTTAGGAGTTGAATTTGTATCAGGGTGTTACTCAGTAATATGTCACACCGGTTTATACCCATGCCTGCTTTGAAAGGAAGTTAACACAGAATAATATGTTATATATCTACAAATCCAGGCATCACTTTCTGTAGGACTGTGAGAAGCAGCCCTGAACCTTTCAGGAGAACAAGAATTACCAAGCCAACATGCAGTAAGTACCAAAAGGAAGCAATCAGCTTTCAGCTATTCTAATAACACATGCTTTACACACTTTACAGAACTGTGTTCTGCCCCAACTCCTTCTGCTAATATTTTTTACCATGTCCATGATTCATCTTTGCTGCCAATTGCACTGTCCACGCTGCAATATCACCTGCCTTTTATGATCAACGGAACATATTGTGTGACACTGTAGAGCTCTTGTACTATGTCACCTTTTGTTTTGCATTCTCGCCATCTGTAAGTTCAGCCTAGTAACTTTCTTACAGCTGTGCAACTAGCTGCTTGGTCCCAATGATTCTGTTCCATCAAAGACTTTTCAAAATCCTTTTCGGGTGTTGAATGATTGTTCCATTTAGGCACATAGTGCCTTTAAGTTTCTGGTCCCAGACAAACTGTTTTACATTTTTCCACATCAGCTGCATTTGCCAGCTGCTGGGTCAGTTACCTGACTATAGTATTTCCTTTACTTTCCCTTCCCAACTCAATACAATGAATGCTGAGAAGTCAGCTTCCTAGGAACAAAAAATATGTAGAAGCTATTCATTTGTTGCAGGTGATGAAAAAGGCATTCCCTCCATGTCTGTTGCAATATTTGGTCACTCAAAAAGGAAGAAAAAAATATTTTCCATCCATTTCACACATGTATTTCAAACAGAGCATGTGGATGGAACACCATCTACAAGCGTAACTCACAATCAGATGTGCCTACAGCATAATTGCAAACAGCATCCTACCCATGGAACAAGCTTCCAAATAAAGATACATTGGATTGAGCTAAATGTGGCACATTCCAAAAGTGTTTTCTGTTCTTCATTAGACAATTCTTCATAAGCTGGACAGAAACTGTTTTGCCACTCATGTGCAATGCACACATTTATTCCTTATGTACAGACATAACCCCAAAAGATGAAAACCAACAAGGTGTCATCCTGCAACAATGACCCCCCCCCTAAGACTGTTCTGATGAAAGAACTATGTTGACATTTCCTTCCTGAATTTATTGCAAGGCAGACAAAATAAGAACTACATTATTTGTTAGTATAACTGTCGATTCAGAGAGTTTATCTAAGGGTTTCACCTCTGCAACCATATTATGTTACACTATTCTTCTGGTGGGAATAAAGTATTCTCCATGCACAGGTTCAGCACAGCTAGAAACTTTAGGTCATACCAAATGCAGTTGAGTTAGCTCTTCCCTTACAGACCACTAAAGAGGACCAAGAATGCTTTACTGACAATACTATCTATGCAACAACAACAACAAAGCCAGTCATATGTTCTCAATGTTGCTCCAAAAATAAACATCTATACATTGGGGAACCAAAAGCCTGTAAAACCTGTGATTTTTATTTTGTCTTCCTTTTATTATCTGAGATGAAGTCAACATAGAGTAAGAAGAATGGCAATGGGCAAGATACCGTGCGACACATGCATTTTAATTTTATATTGCCATAAATGTATTGTAGCATGCCCTTATACAATCTGTAATCACCACATAAGTTATATTAAGGCACGCAAAGTACATGACCCTAGATTTATAAGACAATCTGCTAAAGATTTAAATAAATACAATTAAAGTAAGGGCTCCCTTCAAAACAGTCCCCCCCCCAAAAAGAAAACTCATTTTTAACAACGTACATGTTTAATCTGTGTATTACGGTACTTTTTTAAAAACCAGGACTGTGTGTATTTTGTGAGCTTTGAACTAAATTCTGTGATGAAGTGTACAAAACACAAAATGTTGTTCAAATAAGATGGAAATTAAGTTGTGCAAGCATAAATAATAGATGTTAAAATATAGTTAGTTGCGTATTTCATCTTAGTTTTATGGCTCTCCTACACTGTTGGCTTCACAAACACAGCAAGCTACCAGCTTAAGAATTTTCCGTAAGTATAGGTGAACAAAAGCTGGAGCACCTGTTATTCTGTTAGTTTATAGCTCTAAAAAGTATTTTAGCAGAGGCTGTTAAAGCTCCATTTGATTTTAAAAAAATTTTTTTAGTTCACTTAACTTCACTATTTTTGCTACCACATAGAATATGTATAGGAGTTTTTGTATTACTTTTTTTTTTTTTTTTGCAATACAGAGTGATTTCCTACAATTCCTGCAACTAGGGAAAATTGTTGATTCATCATATTAAATAGTGCTTCCTTAACCATTGTTCTGCATAATGTTAATTTAAAAAACATCGACTACTTAAAAGTTGCAATGATTTTATTGTCACCTTAAAGATCTCAGGTGCTTTCTTAAAGTGGCAGCTGCTAAAAAGCTGAGGTTTCATTAATGGTTTCCAAAAAAGAACCCCGCCATAAGTATTAATGACAAGCTTAACTATACCATTAATTCAGCACCCGTCCACTCCCAGTTATTTTTCAAACGTGATGCAACTGAACCACATGACTCTAAAGTCAGACACATTATTTTTTGCCTATTTATGGTTGGCACCTATACAGCTATTTATACTGTGGCATGGTATCTTCTGCCTTAAAGGATTTCAGTCAACCATTTTAAGGTCACATAAACTGCACATATTTTTCTGGCAAAAATAGACACATAATAGAAATAGCAACGGATACAAGCATCATTATTTAACTTCTACAATTTTAATATCTGCTTTAGGCAGTACATCACTCTTTCACAGTCCTCGGTCACAAAGCATAAGTACTGGGAGAGGTACTGGGCTTCTTTGCAGTTGCCCAATACAAGAAGAACAGAAGATAAGTCCTGCTGCATCAGGCCAAAGGCCCATTTGGTCTAGAATTCTCATAATGGCTAGCAAAAAAAAAAAGATAAGAAAAGACTCTTGCTTGCTTTGCTCAGCTGAGCTGCTTTTTCCTCATTTTTCTTGGGTTTATAGTGGCTGATCAGATGACTGTGAGAAACCTGCTGAAAGGATATGAGTGCAACTGCACTCTCCCCATTTGTTATTTCTAGCAATACAGTGGTACCTCTGGATGCGAACAGGATCCGTTCAGGAGCTCCGTTCGCATCCTGAAGCAAACGCAACCTGCGTCTCTGCGCATCGCAATACACCGCTTCCGCGCATGACGTCATTTTGAGTGTCTGCGCATGCGCAAGTGGCGAAACCCGGAAGTAATTCGTTCCATTACTTCCGGGTCACCGCGGAGCGTAACCTGAAAACCCTCAACCTGAAGCGACTTCAACCCGAGGTATAGTTACACAGAGGCATAGACGCAGATACTGGAGGTAGTCTTATTCTGCAGAAATCTGTCCATTCCACTTTTAAAGCTATCTAAGTCAGACATTGGTCCATCTAGCCCGGGTGTATTTCAACTGAAAGTGGGTCACTAATTTCTATGCAGGCATTTTCCCTAGCTTGGCCACTGAGATATTTTTCTCCATGCAAAACATTATTAAAAGTTATTACTGAGCTTGAGCTCTGGCACTCCTTTGCTTGGAAGTGGAGAACCATGCACATGAAAACATTATGCCCAAATTCATTAATCACACAGTTTTCTGTGGGTTTTTTCTTTTTTTTAAATCAGTTATAGAGATGTAGAACCTGCTCATATAGATAACTGATTCTGATGAAGTGGCACACACACAAGAGATCATTTCCCACCAGCATGTGCCATGAGTATGCCAGTGAAGGATCGTAATTTCCCTAAGTATTTTGTTCAACCTCTTGACCCAATGTAGTTCTCTTTATTTTAGCAAGTCATTCATAAGAACAGAAGCAAACTATGCGAGCCCACACAGCTGGTTCATCAAGGACAAAATTTCCATAAAGAATAAAGCAACTGAGCTCTCCTTACAATTCACTCAGATTTCTGAGGAACATTTGTTTCAATACCCTACAGCAAGATAGCTCCTTTCAAGAGATGCTCATTTCATTGTTCTGACAAATATGGCAAGAGGTTTGTTTTTCAAACAATATCCTTTAGTGATTTTTCAGACATCAAAGCTAGTGTTAAGTATATGTAGTGCACTCCACTTACACATGAGCCATTAGCCACAGAAGGTAACAACTAAAGATCGCTGCTTCTGTTGTCCATCATAACACACAAAACAAGTTTTCTAGCACCCAGTATAAAGAGAGTTCAGCTTCCCAACAAACAGCAGATCTTTTAACTTTCATATTAGGTAACGTTTTTCTATAGTAAAATCTTAAAGTGGTCTAAAAGAATGAGAATTGTATTTAATAATGATGCTACATGCTTTATTAACTCTCACTGATAACTGACGCTTAACTAATAAATCCAACACCACCTTTTTTTTTCTTTATAAAGAGGGCTGGCAGTCACATTTTTAAAAAGATACAAATGTTAATCAAAATGAAGCAATACAACAAAGGAACCCTTGGCCCTCCAGATCTTGGACTACAACTTACAGCATTCCTGATCATCAGCCATGCTAGCTGGGGCTGCTGGGAGTTAGAGTTCCGCAACATCTAGAGGACCTCACAAACTCCAGAACAACGAATCTGAGTGTTAAAACTCAAAGCACTCTTCAAAAGCAATTTAATGAATGCTTCCATTATAGGCCTCTGGGCTTAACAAGTTTTCCTTTAACCGTTTTGCAGTGCACTACATACATTGCATTACCATCTTTTAAGAAAGATGGGATTATGTATAAAGAATCCCTGGCCCAGCTAAAGATTAAGTAGTCATGTCACACTATTTCTATTCTGCCACAATAAGAACAGTTTCAAAGCTGCTCTAAATCCATGCTCAGATTTTAAATACAGCATACTTTCTAAATCCATCTGCAAAACAAAGGTTACAGGGAATAAGCTAGCTTCTAGATGTTTTAAAAAGTATGTGTTATTTTTAAATCTCAATATATCCACAAATGGGTGTACTAAATTCCCAGCACCAACTGTCATTTGCCAGTCAAGCTTGAACTAAGAAAACTTACAAATAATTTACAAAGTAAGAAAATTCATTTGATTTCTAAGAGCTCATTCAATGCATTTTTCTTTGAGTCTCACATCAGACAGGATTTGAATTTTTTCAGATACTGTGGTTTACATGGTAAACTGGGGCTAACACCCCAGAGTGTTACAGCTGTGCAGAACTGTCCAAACTGGGGCTAACACCCCAGAGGACAGGATCACACTTCAAAACGACCTTGACAGATTAGAGAACTGGGCCAAAACAAACAAGATGAATTTTAACAGGGAGAAATGTAAAGTATTGCACTTGGGCAAAAAAATGAGAGGCACAAATACAAGATGGGGGACACCTGGCTTGAGAGCAGTACATGTGAAAAGGATCTAGGAGTCTTGGTTGACCACAAACTTGACACGAGCCAACAGTGTGACGCGGCAGCTAAAAAAGCCAATGCAATTCTGGGCTGCATCAATAGGAGTATAGCATCTAGATCAAGGGAAGTAATAGTGCCACTGTATTCTGCTCTGGTCAGACCTCACCTGGAGTACTGTGTCCAGTTCTGGGCACCACAGTTCAAGAAGGACACTGACAAACTGGAACGTGTCCAGAGGAGGGCAACCAAAATGGTCAAAGGCCTGGAAACAATGCCTTATGAGGAACGGCTAAGGGAGCTGGGCATGTTTAGCCTGGAGAAGAGGAGGTTAAGGGGTGATATGATAGCCACGTTCAAATATATAAAAGGATGTCACATAAAGGAGGGAGAAAGGTTGTTTTCTGCTGCTCCAGAGAAGCGGACACGGAGCAATGGATCCAAACTACAAGAAAGAAGATTCCACCTAAACATTAGGAAGAACTTCCTGACAGTAAGAGCTGTTCGACAGTGGAATTTGCTGCCAAGGAGTGTGGTGGAGTCTCCTTCTTTGGAGGTCTTTAAGCAGAGGCTTGACAACCATATGTCAGGAGTGCTCTGATGGTGTTTCCTGCTTGGCAGGGGGTTGGACTCGATGGCCCTTGTGATCTCTTCCAACTCTATGATTCTATGAATGTCACCCTGAAATGTAATATGATAAAGGGCAGAATAAAAAAGTTTAAATAAGATAAATGTGACAAAAAAGTCACCCATACCCAATCTGCTCCAGTGGGTCCCCCAAACATCTGCAGAAGTTTTGTGTGGTATGGAGGGTGCTGCAGGAGAGCGAAGAGGAAGGGGAAATCCTCTTTGTGCTAGTGGAAGTCTATTGCACAAGTATAGAATTGTTTAAACGGAGCAGAGTGTTACAGCTGTGCAGAACTGTCCAAACTGTCTGCAGCTCAACGATTTGAATCCAGGACTCCTAACACACCATAAACAACTAGATCGCCTTAGTTTTCATAGCTAACTTTTTACTCCTAATTTTATTCTTTATACCACACCCATCTGGCCGGGTTGCCCCAGCCACTCTGGGTGGCTGGCTTCCTAACCCATATAAAAACATAATAAAACACCAAACATTAAAAACTTCCTGATACAGGGCTGCCTTCAGATGTCTTTTCAAAGTTGTATAGTTATTTATCTCCTTGACCTCTGATGGGAGGGCGTTCCACAGGGAGGGCGACACCGCCGAGAAGGCCCTCTGCCTGATTCCCTGTAATTTCACTTCTTAACTAAACCAGGACACCTCCCTGTGCTATCTCCTGGGGGGTGCATTTTACCCTGACTGAAGTACTAGGTCCTTATAAAAAGAGACAATTTATAAAGATGCCAAGCACATAGTAGGAATGAACTTCTTATACCCCACAGCATTGGATGTCTCTGATCCTATTTCCAGGATCAAGGGTAAGCTATGGTGGTTCCAGATAGCTAGTTTTCCTCTCGTATATAGTTGCTTGCCATTATTATCTAATCTGTACGCTGCCTAGCAGGAATAAAGCAAATGTTGACACAAAATCCAGGAAATACTATCCTAATTTTTCATGATTTCAAACTTACCTCTTTATGTTTTCCCCAAATGTTTTTTAAAAAAACAGTTTAAAAACCTTGTGGAGAGAGAATTTTCATGTATTTTTTTTAACTGGAATCCCAATATTTATGTAACTTTAATGGCACTTGTCACAAGAGGACAGTTCTATTTTTAAGCAAAAAACAATTACACTAATTTATGACCAATTTTACAACAAAGTATTTACAAACCAATGAAGTTTGTGATGACCTCTGACCAAAGCTTTATAGGAAATTTTAAGAGGATTTTGGTAAGCCTTCAGCAGGCAATTCAAGAAAAAGTAAAGTAACTCACAAGAAAGGTTTACTAAGGCTCCAGCCCAATACTCATTCATATCTGGGAGTAAGCCCCATATAACTAAATGGTACTACTTTTGAGCCTGCAGCACATCCTGTACATTTTTAAGATTTAAGATTTTAAGCAACTCTGGATTTAAATCTAAGAATTTAGCAATCTCTCTTTTAGAAACCTACAGAAGGACATGTAGGTTAAATACATGGTACTGTGTTAATACGTGGGTATAATTTTAGCACAGGCAATAATGAAACAGCAATACAAAATTGGGACTATATTGTTAAATTGTTGTTAAATTGTTACTAGAGAGTTAAGCATGATGACAATTTAACAGAAAATATGAGGACACTTTTATAAATATTGTAAATAATAACCAACCAAAAATGTTACAAAAATGCAACATAAAATCCTAGTTTCACTGATGTTAAAATATTTCTCTTTCTCATTCCTTCTCAACTTCCAGTTGCAGAAGAAGTTGATAACCCTGCAGATGCTGCAATTACATGGAACCCAGACCAGTAGCACAGCCAACACAATTGTGTTGTTTTTAGTATATAATTACTTTGAAACCCTGATCAGACAGTATTTAGGCAGCTCTTAAACAAGCAAGGTCACAAAATTATTTAATTGAATTGTTCAATTGTTCTCTTGTCTGTGTGGACAACTCGTGGTACATCTGCGGTTAAGACTTGTGCCAGAAAGGTATACTGTGGTTTTCCTGCATTTTACTACCACACCAAAACTTTGCTACTACTTTTTCTACTAAATACCTGCACCAGGTAAGTTGCTGCTTCGAGTTTTCTGATTTTAAAGCTATGTATCTCCAAGTCAGGCATCTCAAGGGGGGAGGGGGTGCTGCTGTTGTCAAATACTTTAAAAAGAAAGAAAGAAACCCTGTACATGTTTAAGTAGATGTGTCAGTACTGTAATTCTATTATACAAGCAAAGAAAATGTAAGACAGCCTCTCATTCATACAGGACAAATAGCTGTGCCAAAAGCACAAATTACACCTAATTACAGGGTATAACTCTGTCATCTCTCTTTTTATAACCTAGCCGTTTACACACTTTGATTTTTGACTTCCATTTGGGTTTATTAACATCAAAGCTTTGTCATCACTTATCTGTTTCCACAGAATTTTTACTTGAGGCAATAAAGAATAAAAACTTCTTTGCATTCCAGCTTTTCAGATGCAAGAATAGTTTAGTCTGCATTGTTCTTATGATGTTTTATACAAAGGTTTTAATAACCATGTTGTTAAATTTATTGCCCTTGGCAGAGAAGTCTTAAAATACACTATAATTTAACCTACTGTTGTATTAAATACATTAGTACAGTACTCTGAAATTATATTCTTATTGTTAATACTATTTTCATAAACATGACTATGTGTGTAATTAATGAAGATTTGAATGGGAGTATAATGGACAGTTTAATTTTAGAAGATTTATAGGCTTTTGTCAATACTAAATGCCAAGACATTGCTCATGTTCTTCTGTCAGATGTGGGAGCAATAATGTGGAATTGTATTTAAGGATGGATGGTGGCTCAAATGGATCAAACTTCTACTCAGCATGCACTTTCCCAGTCCTGGGTCAGTTCCCTGCCTGTGACTTTAAAAAAGTCAACAGCATTTAGTGAACAGTGCTCTTCTGTGGGTAGATCTCAGCTGCCTTAAGAGGAGCATTTTTAAATTCTTATTTTTGAAAACTGAACAAGGGAAAGGCAGGGTGAATTAAAAATGGAATTAAATAAAATTAAGCAAATGGAAAATATATCAATAATGCTACTAGGAATGGAAAACCATAGTCGGTAATAGAAAACCATCATAACCATATAACACATATCTTAAGTTAAACATATAAGTCAATATAAGCCCTCCAGATGTCAAGCTATGTATCCACAAAAAAACTGATGTCTATATGAAATATGTCCAATGCAGCCAGGATCCTGAGGTCCTCAGACCATTGTGTAGTAGAAGAGTTTTAGCTTTACAAGAAGGCTTATTCAAAACAGTACACATTATACCACACTCGGGATGGATGGAATGGTCTAAATTCCCAGTTGCTCAAAGGAGGAACAAAACAGCATAATGCCAGAATATGTTCAGGTTTCTACTACTTTGAAATTTTACTGCGCTTATTACTAATACGCAATGCCATCATAAACCTAAAGCTTGAGCTAAAAATAGCCCTTGCAGCTGGTATGCCAATACCTTTATTGCTGCACAGCAGGATACCTGGTCTACCTTCCCAACTTTACAGGAGATTTCTAGTAAATAGCTGTCAACAAGCCTGTGCATGACTGAAGTCAAATTACTAATAGTATGGGAATAAGTGTTTGAACTCTGTGCCAACAAAATATCATGTATCTAATCTAAGGAGGAATTACAGGCCCCAAGACTGCTATTATTTTATTAGCCATACCACCTTCATTTTGATCTGTTCCAGTAATTTTGTTTTGTTTGAACCTACTTGTCAGTGGTATCTTTCGTTGCTATTTAAAATGCACTACATTTTATCCTCTAGAGAAGATGTGACTCTGTTCTGACATTTCTGGGTTTTAGAAAGGTCTGATTTGTTTCCAGCATATATAAAGACTTATTGTCATCAATTACATGAAACAGATTACCAACTCTCCATTATAGCTAACTAAACATTCTCAAAGTGGTAGATATAATTTAATGACTACTGATTCCAAAGCATATGTTTATTTTAAAGTGCTGACATTTTAAATGTGTTGTGGGAGGAGGGATTATTGGTCTGTTGTTGTTCGTAATTTTATTATGCATTTTGTGGTTTTTATTTTGTAATTTTATGTGAACTGTCCTGAGATCTATGGATGAAGGGCAGTATAGAAATTTAATAAATATTAATAAAATAATTATAATAACACAACTTAGAAAAACAAAACAACTGTGATGGGCTAAATCTAGTAAATGATGATTTACTAGATTTGTTTGTGGCTTTTTACAAAGGCAATCTCAAAGTGACTTAGCATGATAAAATGCAACAGATAAAGCTACACCAGTTGAAAAATACAATGGCTAACAGTTCAGCTGAATACTGTGTCATTTCCAGGCAGCATTAATGTCTTTTACTGCATGTAGCTATACCTGCAAATTACTGTGTCTGTAAATGGTGGGGGTGGGGAACCTCACACCTTAGGACCAGATGCATCCCTCCAGACCTCTCTTATCTGGCCCTCAGGCCATTCTCCCTCCCCAGTTTTCCCCCTTCAGTGGCTTCGCTGTGTACCTTCCTCAAGTGCTGCTGCCTGCATGGAACATGTCCATGAACTGACATAACAGTCTCTTGCTTGCCTACGTGGAGGATGGAGATATGCGAGTGCATGCAGAAACCTCCAATTTCTGCATGGCTGAAAGGTAATCTTCTCTACCAATGTAATAACCACATCCATTGGTCTATGTTCTTCTACCCCATGTCTTATCTGTTTTTGCCTGTGCTCATGCCCACCAGCAGCACGCATCCCCCAAAAGCTGACCATGAGTTAAAGTGGCCCTCGAGCCGAAAAGGTTTCCCCACCGCTGCTGTATAGGCTATCCAACTCTTAGAAACTTCAGCACACTCTCGTGTCTTTGACTGATGGATGGAGGGAAAAAAAGAAAGAATCAGAATGCCTGCTTGAGTGGTGACCTAAGCACTAAAAATCAACTTGAGATGTGCCACAGTCTTCTGTAAGCGCATTTACTGGAAGGCGTTTGGAATGGTCTGGAACACACTGCCACATGGCTAAATAAAGTGAATCACAAGGAAATACTGATGTACCTCCCTTTACATTTGCAGCACTCTTTTAGAGCAGTTGTACTTAGGACAAACACCACCACATGAACCACATAATGAGATTGGAAAACTGAAAATTAACACCAAGGCTAATAATGCACAGAAGCTTGCATTTCCTCCCTCCAAAAAAATTTACCCAAGAAAAGTCAAGCCAATTTCATCTTATATTCTCACTGCAATTACTTCTACTGTCTACTCATAAGAAAATAGTACCTGATAGCTAACCAGCGCAAAGTGAGGTAAAGGTAAATGACCCCTGGACAGTTTAGTCCTGTCAAAGGCAACTATTGGGGTGTGGCATTCATCTTGCTTCAGGCCAAGGGAGCCAGCATTTGTCCATAGATAGTTTTCTGGGTCATATGGCCAGCATGACTAAACCGCTTCTGGCACAATGGAGTGCCGTGACGGAAGCCAGAGCACATAGAAATGCCGTTTATCTTCCCGCCGCAGCGGTACCTATTTATCTACTTGCACTGGTATGCTTTCAAACTGCTAGCATGGCAGAAGTTGGAACAGAGCAACGGGAGCTCACCCTGTTGCGTGGATTCGAACTGCCGACCTTCCAATCAGTAAGCCTAAGAGGCTCAGTGGTTCATACCACAGAGCCACCTGCGTCTCCTTAGCACAAAGTACTCAAGTGGGACCCTTAGTAACATGCTTCAGCCCCCTGACTCTCCTCTTGTCAGTTATTAAGCACAACAGCCCTTTGGCTGCTTCTTAGAGCCCAAACTCACATTCAGAATCCTTTCTACGCCAAAGATAAGCTGAGCCTGAAAAGATTTTTGCAGGCTGGAAGGAACTGAGCTCTAGAAATGTGCTCTTGGTGTGTGTATGTCCTTAAACCCAAAAGCTTTCCCCAGCACATGTTATTTCTGAATTAAGTCTTCAAGAGGCAATCTAACTCCGTACCGCTATGAAAACTTTTCTTTGACTTCTCTCCTTGGGCTTATGTATGCCCAAATACCATGCTTTATCACCAAAGTAGGCACATCACAAGGCTAATTCCAACTGAACTGACATACAACAGAAAGATTAACCATACAAGTATAGAGGAGCAATAATCATGTATACACCAGTTAGGGACATTCTGTATCCATTAACTTTAAATATTTAAGCATTCAATATTTGGGGTGATTCTGCATCCCTCTGGAACCCTGTAAGATACAGTCCACAATGTTCAATAGGTCCCCCTGGCCCTCCGGGGAGGCCTTTTGGGCGGAGTACAGGGGGAAGGAGAGGAAAGGAAACGAAGCAGACATTGTACAAATTGCCTCTGCTCATGCACCACTGGATACAACACAATATAACTAATTATATAATGCACACAATGCTAGTTTAAGTGTTGTTTATGTGAATATGTGGACCCTGGAACACCTGCCAATTAATTAGTGTCTATGAGAATTAATTAGCCACAGGAAAATTGATGCCTGGCAATGCAGTTAAAATTTGCTGTTTATACCATATTTTATAATTTAGACAAAATGCTTCCCTACCCCCAGTTACCTAGATTCCTGCTAATTGATCTGTCAACACTTATGGAAACTAAAGGTATTGCATTTGTTGACAGAAAGGAAAGGACAGGAGTTGTCCTACAAACAACAGCCATCAATACCACCCTCCTTTGGTCATTCAGCATATTTTAAAGACACTGTTGCATAAATACAAATGATGCTTAGGATTTCCATAATTAATCTCACATAGCAAAAGTAATGAATATCCGTAACAAAGCAGATTAGAGAAAAGCAAGTATATAAGAGGGCACTGGATATTTTCCAGAACCCTAACTGAAATATTAATACAAAGCATGGATCCACTATATTTTCAGAGTCAAAGTTTCAAGATATTTATATCCTGCTTTCAAAAAGTTGTAAGTGATACTATGTTGTGAAACAAGTGCACACCCCTAAGTAAAATCCATTTCTAAATTTAAACATAACATTATGGCCTTACAGATTCCATACTTGCTATATTATTGACTGTTTTGGTCACTCAACATGACAATGTCTGTATGTCACTAATGCAAAGCATGATACTTGGGATATATTTAATACCCAAGTTATTTAAACTTCTTCAGGGATACATGATACTTAAAGAGCTTCTTTAATATGTTTTAATACAGAATAAAAGCAGCATGGGGAGTTCCTAACTTGATTATAATATATAATAAAAAGACTTTCCAGAAAAGATTTGTAAAATCTTGTTAGGGGTTTGGGGGTTTAAAAGACAGTGAACTAAGACAAGGCATGCTGACCTCAGGGTTGTGATATCATTTGAGAAAAATATTACACACAAAAATACATAACATAGGCCATAATAGTAATGACTACATTGCTTTCCTGTTTGTGCATAATACGAAAAGGGGAAAAATATCCACTGCAAGATGCTTAAGGCTACAATCCCATACATATTACGGTAACTGGGGAGTATGTCCCACCAAACTCAATGGGGCTTAGTTCTAAGTACACATGCTTAGCAATGTATAATACGAAAACTATAGAACTGTAATTAGGTATATTTTATACCCACTTATCACCATCATACAATTTGCACACATATTTAGAATCTGTGGTTCATTTTAAGCAGAAGCTTGTACAAATTCAAGTTGTTTTTATATTCTGGGACAGAGATTAAAATAGGAACTCTAGACTTTTCCCACATAAGCTCATACAACTGAGCCAGCTGGTAGAAGCTCCTGGCAGAGCATCAAGCACTTATGTATACTTCTTGCAAACAGGTTCTCCAATTCTTGATATTGTGAAACTTGATAATGCTCTAAGCCATAATATATGCAGGAAAGAAATCAATTTGAACAATGAATAGTGTTGTAATTACATAATTTGAAGACTTGTTGATTAAATTAACAGCAATCCTTCTGTAGGTGACTTTATTACCAGAGATTGTTGCAGGCTATAACTTCATGAAATGATATTGTTTACTCATCAGTTTTTCAGTGAATAATTCGACTTTTCATCTATGAATGATCTTGTGGCAGAATTATTATGTCAGACACTGTACCTTGCTTTGTGTTATTTTAACATGATGAGCTTGTTAATTTCACAATTTGAATACTGTTTAGTTGTTTGTAAACTGCTGGTGATATAGCGGTCTAATAAATAATAATAACACAGATAGTTGGTTGGCATCTGTCTTTTTCGGGAGACAATGGAGGAGTGAGCGTTTGGAGGTGAAGTCAAACTATTGGAAGGTTATAGTGCCTGCTGTGACTGTAAGGACCGATACAGGAAAGACATGTTTTGTTGCAGCTGGGGCAGATGAAGGTGTCCAGTTGTGCTGCTGGCATTTCTTCTCTCTGCGTTCCTCCCAGTGATCATTCCTCCTCTGGTCAATGCTATGGATACACAACCTGATTGTCTGTCTGCAGGCACTGTGGTTGCCTGCAAGGGATTCCCACACGGTGGGATTGATGTTGCCAGTCTTCATGTCACATTTGCAGACATCTTTCTAACACAGAGTTGGTCTGCCAACAGGCCTGGAGCCAGCTCCCCATAATGTAGGTAACAAGAGAATGTTCTGCCTCTAACATCCTCCTGTAGTTCCCGTAACAAAGATACGTATAGCAAAAACAACAAAACAATTTCCTGCTATAATAAGTACATCATCTGTCTTTATCTTCTTGTATTTCATCTTTCAAGGGAGCCTTCCCAAACCTGACGTTTTGGACTACAATTCCCATCAGCCCCATGGTCAACAGTCAAGGCTGATGTTGAGTCCCTTGCAAATAACTTTTAGATGTCCACTGAAAAAGCTTCTGTTTTGACAAGCTTATCCAAACACATGATTTAGTTATTACAGTATAGCAGGATGTCTCCATTTGAGAAACAGTTTTTAATGTCAGTTTCATTATAACTTGAACTAGCCTGCTCCAGCCTGCACTTCACTTACGCTTCACCATATAAACCACTTGATCAAACAAAATTACCCAAAGCAACTAAAATGATATATAGAATCTAATATTCACAAAACATATACACTTAAACCATAATTAAAAAGAAAGATAAATTTATCAAGAATCTTAAAACAAATACAAGGCAGACAATAGATGAAGAGCAGTAGCAATGAGAGACCAAGGAAGCAAATGGACCATTGACCTGAATGCATGGATTGAGGAATAAAGATGGGAATTAGAAGGAAAGTTGATCAATTCTAGAACTGGAGGTAACTTGGCCACCAATTTCTACTCAGCCCCCACTGAGAATGGCTCTGTTCCATGCCTTCAAGCACAACTTAATGTATATGATACTATTTGTTATGCACACCACCCCCTAGCTAGGACTTAATAAAGGTATAGTCTCCCCATTACAATACCTCACTAACAGTACAGTTAAATTATCGGTAATTTCTATGGTACTTTCAGTGCATAAAGTACTCTGTGACCTTTAAAGCATTTGTCTGAACTGCAATCACTAGACAATCACTTTGCTTTAAAAAAATAAAATAAAAAATGAAGCAATTTTGAAGACTCCAAAGCTAAGCTTTTTGCATCCAGGGAATAAATCTAGAGAACTGACCCAAAACTAGTTTGATTTAGAAGCTGAAGTTAATACGCAGAATTTAGAAGCGCCATTAAATGCAAAAACAAATCACTGTACAGTACCAAAGAACTGGCTGAGCTCAAGGCTTAAGATCACAAAAGTAAACCCATGAAGACAAGACATTCCAAGCCCAACTTGGTTAATGAGAGGAGCATGCTGTGTAGTGGCATGTTAATGCAGAGGATTGCAAGCTGTCTGAAAATAAACATTAAGTCAAAGCCAACAACAGATGTTTGACAGAAGTGACCCATCTCAAAATCTTCTGCAGTACATTACTGTGACTCCGATATTGGAAATACAGTGCTAAAGATAAACAAGTATGAAGTATCACTATGTCTGGCATCCAACAACACTGGAAAATGACTGTGCTAATTGCTACGCCGAGTCCACACAGAAGAAAAAGCTTCTTATTTTGAGCACTGCAGAAATCTGATGTACTACCTTCATCCTAAATTCTAAAACAGGAAAGATCCAGAGCACGGGAAAGAAATGGAGGGCGACTGAAATTATTCACAATTTGAATAACTGAAAGTCATCGTATTTTAAATTAAATGTGGAGAATTACAAGAGTCACTACATTTTAACAAAAGTTTAGTTTCAGAGGTGGACAAAAGTCTAAGCAACATGACATATATATGGATTAGTACATTTCAAGTGTTCAGAATGGTTCATGCACGATAACACAGTAATCCTTATTAGAGACCTAAGGCCGCAAAGTTTCCTCATATTGTAGATTTGTGAGTGGGTGGGAAATAGCAGCTCTCTTAAGGCCTGCTAGGCAATTTGTAGTTAAAAGTTTGAACCAGGGACTTCCCTTCATTCTATCGTCAGTCGTTATGCTACACCAGTTCTATTATTATTGGGTGTCTAGAAATAGACACAATGCTTCCTATTTGGATCTGGAGACTCTCTGTACTCACCAAGAGACATAAGGTTTATCCTATTTCACTTCCCCTAAGAAACAAAGTATTGATATTTGGAATGAAAGTAACCCCAGACAGCAACCACGTAATTCCCATGGCCTTTTAAGGACAGAGATGGACATAAAGGGTGTTTTGTAAGTAACTTCTTTTTGAAATCATGAATGTCCTTATTTGTTTTTAAAACATATGGCTTCCTACATGATGCAATTCAGACAGCATAGTTGAGCATTTTACTTGTGAAATATTTTTTTTCTGAATGAGTAAATATATATTAATCTTACAGGAACCAATTCAGTACATTTTTATGTAAACAAAGTTAAGCATCAGGTGAGAGCTACACAGATAACACAAGCTCCTAACTTTATACACACTGAAATTCTGGCATAGCGCAAATGGGGGAAAATATTGTCCATCAGAATATACCGTATAAGACTAGGTTTTTTTCCTTAAAAATGTCAAAAATTAGGGGGCGTCTTATACACTGATATATCTCCCCCCCTTTTCCTTAAATCTGAGTCCCCAAAGATAGGGGACGTCTTATACATGGGGGCATCTTATAGATGGAAAAATACGGTATGTTATACTAGAGAAGCACAAGCTAAAGTTATGCCAGTATAGACTAAAGGAAATGAACTATTTGATACTTTGATGTAAGTTTAGTGACTAAACTTTAGCTTCATACAGCTGAACAATGAATGCCCTAGTGATAAAATCTTATACATGACTGCTCAAAAGTAACTTCCATCAGCCCAATGGAACTTAAAATGCATATAGCAGCTAAGCTACGATGACTGCATTATGGCAAATTAAACATCACAAGTTGATGTAAACCAGTTACAATTAATTGATTGTAAGACTGAAAACAAATGTTTATTCATCCACAGGTACTGCCAGTGACTAATACCTTTGTTACCCTATAATATATGATATTAAGCAGAAGCAAGTACACTTCCTCCTGTCAGGTTTACTTACAACAACAGCATTGTAAGTACTGACTTACTCACTTAAAGTGAAATGTAATTATGCTCCTCCTATATTGTTGGCAATTATCTTCCATATATCTTCCTTTACATCTTTTGTCAAGCCATTTTATGCGAACAATTAGTATACCACTTAACTACAATTGTCTCTAAGTGGTGTACAAGAAATATAAAATCAGACTTCAGTTTTAAAGCCCGCTAGAATAAAAAAGTATTCAGTGGGCTCAAGATATACAGCCTGTATGACTAGAACTGGAAGGGAGTTCCACAAAATTGGGCCCACAATACTGGACACAGAAATCCTGGTCGATATATAAGACACAAGTAACAAGGACTTTCACAAAGACCTCAGTGATCTGGTAGGGATAAAAGGGATTAAAAATCATTGAGGGCCTAATTTGTCAGAGACATTATAAATTTATAAAAGATCCTTGAACCTGGCCCTGTGCAAGCTTTTGAACACCCGAGTTATGTGCTGCCAATAGTATGTCCCCATCAGCGGTCTAACTGCAGTATTTTGTACCAACTGGAGCATCTGAAATAGGTCCAAGGGTAGCCACACATAGAGCACCTTGCAATAATCAAGGCCTGACATTATGAATGCATGAATCACGATGGTAAAACAATCTCTGTCCAAGAATGGCCACAGTACCATAGCTAGTAAATGCACTCCTAGTCACTGAACCTACCTAAGCTTCCTGTGACAATGATGGATCCAGGAGCTCTAAACCTATTCTTTCATAGGGAGAGCAGCCCCATCCATTAACAGGCAACTGGTTGATCTCCCAGACAGAGAAACCACCAACCCAGAGTGCCTCCATCTTCCCAGGGTTCAAGCTCAGTTTAATTGCCCTTTAGTTTCAGAGGACACCAACTTCTGATTCAAACCTACCCACCCTTCCTAAAGTATTTCTCCTAACACAGCACAACAGTGCTGCTTCTTATTCAAACTCCAAGAATCAGTACAGTACTGGAAAGCCAGCAAGCATTGCATTTATTTTCTAGATAAGCCATTCTACCCCTCTCCCCACATCCACATATAACCACTTCCTTGAGTTTTCCTCTTTTTTTTCTACTCCGCCTTTAGGTATCAGTGCTGCAACTCAATACTATAAAACTGGCCTCGGTGGGGTTGTTTTGTTTATCTGTTTGTTTGTTTTGCATTAATGTCTAATGTTTTACAATTTTTCATGTGCTGCAAGCCACCCAGCCACATAGCTCAAACCTCTCCATTCTTAAGGAAATCAGCCCTGAGTGCTCACTGGAAGGACAGATCGTGAAGCTGAGGCTCCAGTATTTTGGCCACCTCATGAGAAGAGAAGACTCCCTGGAAAAGACCCAGATGTTGGGAAAGATGGAGGGCACAAGGAGAAGGGGACAACAGAGGACGAGATGGTTGGACAGCGTTCTCGAAGCTACAAACATGAGTCTGACCAAACTGCGGGAGGCAGTGGAAGACAGGAGTGCCTGGCGTGCTCTGGTCCACGGGGTCACGAAGAGTCGGACACGACTAAACGACAACAACAAAATCCCTGCGCCTAGAGATGACAGTTCATGAGACTCTTGGGTTTCCCAGAGCTTGAGCCCCAACCAGGCGTGCCAAGTATTGAAGGTGGGCCCCTTTTGTTCTTGCTGCGACAGGACTGACGCGGCCCCCCATCTGAAATGCCACGCCGCCCGGGCACCCGCTGCCGTGAGAGGCGGGTTATGAATATTTTCCATTCGATGGAAGGCAGGGAGCCGCGCAAGCCGCCCGGAAACCAACCAAGGAACAGGGAACAGGGCTGGGCAAAGGCGCTGGCTTCGGCCCCCGAGGCTCCCGCTGTCCTTTCCACGCCGAGGAAAGGGAGGGAAGCCGGCAGCGGCTCCTCGTCTCCTACCTGAGCCAGGACTGTCAGGAAGCCGCCGCTCCCGCCCTGCCCGCTCCATCCTCCGCCAAAGCCCACGAGCGCCCCGCCTCCGACCAGAGCGGCAGTGGCAAGCCAGGGGCCCGCCCGGGGCCTGGGGGCCCGCAGGCTGCCCAGCACCGGCGCCCCGCCGCGCCTCACGTATCCCCGGGAGACAACCGCCCAAACGGGTCTCCAGGCCGCCGCCATTTTCCCGGAAGTAGGAAGAGCGCCGCGAGCGCCTATCAGGAACTATAGACTTTGCAAGAGGTAGATTCGTACGCTGCTGCTGCTGCTTCCGGGATGATGATGATGATTTCCCCCGCCCCGCCGCTCCTTCACACGTTTATCTATCTATCTATCTATCTATCTATCTATCTATCTATCTATCCAGTGTTAAAAACAATACAGCATTAAATATTAAAAACTTCTCTAAACAGGGCTGCCTTCAGATGTCTTGCTGGGGGAAATTGCAGCAGCTGTTATCCTTTTCGCATGAAGAATGTGTGTGTTTTTAAGCAGAACTTAAAACATTTGATAGCGTCTTTATGCAAACCAATGGAGCCCAAGGCTTCTTCTTTATGCAACTTGAGTGGTAGCTTTGGATTGGAAGCAGGTCTGAAAGGGCACTCTCGTCAAAATGACATTTGCTGCCGTCTTTGGGAAGATTGGCTGACTGCAAACCCGCAGCTTTAACAGCAATATATTAATAATGGACTGTTGCCATAAACTTCCCTCCCAAATCTGCAACTTTCATTATGGGTGGAGATTGTGGAATTTGGAACCGGCAATGCAATTCTTATTTTCTAAAATCTAAACTCATTCCCCCGCCCTCAAACACAGAAAATAAGACCTGAAGCACAAAGAGTAAGAACGCCCGTCCCCGCTTTTGTTCTTTTTCATTTTTGGTTGGGCACCTCGATCTCAACGACGCCGCTCTTTTAGGGTATCTTCTCCGTTGTGTCCTAGGGGAGGCAGAAAAAGAAACCACGAAAAGGAACTTGGATGTTCTGCCTCAGGATTAAACTGCCATTCTGTACTTTTTCTATGTCTACAAACGATTCCAGCTGTTAAGTACACGAAGGCTTGCCCTCTCTCTCTCTCTCTCTCTCTCTCTCGCTGCGCACGCGCGATTTCCACAGGCGTTTCCATCGGGAAAAGAGATCGTGTGAAGCCTGCGCGTGGGTGGTGGGAGAGGTGGTGGTGCTGAAGTCGGGAGATTTCTCTGTCCTCCGCTCCGCTCCTTTTTTTTTCCCCATCGGAAGAACCAGAGACAGACTGGCCTAAATCAGGGGTGCCACGTGTTATTTCAAAGTACCTTAAAGTTTGAGCCGGGGTTAACAAGATTCCCCCCCTGCCATTCCCATACTGTGTTTTCGCCTCAGATCTGATGTTGGCTATTGTATCTATGTGTGTATGTATGTTGGATGTAGATGCAATAGCCAACATCAGATCTAAGGCGAAAACACAGTATGGGAATGGCAGGGGGATCTTATGATGATTAATAATAATAATAATATTTGTATACTGCCCTTCATCTGGAGCATGAATCCACAGCCTTAGCCCTGCCAGGTTTGGGGGTGGCAGGTGCTCTCCCACCCTAATTCAGTATTTTCCTGAAAACTCCAGGAACCCCAACTTCTTGTAGGGACTCACACCTATCACTTCTTCCTTTCCATTTGCTTTGGTGCCCAGGATGTCTACACACCCCACTTACTAATAGAGGGAGTGATGCTCCTGTGAATTAATGCTTTCGTCAGCCTTAAATTGCATCTCCCAGTTTCATAACATTATAATTACATCAAATTATATTACTCACATTGCACTTTAAGATTTCAGAGTCCCTAATAAATACTTCTGCTTTTTAAGAGATAAAATTAGCTTTGCTAATCTTGACATGTTTTATTTGCACCCTTGAGGGCAATTTCTCTCTTTCTCGCTTTATGTGTGGCATATTGTGGAAGGTCTTTTAAATATAAACCAGTTTCCTTTCTTATAGTGTAGTGCACCTTCTCAGTCCTTTCCAATGGGAATTGCACAGAAACTGCTTTCAGTGAATTGTGTCACAAGGCTGCAGTCCTCACAGAACATACACAGAAGTAGATTTAACCCATCTACAATTATCCATAGAACTATGAGCACTCATGTAGAATTAAAACAACACTGTACTTATTCTCAGCCACTCAATAACTGCTTTGGTATCAACCTCTACAGTTGTACCTCGGGTTAAGTACTTAATTCGTTCCGGAGGACCGTTCTTAACCTGAAACTGTTCTTAACCCGAAGCACCACTTTAGCTAATGGGGCCTCCTTCTGCCACCGCACCACCGGAGCATGATTTCTGTTCTCATCCTGAAGCAAAGTTCTTAACCTGAAGCACTATTTCTGGCTTAGCGGAGTCTGTAACTTGAAGCATATGTAACCTGAAGTGTATGTAACCCGAGGTACCACTGTAATATGCTTATCTGTTTTAAAAATAAGGGCACCATCGGAAAAGAAGCAGAAGATGTGAGTTGAAGTTCCAGCAGGAGGAAATAACATGCCCCTGCTCACTATTGGCATGCAGGCCAAAGAGAATCCAGAACTAGTGTGATGTGGTACCATTGTAGGGGCTGTGGTTGTATTCCACACTATGAGATACTTCCAGAGTATGAGATACGGTGTAAGTGTTCTTCTGTCCTGTGCTGTCCATGTCTGACCTATAACTCCACCTTGTTTTCCCATTTCACCAGTGCACTTTTGACAGTGTAGCACTCCAGTGTTAGGGACGCGAGTGGCGCTGTGGTCTAAATCACTGAGGCTCTTGGGCTTGCCAATCAGAAGGTCGGCAGTTCAAATCCCCGTGACGGGGTGAGCTCCTGTTGCTCTGTCCCAGCTCCTGCCAACCTAGCAGTTTGAAAGCACACCAGTGCAAGTAGACAAATAGGTACTGCTGCAGCAGGAAGCTAAATGGTGTTTCCATGCACTCTGGCTTCCATCACGGTGTTCTGCTGTGCCAAAAGCGGTTTAGTCATGCTGGCCACATGACCCAGAAAACTGTCTGGAAAAACGCTGGCTCCCTCGTCCTGAGAGCGAGATGAGCGCCGCAACCTCATATTCACCTTTGACTGGACTTAACCGTCCAGGGGTCCTTTACCTTTACCTTTTACAGTGGTACCTCGGGTTAAGTACTTAATTTGTTCCTGAGGTCTGTACTTAACTTGAAACTGTTCTTAACCTGAAGCACCACTTTAGCTAATGGAGCCTCCTGCTGCTGCCGCGCCGCCGGAGCACGATTTCTGTTCTTATCCTGAAGCAAAGTTCTTAACCCGAGGTATTATTTCTGGGTTAGCAGAGTCTGTAACTTGAAGCGTATGTAACCTGAGGTACCACTGTACTCCAGTGTTGCATTTGAGCAGTTGCACTGATGTATCTGCCATTGTGAAAGCACAAAAGGGGCTTCCACCATAACCCATAGCCCCACAGCCCATATACTGTATCTTCATTACAGGATTGTGCTCATGATTTATTTTGTACCTTTCCTGCATCTAGGCCAGGGGTAGGCAAACTAAGGCCTGGGGGCTAGATGCGTCCCAATCACCTTCTCAATCTGGCCTGTGGATGGTCCAGGAATCAGTGTGTTTTTACATGAGTAGAAAGTGTCCTTTTATTTAAAATACATCTCTGGGTTATTTGTGGGGCATAGGAGTTCGTTCATCCCCCCCCCAAAAATATAGTCCAGCCCACCACATGGTCTGAGGGATGGTGGACCGGCCCATGGCTGAAAAAGTTTGCTGAACCCTGATCTAGGCATTAATTGAGCCCATATTATCCATATTCAAATATGGGGGTATTGGTTTTGTTTTTTTAGTAATATGGAATGTACTTTGTGTTTTTATGTTGTGTTTTTATGTTGTAAACTGCCCTGTAATATTCAGACAAAGGGTGGTATAATAATAATACTGTAATAATAATAATATCAATAATATCACATCAAAATTATTTAGAAATACAATATTCACTGTTTTCTAGTGTGTTAAGTCACCCCCCGCAATGCCCACCATACAATAAAAACTTAGATGTTTTTTCTTGATGACGTAATAATAATCAGCAACTGATAATAGCCCATATATTGGAAGCTGCCACTCTGTTCACAATTCTAATAAGACTTACATAAGGACAGTAATTCAAACAGAAAAATGGCTCTTTCCTGTGCTGCAAACCATACTGACAATATTCACAAATTCCAAAGAAAATTACGATTAGGGAATTGATAAGTAAGAGTTCCTGGTGTCATTTGCAGAAGCAGCCTTAAAAATAAACACTGGTGGCACAGAAAGGTTTCTAATTAATGGCTCAGTGGGCCATAAAGCTGTGTTTCCTTTTCTCCCAAATTGCCATTCCTCCTTCTTCTCCTGGATCGTATCACTGTGCAAACTTAGCAAGCCCCAAATCATTGTGAGGAGGAATAGCATTTCCAAGTTTTAAAACTATTTTTAAAACCTGTCCAGGTTCTACCCTCCTCCCTTGCAGCTGTATAAACTTCCCTAGCCAAAAATAACATGATGTTTGATTAATTGAGATGTCCGTGTGTAATAAAATCAAGGGGTATTCCTGTATCTGGGCTATATAAAAGCTAGTTCTTATCTTCCATCTAGTCCTTTCTTCCCAGAAACCTTTCAACTTTATTCATCGCTGACCCTCCTCCAAGATGACACCAGCAATGTGGGACTGTGTTGGGTTTAATTAGTAGTAGAACAGCAGCCAGCAACTAAAGAACCCAACAGCAACAATGCTTAAGGTAAACGGGTCTGAGTATTCTTAGCCTACCTCCAAGTAAATTTGTACTGCTACTCTACCAAAAATGTATCCATATACTCCAACTTTTCTCCGAAATAGGGACTATCTATCTATCTATCTATCTATCTATCTATCTATCTATCTATCTATTTAAATTAAACATTTAAAAACTTCTCTATAGAGGGCTGCGTCAGATGTCTAAAGGTTTTATAGTTAGAGTACTTACTTATCTCCTTGGTTCAGGGGTTGCATAACCCTATACTCTCCAACATTTCTCTGATGAAAATAGGGAAAAGAGGGACATTCCAGGATCAAATAAGAAACTGGGATGGTGTCTGTCAATCCAGGAGTGTCCCTGAAAAATAAGAACACTTGGAGGGTCTAGTCTGCTACTCATATATTTTGGTTTATTCATTTAACCGAAATATCTTTTGGTCATGTCACAACTTTTTAGCA